CATTCCAGCCTTAATAAATAATATAATAATAATGGTAATAATAATAATAATAATAATAATAATAATAGGAAACCCGGAGTATCTTACAAAAGAGGGGAAAAAATACTTAATTGTTATTGTAATGTATGTTGTGTATATTTGTAGTAGTAATTCAAGTGAAACTGCCTTAATAGGTTGGACGGATCCTCTACAAACCCAGAACTACCTCCATCACCACTCCCTCCAAGGAGCTGGTTGATCTGACAGCTGGTCGTCACAGGGCTAGCTGAGCAGAGACAGCAGGGCCTGGCCACCTGCTGTCTCCGCTCAGCTAGCCGTGTTCTCTCCACGCTGCCTTGCTTACACTTTCGTCTGCAGGGAGAGCATGCTGGGAGAATCAGCTTGGGGCTACAAATCTTACATGAATGAGTATGTAGAGGGATTAAATGAACCCATGTATTACCACACCCAAAGTTATGTTTTTGATGCCAGACATTGATTGCTGTAGTTTACTGGGCGTCTTCTGTCATCATGCTAAACGGGTGTCCATTAAATGTATAAACTATGGCTGTCTATAGATTTTTTTTAAACGAATTAATCTCACATTTTGAAATTCATTAATTGTGATTCATTCCTTAATTACTAAATTTATTGTTTATGAATTAACAGGTAATACTTTAGAAAATGTGTATTTTAGACACTGTTGTTTAATTGTATTTCTAATACTAATAATAATTTATGTCAACAAAGTTGCGTTGCTGTTACGTCCCCTTTTTTTGTTTGTCTAGGGGCGTGCGGAACAAACACAGGACAGTCAGGTTGAGAAATTTACTTACACAGATGGTAATTTGACACAATTTATTATTACATTACAGGTCATTTAGCAGAGGCTTTTATCCAAAGCGACTTGCAATGCAGAACATTGCATTTTTAACCCACGGCTTATTACATTCTTGCCCGGGGAGCAATTAGGGGTTATGTGTCTTGCTCAGGGACACTTCGACATGGGACATGGAGCAGCCCGGGCTCGAACCGCCAACCTCGCGGTTCCCTACACCTGCGCCACGCTGACCTTTATTAAACACTCCAATCTTAATACGAGATTGTACCCTGAGTGGGGGATGCTGGGACCTGTGGCTGAGCCAAACAAAATAAATGAATATAACAAAACTAGGCCTGACTATCCACCTTTAGAACGAGAATAAACGCACGCTTTTATAAACTTCTTTGGTATTACAAAATACAGCGGAAGCATCAACCAATAACCTAGTGTTTCTAGACAGGAATTGACTATGTGAGATTATGAATCTATAGGATACCCCAGACCTGGTCCTCGACCCCCCACCACACACCTTCACAACAACACTTTTTAACCAATACATTCATTTGCACAGATCTGCATCCACTAGGCCTTCCTCTTTTTATTCTCGAGCGCCGGCCAGTTGATTGACAGGCACAGGTGGAACCCAATTACCGGGATTGCACCTGTAAAGAGAGAGAGAGAGAGAGACCAAGACAAGAGAGAAATCCAAAGACATGATGGGGAATGTAACAACTGCATTAAAATATTTTATTGCATTAATATCCGCCGCAGTCTCATAGATTAACGCGTTAATTTGGACATCCCTAACACATACAAATAAGTTGTCATCACCCTGTGGGTTGCATTTCCTTGTTGCAATCCATTTACATTTTTCATATGTAATTTCTTAAACAAAGTTAAAAAAAAAAAAAAATCCCAGCAATTTTTTTCTTCTGTCTTTAGTTGTTAACACCCCATAATTGATCAGCATTGTGGCAAAAAACAATTGCCGTGTCCAACTTAAAATGTCGTGGGAGATATAGCGAGTGTCAAAAGACCATTTATGTTCAGAGAGAGAGACAGACCTTGGAACTGCATGTCATTTTTCTTGTATTATTGGCCTAAAGCACTAAATATCCGTACCATATGTAAACATGCATTTTGTCTTTAGTTGTGTGCACACGTATTAGAGCGCTGTGGAAAAGCTATCTTCTCCTCCCCACCAGTCCCTGCTGACTGACTGTACTGTGAATGTGTAAATGTATAGATGTGTATGTAATGAATCACAGTCTGCAACCTTTCAAAGCCCTTGTTAGTGTCTTAGCTCTTTGTCTCTAATGAGATCAGGGGAGCCTCCTTTGTTTCTATGGCTACACCTTCAGGCGACTCACCCTCTTCAAGCATCCCTTCTGTAAAATATTTTACAGTATGACACTGTTATAAATTAATGATTTAAAAGTGTTACATTTCAAAATAAAACCCCTACAATTGCTAACATTAAAAGAACTCAAACAAAAGATAGCCTTTCAATAATATACTTTTATTAAAGCTAAAGCAGTGTCAAACACAAGTAATCACATTAACAGTAATCACATTAAAAAAAAATACAAAAACATAACATTTATTACAACAAATGAAAACATATTCAACCACAAAAAACATTGAAAATACTTACATAACTGTTTAATACAAATGGAACACTGAACACATTCTCAACAACATTCTCTACAACCAAGACAAAGTCTGGAACAACATTTTTAGTGAACTGAACACAATTTTAAAGAGTGTTACCTTGGAAGGAAGGAGAGGTAGCACACTGCATCCTTCTTTTTTATAATGTTCAAAGTGGAAATATGTAGACGGCCACATAAAGCCCCACTCAAAGTCCAAGAGGTTTTTTTATCAGCGTGGCTACATGGGGATTGATAGTTGCCTCCTTATTCTGATACTACAGTATACATATACTGTATATATACACGTATACGTACAGTCTCTGTAATGGTGCGTTCACACCAAAAGCGAGGCGAATTACCGTATTTTCCGCACTTTAAGGCGCACTTAAAAGCCTTTAATTTTCTCAAAAAACGACAGTGCGCCTTGTAATCCGGAGCGCCTTATATATGGATCAATTGGTTAATCGGTTGATCCATACTGGTTGTACACGGCGCTCATAGCGCTCTGCCAAACATGCCAAAGCTTGGTCTACGACGGCGAGAAACAGCAGCTGACTTGATGACGTCACCGCATCAGCTAGTCTTGCTAATACAGTTCTTGACTGTTAAGTATTTTACTATCAAGCTTGTTTCGTTTTTTTAAAATAAAAAATGGTAAATAACGTTATAATATTTTAAATGTAAATGGTAAATGGACTGTACTTGTATAGCGCTTTTCTAGTCTTCCAACCACTCAAAGCGCTTTGACACTACATGACATCATTCACCCATTCATACACTGATGACAGGAGAACCACACACAGGGACACCTGCCCATCAGTAACTAACATTCACACACTGTAGTCGCAGCTACAAGAGCAATGTTGGGTTAAGTGTCTTGCCCAAGGACACATCGACATCCGGGTTAGCCAGGCCTGGGATCGAACCGCCAACCCGACTGTACTCCCCACTCACAGTCGCACCCATTTCACTGGATAGTAACACATTACATAAACTATCATTTGTCTTCGTGTAACTTAAACATCGGACAATACGGTCAACGGGGGGGAGGGTTGCGCGAACGATTGGGGTGGGAGAGGGGATGGAGCGGACAATATGGTCGAGGAGAACAGGCGGACGATGCGGCCAACGGGGGGGACGGGAGGACGATATGGTCAACGGGGGGTGGCGCGGACGATAAGGTCGATGGGGGGGGCGCAGACGGACGATGGTGATTCATAGGCCTCATGAATAGTTCTCATCTCAGAGGAAGACAGGCGCCAGCACGAGCTCTACCTGCAGTAAGCGGGAAAAGCTTTTGCACATCCAATTTCTCACGGAAAAACACATCGGATCGGATTTTGGGCCGATTGGCTGCGTGCGTGGTAAATTTTTGGTCACTCCCGACAAAATCTTACTCTTAAGGTTTTTTGAAAAGTTGGCAAGTCGGCAGTCGCCCTCTGATGGGGTTGCTGTAGTAGTGTAGCTTTGCTAGCAGCAATGGTGTCTGCTTCCTTTAGCATGACTCGTTAGCGCTGCTCTCCCATGTTTGAAATATTGAATGTTTCGCCTCCACATTACTTACTTCTGCTCGTCCCGGGTCTGTTTGTCGTAACTCATGGCATGCACTTTTCCATATGTAGCGGACCACGGTTAAATCTACACTTCCCTGGCACAGTGGATGATCACTTGGCTACTGTTTTTACGGCCACCGAATTTTCAGTTAAGGTGCGTTCAGACAACCACAGTGCGAATTATTTGCGCTGAAAGTATGAGAGCGTCCTGCTCATATGTGTTTTAGCTGAGCTCCATTTCTCCTCCTGACATAGCTGTCCAATGGACTGGTCCTGCATACTCATTTGACAGCCGGCAACAGATGTGTTGGCTGTAAATCCTGTGCCGTGGATGTGTAAATGGGGAGGGGCTCAAACAGTGTGGCCAACAATCCTCCTGCCAGACGGAAGGCCCTCAAAAAGTTGTTCAGAAGTCTTGTAAGGATGGAATATTGCAGCAAATCAACCTTTCAGCAGAGCGAACGACACGCTGCAACCTGCCCTTGTCCATGGCTACAGTATACCAGGCAGTGATGGAGGAGCAGATGGACTCAATGATGCCCTTGTAGAAGTCCACCATCATTGACTTTGGTACAATGATAGTTCATCCTCTGCTGAGCCTTCTTGGTGACAGACCTGATGTTGAGCTACAGGGTGATGGGGGCGGGTGGGGCTGCATTGTTCTGGAAATCTACAAGTATCTCCACGGTCTTTAGAGCGTTGAGTTGTTCAGGCTGCACCAGGTCACCAGATGGTCTCCCACCTGTAGAGTGTACAGGTACTCATTCCCCCCAGAGATAAGTCCATAGGGGGTGGAGTCAAATTTCAGGAGATTGACGGAATGGTGACTGGAGGTGCAGCTGTTAGTGTACAGGGAGACCAGCAGAGGGGATGGATGGTTCACTCTTTTGTTGCACTCTGCTTTTAAAGTCTTTTTTCATATGTTTATGATGTCATGTATTGATTAAAACATGGTATGAATTTCTTGATGTCTTTTTTCAATACATACATATATTTTTATTTATTTGACCTTTATTTAACCAGGTAAAATCCATTGGGAACCAATTCTCATTTACAAGGATGACCTGGCCAAGAGGCAGTAGCACAGTCCACACAAGTGACACAAACCCAATACAGTATGAAACAGTATAACACATGGCTAAAAACAACAGTTAAATTAATAAACACTATGTACAAAAAGACTACTGGAAGTACTTTGTAAAAAATGCAAGCGAGAAGAAGGTCAGCAAGTACAGGAGTCAACGATGGTTCGTCGCAGTTTATGTTGAGAGAGGTGAGTGCTGATAGTTTGAGCGTGTTTTGTACGGAGTTCCAATCATTTGCACCGGCAAAATGAAAGGAGTTATGACCAAACAGGACAGACTTTTGGAATGATGAGCCGACTGAAGTCACTGGATCTTAAATGGCGTTTGCCGTCGGAAATGTGCAGAATATTTGAAAAGGTAGCCGGGGGGGGGGCATTCCCAAAATGGATTTGTAGACCACAAGCAGCCACTCCAAACAAGGTGCAGGCGGAGGGGTATGTGCAACATTAAGCTTTATTGGAAAAGCTATGAAACAGTGACCAGAAACTGCTACACTGATGAATTTTGTTGACCAAATCCTATACGGTCACTGCAATATCAGCCGTTTGAAACATTCTGCAATCACCACGTAAAAGTGACAAATATGTCTTTTTTCAAGTCTGACGTTTGGTCACAAGATGGCGATGTTTCACTGGATTCTGAAAAAGAATAAATGGTTATTAAACACACTGATAAATGTTTGGAAATGTTAATTGAAAACTGTCAGAAAACGAGAAACTTGAAATGTAAACAAGCTAAGAAGTCCATGGAATTTTGGAAAGAGGTCATGAAATCAAAGGGGAATGCAAATCAAGTGCAATCTAACTTAATCTAAATTAATCAACATCTGTGATGAAGCCATTGCCTGAAAATGAACTTTAAAAGCAAAATCCCTGGTTTCAACAAAACATGGAAACTATTGATGGTGTTATACAGGATGTAAATGTGTGGTTTCAGAGGTTGGATGGCATAAGGATGTAGTTAGCAGACCAATCACAGCCTGGTGCGCTGCAGGAGGCTTGCGTCGAATCATTTCGACACAAGCCTAGAAAAATGGGTCGACCCACGCAAGCACGTGTGAAAAGGCACGCAAGGGGCTCTTGCGTCTGCGTTTCCTTGGGTCGCTCTGAAAATGCAGAAGCATAAACTAGGTTTAACACAACTTGTATTTAATGGTAATCAAGGTGATATCACATAATTAAGAAGCAAAGTGACATACAGCTCTTCTCACTCAACAAAATCTCTTCTACTTCCAAGTGACATTCCTGTTTATGATGGTGATCCATTGCAATATGGAGTTTATTAGGGCATTTGAGAGAGGAGTGGAAAGAAAGACTGACTGCAGCGACTGCCTGCATTTACTAGAGCAATACACCAGAGGGTATCCAAAAGACTTAGTCCACAGCTGCCAACATTTGCCACAGCATACATGGACAAAGCTTTGGACAAGCCAGAGGATGTAAAAGCATTGCAAGCGTTTTCATTATTCCTGAGAGGTTGTTGCAATGCAACAGCTCACCTATATGGAGGAGTTGAAAGTTGCTTCCAGTACGAAGACCATTCTTCTGAAACTGCCTGTGAGGATGTCACAACCGAGGGAATCCTGGAATTAGGAGGCAGGCAAACAAGACTTAGTCCAGGTAAAAAATAAGTTTTTATTTGTAAAAAAAAAAAAAAAAAAAGGAAGTTTCCTGATACAGGTCTGATTAAACAGATAAACAACCAAAACCTAATTCATTAACCGAATAAACTTAACATCACCTCATCTGACATCAGCCCTCAGCTACACATGTTCCACCATTTCCCCCCAACAGTCGATGTCCTCCACCTTTATAGCGCCGTCAATCAATGTGCTCAGGTGACACCCATTATGACAATCCAACCCGATGATGTCACTGCTGACATCATCCCCTGCACAAACACTAGGCCTCACTGCCTGCCCTATCCTCTAGCCTCCAGCTCACCTGCAGAGCTTGGCAAGCATTCAACCCATATACCACCATGGGGACAAAGGTGAGTTGTCACCCAATTTGTCACACTGACTTACAAGCTCAGAGACAAGTGGAGGAATAGGGCATGTCAGCTCCAGGAACAACATGGACGTCGAGCTAGTTTCTCTGACTTCATGGAGAGACAAGTGAAGATATTGTCGATAACTACATCTGTCAAAAGCTCCACCTATGTCACAGCAAGAGAAAAGCTGAGACCAAGAGGAAGCAGTTTTGCAACTACTGTAACACCTGTAGAAACAAGAAAAAATGACAACAAATGGAATGAAAAATTTATCTGCCACTAATTCTCAAAATTCCTGTTTGTTCTGTGCTAGAGATGGTCACACATTGGTTCGCTGTCCACAAATCAGGAAAAAGATGCACAGGGAGAAAAAAACTCTTAAAGAAAAAGGGAGTCTGCTTTGGATGTTTGAAGGTAGGACACATGAGCAAAGACTGCAAGTCGTTGACTTGTGACATTTGCAACAGAAATCATCCTGAAATACTTCACATTGAACAAAAGGAGATCAGAAAAGAAACAGAATTGGATGAGAAATCAATTTGGAGCAATGCTGTTCTCTCACCTCATACATGTGGGCATATTGGGGCCGGTGAAGAAACCTTTCTCTCCTCTATTGTTCCAGTACAAGTAAAGACCCCCAAGGGAGATACAGTGTTGCAAACGTATGCATTTTTGGATCATGGAAGCTCAGCTACCTTCTGGACAGAAAGCTTGATGAGAAGACTGAATGTAACAGGACAAAAGACTAGTATTCTTTTGCGTACAATGAACCAGGTGAAACCTGTGACCTTTCATCATATCTCAGGTTTAGAGATATCAAGTCTGGACAAAAATGATTTCATACAACTGTCCAATGTATTTACACATAAGATCATGCCTGTTTCCAAGCTCAACGTTCCCAGACAAGACGACTTGATTCAATGGCCTTACTTGAAGGATTTCAAGATTCATGAAAATAGATGCTGGCATTGACCTGCTCATCGGCACAAATGCTTCTAAGGTATTGGAGCCTTGGGAGGTGGTCGATAGCCAAGGGGATGGACCATATGCTGTGAGGACCCTGTTGGGGTGGGTCATCTATAGTCCCTTGAGGGGAGACAACATCAGGGATGAGAATGGCTGCCCTGTCACCAACGAAACCAAACGTTTCCGAACATTTGTAGCAAATAGGATCTCCTTTGTAAGGGACACTAATGAAAATCCGGCAGATGAAGCCTCTAGGGGGCTAACAGCAAACCGCTTCTGAAGCTGCAAGAGATGGAGAAAGGGAGTTTCTCTGTCTGTTAACCAGACAAAGAATGGAAGAAACCTCATTTGGAAACTGCCAATGATCAAGCAAGACATCACAAGCAACCTCATTGTTAAAGGCCCATTGAACCCCACTAGCTCTTTGAGTTATTTCACTTCATGGAGAAGTGTGATGACAGCTGTAGCTTGGCTAGGGTTAGGGTTATCTTACTGCAGACTAGAAAAAGAAAGGAGATCAAGACTGCTGCGGAGTAGCTTAAAAGATGAGTCCAGGCAATTAAAGGAGATGCACGTTTTTAAAGCAACATTCCAAAGACAGTGTTTAAATCCTGAGGACCTGAGGACCTCTTTCAGTCAAAGACAAAGCTTTGAAGATGCTGGTGACTTTCATGGCAGAAGTGACAGCCATTATAAATGGCAGGCCTCTTGTTCCTGTGACAACCGACTCAGAGGACTCATTAATACTCACTCCTGCTGCTCTTCTCACTCAAAAAGTGAATGTCTTGTCTGCTCCTACTGGAGAGTTTGGAGTTTCAGACCTCTACAAGCGCCAATGGCTGCAGGTCCAGCACCTGTCTAATACCTTCTGGGACAAATGGCAAAAGCAATTCCTCCCGACACTACAGGCACGCAAGAAGTGGCAGTCCACTCATCTGAACATCAACCCAGGAAGTGTTATCCTCAAGGGTAGTCAAGTACCCAGAAATGAATGACCCCTTGGATTGGTAACACAGATCTTCCCCAGCGAAGAGAGGAAGGTTGAAATCAAGGTCACACAAACAGGAGTGACGAAACTCTTTCTTAGGCCTGTTTCTGAGATAGTGCTTCTTCTCCCCCCAGAGGCCCAGTGAAGTGAACTGACTTGGATTTATTGAGTGGCATGTAATCACGCCAGGCAGGGAGTGTTTTGTTACAATCGTCAATAAACCTGTGGACAACGGACAACTGTCTTCAGAGTCGTGAGGTCAGGAAGTTTGTCTAACTGCCAAGGTGTATCACAGCACATATACCTAGGGTAGCATAGATGGGTTTTTTTCACAGCGGCATTAAATTGTAACATACAATTATACGCAAGTACTCGATGGACTGGGTTTAGTTTTTGTAGCAAAAGGCTTATTTACAAAAAAAATTGAAAATAGGATTCCATGGTGGGTGTGTGATTGTGTGTGTAGGGGTGTTGAAGGTGCATAACCAAACAATCGTTGTATCTCCAGTCCGTGGTTTCCCAAATAAGTGAGAGATTTTAAGTTCCCACTTTTAAAGTATTTACGTTTGCTGTTGTCTCACGCTCCAGAACGGCTTTGTCTGCAAGCGAGAGATGCAAGCGTTGAGTAGGCTAGAACAGTGGTGTCCAACTCAATCACAGAGAGGGACAAAATTGAAAACTTCCATCAAGATACCCGATGCTTATGATGACAGAATAAAATAAAATACCTTCTTCATGTTTCCCCTGTGATCCCTCGCTGTGACCGATTACTGGGAAGCCTTGCCTCCTTCTCCAGTAGAGAATTCGCTAGATTTGTCACAAGTAGCTGTTGGTGTCACGGTTTGGGTTCACGTCCTGTCTTATTTTGTAGTTTTCTGCCACTCGTGTCCCCGGGCAACTTCACTTCCTGCCTTGTCCTGTCATCCCCTGTGATTGTCTGATCGTTTCCATCTGTGTCCAATCACCTGCACATCCCTAGTGTATTTAAGCAGTGTGTCTCTTGTGTCACTTGTTGCGTCATTGTCGAATGTCCTGGATGTCCCTAGTTTCTGCCTGCCTTTTTGCCCTGGTTCCTGTGCGTGTTTTTGCCCCTTGGCCTTTTGTTTCTGCCTTTTGACTATTAAAGTATTTTGTTTTCTAAAAAGTCCTGCCTCCCCGCACCCCTGACAGTTGGGGTGCCTTCTGGGACTTTTAATATCTGCCGTGTGCGTCCTATTAACCGGCGGGCTGGTTATGATAGATTTCTGATATTTACTCGCGGGCAGGATATACTTGTACCGCAGGCCAAACACCTAAAACAAAGTTAGACTGACGCAGGAGATTAAATGACCAAAGAAGATTGAAACCAGGAGTGTAAATACAGATTGTGAGGAGTACTATAAAGGTCAGTCAGTGATTCCTTGCTTTAACCATTAAATTTCACGTGATCTGTGAAGCAGAGAATATAGTTGGCCCGAGGTGGGCCAATATTGGACCAGCCCAACACCCCGTCGGCCCAATGGGGATTTCCCGATATCCCCTATGGCCAGTCCGCACCTACGTCGTTGTTTTTTGGTGCGTAACTATTTAAAATGAAGCGGCTTTAATGTTCTTTTCTAGCGCATGTGTTCTCGTCAAACAGCTTCTGACATTCCTCTTTTCTTCCTCCCATGCTGGTGTCTTGTGCAGGATCCTTGCCACTGTTGGGGCTGACTTTGATCTGACGACACTGAGGGCTGTGAGAGTGTTGCGGCCACTCAAACTGGTCTCCGGCATTCCAAGTAAGTTAGCTTCACATTTTTACTGGCCTAATTTTTATTGCAATTAGTAGAATAACTCATTCCAGAGAGGAATGTTCATCCAGCCATTCATCATTTTTCCTGCTCTTATACTGGGTTTGGTCACAGTGGCAGCAGGTCTAGAAGGTTGACCCAGACCTCCCTCTCACCCGCAACCAGGAGGCATCCTAGTTTGATACCCAAACCACCTCAGCTGACTCCTTTCAACACTAAAGAGCACCATGCCCTCAGAGTTCGAGATGCTAAACCTCATCCCTGCTGCTTCACACTCAGCTGCAAAAAACCCAAGTGATAGCTTGAGGTCACTGTCCGGGTTGGCCGAGAGGACCACATCATCTGCCAACCGAGAGTGGATCTCCAGACCCCCAAACACAGCATTCTCCATCCCCCGGCTGCTCCTAGATACCCTGTCTATGAAAGTCAGAGGATGGTGATAAAGGACAGCCGTGGCGGAGGTCGACATCCACCGGGAACGTATCTGACTTATTGCTGATGATACGAACACAGCTCATTCTGATGGCATGCAGTGACTACATGGCCATTGCAACGGGTCTGGCAACACATACTCCTGCAGTACCTCCCACAAGAACCCCAAAAAGACCCAGTTGCAGGGGCGGACTGGCCATACGGGATACCAGGGACACCCCATTGGGACAAGTTGGGCTGGTCCAATACCGGCCACCTTCTTCACCAACTGGCCCTCCATACGACATCGCCGGACACGATTACATTCTGTGCTTAACAAAACACGTTGAATTTACTCTTAGTGATTTTTCGTCCACAGACCGACAGTCTGGTGGAATGGCTGAATAACACTCACAAAGATGAACGTAATTCATTCATTCTAAGTCAGGTGGTCTTGGTATGTGGTGGCGCCGGAGTGGTTCAAGCAACGGCGCAGACAAGTGGCCTCAGCTGTTGAAAATTACTAATTGCATTCTTCCCACACATGAACAGAGAAGGGACTAAAGACTGGCTGTTCATATACATTCTGCACATCTATAACGACTCGCCACATTATGTTCGAAAATAGTGTTTGTTACAGCAAACCAATAATAATAATTTAAAATAATCATATTTCTCTTGTTACAGGTCTTCAGGTGGTATTAAAGTCTATTATGAAAGCCATGGTGCCTCTGCTGCAGATTGGCTTGCTACTCTTCTTCGCCATCCTCATGTTTGCGATCATTGGCCTTGACTTCTACATGGGCAAGTTCCACCGCACCTGCTTTAGAATTGACACAGGTGAGCTACCTGAGAGTGGGGGATGAACTCCGTCTTGATGTTAACCAAGGCATAAGTTGATAGAACCGTAATCATATATATGGTATAAATCCACATCCAAAACATATTGTGAAGTAACCTATTGAGGGGTCCCATGAATGTTTTGAGGATTCAAACACCCATTCCTGACAGACTTTCAGAATAACCGTAACATTTTTAAGCATGTGCATCAAATCGTATGATCAAAAACGAATGGTACTAATGGTAGACGTCCAACACCGCTTTTACTTCCTTTGAAGATAGAAAATGTATCTGAAGCCGATTCAGATTATGAGTGTTAGTTCGAGGATACCATAATTGTATTATTTGTTTGTTTCTTCATTAGGAAGGTGCATAACACATTTTCAAATTCCAATCACTGTGCATATACATACTCGTACACATATATATTTGTATCTATATATTATAGAGCGTCCAGAGTTATTAAAAGGACACTGACGCTGGTAAATTAGTCGTATGCTGGGATTGCCCTAACCCAGGCAGGTGTCGTTCGTCAGGCTAAATATCGTTTTTCGCAGAGATGTCACAACATCTGCACCCAGTGAAAGGTGGTTTTCTCTTGCTGGTCATATTGTTCAGAAGAAGAGAAGAGTTATATTGTTATGAATGTACCCAGCATGTATATATCCATGTATATTAAAAAAAAAATATATATATATATGAGCATCTGTGAAATCCTTTAGAAAATCTTGGTACGGCATATTTTGATGAGTATGTGTGTGTTTTTGCCTTTAGACGAACAAGTAGCGGATTTCCCTTGTGGGCTGGAGGCTCCAGCAAGGACCTGTGCTAATGGCACAGCCTGCAGGGAGTACTGGACTGGACCCAACTTTGGTATCACCAACTTTGACAATATCCTCTTCGCGGTTCTCACGGTTTTCCAGTGCATCACAATGGAGGGATGGGTGGACATTCTCTACAACGTGAGTCAACTTCTTAAAGCTGTTTATTAAGACAACAACTTAAGTTTTTTGGGTGGGATCAACAGGAGTCCGTCTAAGCTAGATAAATTCCTTCTCCTACTTCCAGAAATTGCAACTTCTATCAAGCGCAGCTTCAGTTTCAACAAAAACGCTGCACTTGCACCGGCCCTAAAGATTTTCTAATTTGCTGCTCAACGGTTAGGGCAAAACAAAATAATCCTAGTTTCATCATTTCACAAGGACATTCTGTCAGGCTCGCCGAATGAAGTAACAGTTAGGCCACAATATATCTTCTGCTCTTAACCCTCCTATTACAAACCCCATCACGGTGACAGGAATCCTGAGATGCTGCCATTTTTACTGTTTATGTCTAGCACATAACATCAATGACAGGCACTCATCATGAACCCATTTAATAATGCCATGCACCTCTGGAAAGCTTCAAGTCTGGGCTACAAAGCCCAAAAAATCTATTTGACCATCCTGATCCGCTAGGGGAAAACCAACACCAAAAACTTAAATCACGTTATCACTTTTCTATCATAAAATATCTTACCTCTGTAGGTTTTCAGCGAAAGAACGCATAATTCCCGAGGTTTTTTGAATGCTAAAGTGTGTGTCTCTCCCAAGGCAAACGTATCCTCTTACTGGCTAAGGAAACTGCCGTTCTATCCCACGATGATCTGCCTCGATTCCATTGGCTCTGACGAGTTCATGGAGGCTGGAAATCTGATTAGAAATCAGCCGTGGAATGGCTGAGATCTGAAAAAACTGCATCTAATTTCTCTTCTGTGATGTGGCCATGAGGCTTATACTAAAGCCTCTCTGGATTTGTTCTGCTTTACTGAAAGTAAAACCTTTACATATATACTGTTCACACAATAGGCTAACAGGCTTCTTCCTTCATGTTTTGCGGGGATAAAGCTCCTGTAAATCCTTTTTTTTTTTTGTCAGGCGAATCTGAGATCTTTTGCCATAAAAATAGATATTGTAAAGGGCTGAGGGGTAGTAGTAAAAGGGGTGTATGTTCCAGCCAAATCAGAATCAAGCTCATCGCGATCAGGTGTGTCTCCTGACACACCTGGACCTCCTCATCAAGCGGAGTACAAAAGAAGGCGGAAGGGGCAGTGAGGGGAGACCAGTTGGGAGAGGATCCCGGTAAGCTGGTAGCGGCCTGGCCCACGTAAACTTGATGTTGATGTTGATGAACGCGGGAGATCACCGTAGTGATTTTTTTTTTTTTTGTTTCTTTATTTAATAAGCAGATTAAAAATGTATGGTCGAGTTAAAACCATTTCAATTTTCACGTTGTTTATTTTGCCAGTGCTCTGCGCTTACATAGTTCAATATTTTTTCAGGCTTTTTGCAATTCTTAAAGGCAAAGATCTCAAGATCACACTGCCCAAATTAAAAAAGAATCAGGAATCTCTGGGAGGAGATACAGGGTATTTTTAGGGGTGCAGTATATACATACGCTACAAATTTGGTTAGTTATAGGTCTTGACATATTAAGCCACAACCCTGTAAGAATACGTGTTTAAGAATTGGAGCCTGGTCGGGGTTATCAAAAACAACTTCTCTCGTACTGGGAGATTTATTTGTCAGATCACAGCGCTGCGTTTGCAAAGGCAGGAGCAGTTCAGGTAGCACACAGGCCGGAAGAACAACTAACATCAGCAAGAACATCATGTTTTATAACCCTTGAAAGACAGAGAAGGAAAGATTTCTATTGCCCCTAAACTGGCGTAGAGGAGGACCTTCCAACCCCCTGCATCTAAAGATCCGGTCACATCCAATGTCTGGACTCCTGACTTAACGTAAACATCAACGAACAGAGTGTGTATGTTGAATAGTGTTGGTGTGTCTCTAAACCCCCGTTTGGCTGGCACATCTACTAGTTGACCTGCAGATCTTGCACTCCTCAGCCAGGACTGAAACTGACTCCCCATCCTGTCAGACTCGTGTCTGCCTGCTCGGCACATCTGGCTTCCCCCCTTACCTAACTCTTGAATCAATCAATCCCTTTTTGTCCAAAACCCTTGAACGTGCTATCTTTAATCAACTCTCCTCTTATCTCCACTGTAACAACCTCCTTGACCCCCACCAGTCAGGTTTCAAGGCAGGCCACTCTACAGAGACTGCTCTCCTTGCTGTCTCTGAGCAACTCCACACTGCTAGAGCCGCCTCTCTCTCCTCTGTCCTCATCCTTCTGGACCTCTCTGCTGCATTTGACACGGTCAACCACCAGATCCTTATTTCCTCCCTTCAGGAACTTGGTGTCACAGGCTCTGCTCTCTCCCTTCTCTCGTCCTACCTCGATGGTCGCACCTACCGGGTAACCTGGCGAGGATCTGTGTCGGAACCTTGTCCTCTTACTACTGGAGTTCCTCAGGGTTCCGTGCTGGGTCCCCTCCTGTTTTCGCTTTACACAAACTCTCTTGGCGCTGTCATTCGCTCGCATGGCTTCTCTTACCACAGCTATGCCGATGACACCCAACTAATTCTCTCCTTTCCTCACTCGGACACCCAGGTGGCGGCTCGGATCTCTGCCTGTCTAACTGACATCTCTCAGTGGATGTCCGCCCACCATCTGAAAATCAACCCCGACAAGACTGAACTACTTCTCTTTCCCGGAAAAGATTCGCTTACCCAGGACCTGACAGTCAACTTTGGGAACTCCGTACTAACGCCCACCTCGACCGCTAAGAACCTCGGCGTCACACTCGACAGCCAACTCTCCCTGACTCCCAACATTGCCGCGACAACGCGATCCTGTAGATACACGCTCTACAATATCAGGAGAATACGTCCCCTTCTCACTCAGAAGGCAGCGCAGGTACTGATTCAGGCTCTTGTCATCTCCCGCCTGGACTACTGCAACTCCCTCCTGGCAGGTCTCCCTGCCACCGCCATTCGACCTCTGCAGCTCATTCAGAATGCAGCAGCTCGACTGGTCTTCAACCTTCCGAAATTCTCCCACACTACTCCACTCCTCCGCTCTCTTCACTGGCTACCGGTGGCCGCCCGCATCCAGTTCAAAACATTGGTGCTCACGTACCATGCTGTGAATGGATCGGGTCCAGCTTACATCCAGGACATGGTCAAACCCTACATCCCAACCCGCACTCTCCGCTCTGCATCTGCAAAACTACTCGTCCCTCCCTCACTGAGAGCAAAACACTCGACTAGGTCTCGACTCTTCGCTGTCCTTGCGCCGAAATGGTGGAACGAGCTCTCTGAAGACACCAGGACCGCAGAGAGCCTTCACATCTTCCGCCGCAAACTAAAGACACACCTCTTCAGACTCTACCTCGACTAAAGACTAACAAATTGTAGCACTTAAATTGTACTTGTAACGTCACTCATCTATAGCAAATTGTAAATTGGCTTATTTGAGGAAATTGCACTTTCTTGTTTCTTGTTCTCCTGAGTTTGTACCCTATGGTTGAATGCACTTATTGTACGTCGCTTTGGATAAAAGCGTCAGCTAAATGACATGTAATGTAATGTAATGTAAAGACAAGACAGCGAACCCCCAACTAAGCTCATGAAAAGAACTTTTGATTATCAATTAGTCCATTGGCCCATATCTTCTAAAAAACAATGAAAGATCAACAAGCTTTATATGATTTCTGATGACATTTAACCAATAATGATCCAAAGAAAATCTTGTGAGTATCGGAATCAACATTTAGAGAGGTTGGCAAAAGTGTGTTTTACACAAAATTCTAAATTGCGGCAAATCTCCATTTGGTCCATTTAAATGCCATAATTTACTTTTTTGTAAAGCATAATCAAGAACACATGTGTTGCAAATTTGAAGTCAATCGGGGTAAAAACTGGGTTAATGTGGTACTTTTCAAATTCTTAGTGGGCGCTATAGAGACATTTCTTTCCAAATGCAAGATCCCAAAAATATCACATTTTTCACCAATACTGATATTTCCGGATTTATTTTAAAATAACAAAATGCAAAACATGAGAAAATGGCCTACTTCCGGTTTCGAGCATGGTCCCAAGAGACTTTCTTTTCAGTTTGCTTGTATTACATATTCCTACAAAGTTTCAAACTTGTAGGTCAAATGTAGCGCTGGGTCTGCTTCAATTAATAAATATAGGGGGCGCTTACCAAATTTACCATTTTGAATCATTAAAATTATATCCGGTAACTACATTATTGACTTATGTGTGTGCCATATAGTTACAATTTGAGCATGTTTAGTACCTCAAAAGCACCTATTTTTTGTCTACTGCAAATAGTAGGTCGCCACGGCAACAGCGTTACACAAAACATAAAATGCTTCTTGGGCTACGACTAGTTGTAGCGAGGACCCTAATTATTACTAATTCAAACCAGGTATGCTGAAGAAAGACTTGCTTAGTGTGTCCTACCATGGGAGCTATCCTACCATGGGAGCTATCTGGGAATCCCAGTCTTTTTTGTTATGAGGGTCCTCACTACGGCTAGTCATAGAGGAACCTATTGTATTTCAAGGAATTATTAGCATTATTTACTCTACGGAATTTTTCCTTTTGAATTTGGTCAAAAACACGTTTTTGCCCATTTCTCCTAAACGCTATGGATGATTGTCGCAGTATTTTCTGTGGATCATTATTGAGTCAATGTCCCCACGCCTTATCAAAATCCTGTTGCAATCTTATTGTTTTGAGAAGCTATGGGCTAATGAACTTTGCAAGGGATGTGGCTTAATCTGTCAAGACTGATAACTCCCCAATGACTTGGCCTGCCCTCACCAAAATTGTAACATGTGTAAACATTGAACCCCAGAACACACCCTAATTCTTTGAGAATATTTGACGCTGCAGTTAATCATTGAAAATCTGCTCTTTTGACCTTTTTTTATGATTTCTTAAAGTTGTAAAACACCGTACTCCTCCCAGATTCTTTTCAAATTCGCGCAGTGTGATCTTGAGACCTTGGGCTCTAAAATTTGCATTTTTCCGGAAGAAATATTAAGCTATGTGTGTTGGCAGCATTTTCAAAAAACACCATTCACCATGAAAATTGAAGTTGTTTTAACTCGACACCGGGACAATATAATGCATTGCCATCTCCCTCAGCTCACTCTCTACACCTCTAGAACTGAGTGAGAAAAGGATTAGCCACAAACACTGCTATGTCAAAGGCTGCCATACTACCCAAACCACTTTCGCATCACACTATCAATGCCCCCCCCAACAAACTCCAAGGGGAATCCGCTCTTTCCTATCAGGGATGGAGCAGCACTTAACTTCACAGATACTTGCACACAGCCACTCTAACCATGCGCCACAATAATCACACCCGCAGCAGAGCCAAGTTAGGACGAGACCCGAATTGCTATGTTCCGCGACGAATGTCTAGGGGAGCCAGGGAGTAACAAATGAAAATAAACTATAAGAGAAGGAATTTGTAAACAAAAGAGATGTATTTGACATAAAATCAAAATGTCACCCTGCTGACCTTCAGAAGGCACTGCCAGGCCATTGTCAAACACAAATTAAAATTTCATTTTTCACTTTCTTTTCCCCTCTCTGGGGCACCATCACCTTATCGTGGTGGAGAGGTTTGTGTGTCCCTATGACCCTGAGGGCTGTGTTGTCAGGAGCCCTGTGCTCCTGGTAGGGTTACCCTTGGCAAAGTGGTCTCAGGCGAGGGGCCAGACTAAGAATGGTTCAAAAGACCCTATGAAAAAACGGAAGAGGGAAGGAGTTACCTGGCCCGGAGGAACCCTGGGGCCCCCATTTGGAGCCAGGCCCAGATGGAGGGCCGACAGCGAGCGTCTGGTGGCCGGTTTTGCCGCAGAGCCCGGTTGGGCACAGCCCAAAGGAGTGATGTGGCAGCCCAAGACTCTACTCCCCATGTCCTCACTACCTGTGGGGGAAAACGATGGGGTTGCGTGCGCTGCTACAAGGTTGGCAGTGATATTGGGGGGTCTAGATCAGGGGTGTCAAACATCCGGCCAGCCAGGGGGTCCAGCTCGGCCCGCCCGATGACTTTGCTAAGTGTGTAAATTACAGAAAGACATAAATTGCATTTCTATAAAAGTAGCTGCAATTCCTAATCAGTCCACTGGGGTCGCACTGTCACAGAGCATGCCCACATAGACTGTAAATAAAACAAGTGAAGAGTAAGAGTATCGATTTACACTGAGAACTAAAGAGCAGATGGCAGCAACCGGCTTTTTTTAATTCGCCCGGTCTTTTTCTGCCAAAAGCGTGACACCCTCACCCCCAAATGTCTCTGTCAAAAAAGAGAAACGTGGACACCGAGTAAAATGGACCACATTCGATTTTTTTACAACGATAACTGGAAAAGCCGTGTGTTTGTTGTGTTCGCAGCAAGTTTCTGTGCTCAAAGACTATAATATTCGGCGCCACTATGAGACTCACCATGGCGAAAAATACGACCGCTTGCAAGGAAAACTGAGAACCTACTTGCAAGTCTAAAGAAACAACAGTTCGTTTTTACCCGGAGCCGAGAGACAAGTGAGGCAGCAGTGAAAGCTAGCTACTTGATTGCTAACAAAATAGCATCAGCCTCAAAGCCATACTGTGAGGGTGAGTTTGTGAAAACATGCATGCTGAAGGCTGCAGAAATCGTGTGCCCCGAGAAGCGACAGGCTTTTGCCAACATAAGCCTAACGAGGAATACTGTGACGGATAGGATTGCCGATCTTTCAGCGGATTTGGATAGCCAAAAGAAGCATAAAGTCAAGTCGCAGTCAAAGTCAGTCATTGTAGCATTTTCAGTTGCAATCGATGAGAGCACTGACATTACAGATGTTGCTCAACTGGCCATATTCATTCATGGTGTTGATGAGACTTTGGCGGTCACCGAGGAGTTCCTTGAGTTGGTACCTATGACAGACACCACTACAGCGAATGACATTTTTAGTGCTGTCGTTGAAGCGCTGGACCGGGACGGAGCGGACTGGACCCGTGCTGTCAGTGTGGCTTCAGACGGCGCACCATCAATGATAGGGAGAAAAACAGGCGTTGTGACAAAATTCAGGGAGAAAGTACAAGCTGCAAATGGAGGACAACGTTTTTGGACATTTCACAACAGTTTTGAGCATGTTTGGGACCACCTACCTGTGTGAACAAGTGTTCTCTGTAATGAACGTCACAAAAACAAAGCTTTGCTCAAGACTCACACACAAGCACTTGAATGATGTTCTTAAATTGGCTGCTACTCAGGATTTTAAGCCTGATATTGATGCACTTGGGAGGGCTAAAAGATGCCAAGTTTCAGGAGAAAAATAATTGGTGAGTTGACCTACTTCATGTAAGCTAAGGCTTCAGACACTTTTGCATCCTGTAGAACACAGTTTTGTGAAAATGAAAACATACTGTTGAAATATTTGACACTGAACATTGTGCAATATAATGTCAATCAGCAGCTTCAGTACAAAAGGGTTTGGTTTGATGGAACACTGTGGCTCATGCACTGCCAACTTTTTTTTATTCTATATTTTGAAGGCAAGAGGGGTGACTTAACCTCCTTACTTAATAGCTCCCACGTTTGTTTGTATTTTGTGGTGAGTCAGTTCAGGTGTACAGATAACTACACAGATGTGGAAATGTTAGTTAGTACATTTAAAATGTTTTTTTAGATCTTGAGAAGTTTATTTTGTTATAAATACCTATGACTACATGTTTTGCTCTGTAGATCAACTGTGATCTGAAGTTGTAATGCACATAAACTGAAGCACAGTATTGGTGAAATTGCACTTGTTTTTCTTAATAAATTGGTTTATGAGTACAAATGTTTTTGTTTTTTTTAATCAATCCAGTAATTGCTTCAAAACAGCGTAAATGCTGAAAAGCAAGGAGAACGTAAGGCACTCCCTCGTCCCAGTCTTTCCCAGTGTCATGAAAGTACCGTTAGAGTCTGATGCCACCGCTCTAGCGCACCTCGTGACTATGGATGGTAAGCACTAGACACATAGTGGGAAACACCTAAGAGTGTCTGCTGAAAAACCTTGGAGAGAAAATTCAGCACGCTAACCTCAAACTCATCCAGTAGTTCACAGCCAGATCATCAAAAAGGAACACCGAATCATAAGAAGGCTAGACAACACGGAATACGCTGATATCTGTAACATTTCACTCCAACAAACAATGCCAAAACCCGAAGTGTAAAATAATCACCAAGCGTACGAATTATAACGGCCCATTATCTTTGATGTTTTGAACGAATTTGAATTCGTTCAAATTCGTTTGAATCCTATCTTTTTTAGCAACATACATTCAGCGGCCATTGTGTGCGCCTCACAAACAATTTCAGAGTCTTCCGTGCAGGTTTTGGGTGTTTTTTTTTGTAAGTCATGTTTAGGTTTTGAGTGTTTTTTGTTTTTTTTCAAAACCAATTGTCACTCTCAAGCGCCATTTTACACCCTACCCGTTTTGGCTTCTGAGTGGCTAAGTAAGCTTTTGGTATTTTCCGCGGGGTTTTAGTCAGACTAATGGGATCAGACGATCAGATAAAAAGATGAGTGAGAATCCGCTAACCAGAGCCAGACTTGAGCAAAGAAATCCAGATTTTCACTTCTGCCGTTTCTCTGTTGTGAGGCCTGCACTAAAATAGTTTATCTTGATTCTGATTATTATTTTCAAAGTCCATTGCTCACTGGCTCTGAATACACATACAGGCAAACCATGGGTTACACAAGGGGGGGATCGGTATTGTCTTGAGAGAAACTGCTTTATTAATGTTAACCTGCCTGTTATAATCTTAGGATTGTGGAGTGTTTTGTTTTAGCTTATATTATCAAGTCCTACCCTCTCTCGATGACAATGCCAGTGCCAGTGTGTTGCACTTTGACATATCATATACTTTTGAGTTTGTTCTGACTCAATTCTACATACAGCGCCTTGCTGCCATAAAAACTCGACAACCAGTGTGTATTAACACTCATGCACATCGTCCCCTGCTCGTAAAACAGTAAACTGTAAAGTACAGTGGTTTTAGTCCTGTAAAAAAAGAAACCAATACAATGACATGATACATTCAATTTCGTATTAAATATGTCTTCGGCGGGAAATAATGTGTTTGGGGCTGCCGACGGAATAGGAAGGTCAAAAAGTACTCAGAGAATCAACAATATGTCTCTATAGAAAATAGACATGAATCTCAACACTGTTAATAAACCCTATCCTTTCTCTCTGTTTGCTTACTTAGGCCAACGATGCTTCAGGGAACACATGGAACTGGCTATACTTCATCCCCCTCATCATCATTGGTTCCTTCTTCATGCTAAATCTGGTGTTGGGTGTGCTGTCAGGGTGAGTACAGGGTAAAGTGAGGATGACATTAGCGGAGTGTTTCAAGATCTAACCCTCTCTTAACCGGACCAGTTGGGTGTATTGATGGCTCCATCTCTACAAGAAAAACCTAAATGAGAATGTGCTACACCTCACACAAGAATGCTGTCACGATCGGGTAGGCAGAGGCAGGACTCAAACGCAGAGTTTGACAAAAGGTACTTTTGATAAATCCAAAATAAACATCGGGGGGGCGAGATGCAGGCACAGACCAGGAACTCACAGGAAAGACAGGGTTACGATATTCGGGGTAGAACATTCAATGACGCGACAAGGACAAAACACACACATGGCTTAAATACACTGGGTCGCGACGGGTCGTGGGGAGCCGGGCTAAGGGGTGCCGGCATCAGGTCCCGGGGAGCCGGCTGCAGGACACGAGCATGGGGGTGTCAGCTGCAGGATGTGGTGGAATTGTGGATTTCAGCCCTTGTGAGAAATCAAAAGTATCAGAGACTTGTTTGTGATGAAGTATTTTACTAACTAGAATATAGGAAAAATCATAAGAATACAGAAATAACCAACACAAGTCGTAAGTACAGACAGAAGTCGAATGACTACAATTCAGCTGAATAGGGGCAGATGATTCTTTCTCCCAAGAGGAGCCAGAAGATCTGACCAAGTTTCTGGGGGAGAACAGGAGCTTTTATACATCTCCGAAGGTTCGAGGTTCGAGGAAGAGGAAAACGGAAGATCCTCACCCCCCCACAAGGGGAGATTAGTGGTAAACGGATGTCGTTTGAGAACATCCGTGGCCCTCCCTTAATGGGACCATGTCAATCATATTTGACAGACTAAATGGACGGAAGGAGAGAAGAACAGGATACGGGTTAGTCCAGGCACCTGTCTGGCAAACACGATGCCATTGTGGACTTGGTCAGGTCACGAGTTTCCCAAGACAGGTCACATACGAGTTCTTGAGACACTCACAATATGCCGCTCTACAAATTCTCCCCCAACATCTCTCTCTTTTTGTCATTTTTGACAACTAAGAAATCGACTTAAACTCTAAACGACAATCTTTAGGACTTTGTCTGACATGGAGTTCAGGACTGACCAGTGACCTAAGTGCGGCGTGCTCAGCCGTCACATGTAAGTTTTACAACCTTCCTTCCCAGTCCTCCGTCTTGGACATTCAAAAGTGGTCAACCCTCGCCTCCAAGTTGCTTGAGTGGGAGGCTGTTCTGGCCTGCGGGAGGTCAGGGCCTGTGGTTTCCCAGCCTCATAAATTACTTCAGGTGGTACTGTTTTAGGCTGTGTCTCACCGACAAGCTTGTAAGTTTATTGCATGTTTCCCTCCAGTTGCTGGAGCCGGTGTAGGCTGGTATCTCCTGACACGATTGTGGTTTACTGCACCAGAATGGTGGATCTTCTAAAATCAAATCTTCCGTACACCCACACAGTACATACTGTATCTCTTCTTAACCCGGCAACACACATAATTAGTTCAATTAGTGACTTTCTATTTTAACCCATGCATCATGTTCTATTGTGTAGCGCAAAAATTCAGTCTTGTCTCAAAGTTCAGCTGGACAGTGGAAACTTCCTGAAATTCCCTATTGGAGTGGTGGAGAAGGCTGGAATCTGCGACCTTAAAGGAGGTTGTACTTCATTGATCGTGAGGGGGATCAGTACTAATGTGGCCATCATGTGGTGATAAACACATGTTCATACTCAGGCTCCAACCATGCTTTCTTGGAGTGTTCTTTGGCGCTGGAGATCTGTCTTCTATCGTCGTTCTTCGGGTGGCTGTCGTCTTTGCCGTCTCTGCTGGGCTCGTTGGTGTTTTGGAACACTGCAGTGGGGGCAGGGCTCTCCACCCTGCAACCAATTAACCGGAACCAGATGAAGGTGCACCTTAGTCTCCTGGTTCTGGGATGCGTTTGCAGTGGCTGGCATGGACCCACGTCGCTTTCCCTTCCACCATAACTGCCGTCTCCGTGGTCAGGAATACTTGAAAGGGCCCTGTGGAGCGTCTCTGCTTCCAGTGCTTTCTCCGGTTATCCTTAATGAGGACCTGGTCTCTGGGTTTCAGGTGGTGCTGGACTGCAGTAGCTGTGGATAGAAGCGCCGCTTTCACCTCTCCGTGCAGTGCTGAGAGTGAGGGGGAGAGGTTAGCACAATATCTCAGCATGCTCATTTAGAGCAGTGCACATCTCGCCTTTACCCACGTGATCTCTTCCGTGAGACAACTTAGCATAAATGTGGAAGAGAGCAAGTCTTGGTATGTAAGATATGGGAGACAGCATGTGGGACCCTAAGTATGACATCACAGTAGCCCACAATGTCACGTGATGCTAAAATGTCTCTCGGCTTTTCCCACTGCTCGCAAACAGAGAGGAAGACCCGAAGCAACAGGGTTAAGTTTTGAGGAGAAGTAGGCAACAGGCCTAAGTTTTCCTCCATGAAGATGACACAAAATTGATGTCATGTAACAGTCCTTCTGGTCTATGAACTGAGTGTACGGTAGGTTGACAACTGCCTGTGCCACTCAGTCCTTGGCTCGTCCCGTGAGGAGAGAGACAATGTATGCAACTTGGGACCTCTCGGAGGGAGGCAGAGGGCTGAAGCTTGAAAGCGAGAGAACACTGAATCAGGAATGGTCGACAGGAACCAGAAGCACCAGAGCCGCGCTCCGGGGGTGGTAAGTGCGCTTCTGACGCGGGAGCCGAGTGAGAAGGAGGTCTGAGAGCACTTGTAGCACCTGGGACCTGAGTAGCGCCGGGGAGACTCAGCAGATGATCACGGAGAGACTCCATGCTGCGCTCATGACGGACACTCATAGCCTGCATGGCTTCCGCCAGGAAAAAGCACAACTCTGAACCGGAAATCCAATCAAAGTTCTTTACTCATACAGGCTGGGTCAAAACCGGGGTAGCAGTCCAACGGGCAAACAAATCCAGAGGGGGAGGCAGGGAATCCGTAAACGAGGATAGGCAGGGTTCAGAACCAGGATGGCAATCCGACAGGTGAACAAATCCAAAAAGGGGCAGGTGAAGTGTTTGTGGTCGAAAAAGGCAGGCTAAGTCAGGACGGGATATCAGGTAAACACTGGAAAACTTGGCATACACACAAGACAATCTGGCAGAGTGGAAGTGTGGGGACCTAAATAGTGAGGGGCTAATGAGGGAATGGGCTGCAGGTGGGAAGGGCATGAGGACCAGATGAAGAGAATAAGATGATTTCTTGTTGATGACAGGATCTGGAATGACAGTAGATTTAATTGACAAGAAAGCAGGCAGGCAGGAGAACAACTAATACGATGGAGAATTCGTGACAACTAATATGGAGAATATGTCGCATTCCATCAAATATGATTGTTTTTCACCCTGAACGGTACTGTGTGCACCTGGAGAACTTGTTGGCACAGTTTAGCTGACGTTTTGGTTAGAGTTAAACGTCATGGAGGATATTGCTGCATTTATTTGAAACCCATTCCTGCATATTGACACAGAGGAGGTTGCACCTAAATTCCAGAAAGGATTTGCTTTGCCAGGTGGAGTGGACATGGAGATGGTTGATATGCAAAATGACACAGAGCTGAAAGCCAGGTCAAGGGACAGGGACTTTGCAGAATTGTCAGCAAAGAGAAGTTTCCTCTCCCAAAAGTGAGTGCCTACTTTGGATCAACTTCCCTGTGTGAAATGGCATTTATACAGATGAAAATCACCAAATCAAAAAACAGGAGCCAGCCCACTGACAGTCACCTCACAGACTGCCTCAGACTGGGGGCTTCATGTACTAATGCTTTTGCGGCCACTATAGGTGTATTTGTGCGCGTAAAAGGATGGCGAAGTATGCACAAACAAGCCGCACTGAAATAAAAGTGCAGTTTTCACGGGAGGGTCAAGGGGAAAGTGGGCGAAGAGATGGTAGGGGCTGCGTAAAGTGTGTCTAATTATGTATTCCGCGGTATGTGCAGAAACCGGCCGTGGAAGTGTGCATCCATTTAGCGGTGAAAATTCTCCTCATAAAAGCAGGTGTAAACCAGAATGTGTGTTTTCTCACATATGCCTTCTTGGTGGAAATGACAGCAATAATCCGAGCCAGACGGCAACATAGGCCACGGGACTGCAGGGATTTTTGCCACACTGTAGACAGAGGTGGGAGTGAGAACAATGTTTATTGGGTAGAAATGTTGGAGATCTTCAGGGGGGATTAGGAGGGTTGAAAGGAATGATGAATCCAGTGGTGAGGTTGGTAGTCCTTACTGCAGTAGAGGGGAGTCCAGATAGGAGAGGAGGGTGCTGGCTGTATGCTGAGGCTAGAGTCCGTGGTGGGGCGAGCAGGCAGGGGGCGAAACGGAAGGCGGTGAAGGCTCCGAACATGTAGCCGATTCCAGCAACGGGAGGTAAGCTAGAAGAGACAAAAGGCGAAAGGTCAAAACTTTGGAAACAGTATCTGCTAAATTTGTTGTTGATCCTAGTGTCTTAAGTTAATTTGATTGCTGGTTTGCTTTAGTTTTCGTCGTCTCACTGCCAGTTCTCTTTGTTTGAAGTTATCTTGGTTGCTAGTTTGCTCAATCTCTTTCAGTCTTTTAGTGCCAGGTTGTGTTCTAGATTCTACTATTAAGTTAACTGCCAGTGTGCCCTCCTAACTCTGCTAGGTTTTGACCTGATCTAAGTCTGTTTTGCCTTGTCTTCTGAAGCAAATAAGACTTGAATCCTTAAACTCTCATTTTGTCAAAACACCACATGGTGATTGTTCACCGATTAGGGTGTCAAGCTATTGGTGCTTTGCATTTTGAGGAGTTTCTGTTGAGGCCAATCGACCTTTTGTCTCCTAAACGACGGGGGAGCGGCCAGCGCAGCCGCAGCAGACTTCCACTAACGAGGGAGTATTTAACTAGAAATCGTGGGAAGCGTTAGCTTATCCTCGCAGCACGAAGACGAGCAGAACAAAGACAAAGGAGTCTTTCGTGGAGTCAAGACGAGCAGAACAAAGACAAAGGAGTCTTTCGTGGAGTCAAGACGAGCAGAACAAAGACAAAGGAGTCTTTCGTGGAGTCAAGACGAGCAGAACAAAGACAAAGGAGTCTTTCAGGGCGGCTGAATGCGGCGCCTTCTTCTGCTATTTTTAATAATGTGTTTGACCCCTTTACCCGTGCCTGTTCGAATCTCTTCCCGCAGATACTACAGGCCTCGGGCTAGATCTGCTCTCTATCGTAACCTCTCCTCTCTCTCCTATCCCACCCGCTGCACACATGTCCAGCACCTCGTCACAGGAGGTCTTTGGAACTGCCAGTCAGCGACTCGCAAGGCTGACTTCATCTCCGGCTTCGCTATCCAGCAGTCACTCGACTTCCTCGCTCTCACCGAGACCTGGATCACACTTGAGAACACATCTACCCCAGCCGCTCTCTCCTCCGCCTTCTCCTTCAGCCACACTCCCAGGCCCACTGGTAGGGGTGGTGGCACAGGTCTACTCAGTTCACCCAAATGGAGCTTTTCTCTCTACCTTCCACCCTCCACCTCCACCATCCACCCCAATGTCCTTTGAATTCCATGCTGTAACAGTCACTCACCCGGTACAATTAACCATCGTTGTCCTCTACCGTCCGCCAGGCTCCTTAGGTCATTTCTTAGAAGAACTGGACATTCTCCTGTCTAATTTCCCCGAAAATGGACTTCTGCTCATCCTCCTGGGTGACTTCAACATCCAGACAGAGAAGTTATCTGACCTCTTACACCTACTTTCTTCCTTCGCTCTGTCACTCAGTCCCTCTCCTCCTACTCACAAAGCCGGCAATCACCTTGACTACATCTTTACTAGAAACTGCTCTACCACTTACCTCTCTGTAACTCCACTTCATGTGTCTGATCACTTCTTCATCTCTTACTCCCTTCCACTCTCTATAACTAACAAACCTCCCTCATTGACTAACTCTCAGCCACCATGCGAGCGTCGGAAAGGAGATGGCATAAATATAAACGACCTGACGACCTGCTTAAATTTCAATCTCTCCTCTCCTCGTTTTCTGCTTCTATCTCTGCTGCCAAAAGCTCTTTCTACCAATCCAAAATCGAATCTTCATTTTCTAACCCCAAAAAACTCTTCTCGATCTTCTCCAATCACCTCGAACCCCCTACCCCTCCTCCACCCTTCTTCCCGGGAGACTTTGTCAACTACTTCACCAAGAAAATAGCTGACATACGCTCCTCCTCTTTCGCCCTCACTTTCCTCTTTCACCGCCCTCTCTCCTAACCAAATTCTTACCATAGTAACCTCTGCCCGTCCTGCCCTCTTGACCCCATTCCATCACATCTTCTACAATCTATCGCACCTGACCTTCTTCCGTTCCTCACCTGTCTCATCAACAACGCTCTGTTATCTGGCTGCTTTCCCAATTCTCTGAAGGAGGCAAGAGTCAACCCCCTCCTGAAGAAACCTACCCTCAACCCTTCTGAAGAAAACCGGTCTCTCTTCTTCCCTTTTTGTCCAAAACCCTTGAACGTGCTATCTTTAATCAACTCTCCTCTTATCTCCACTGTAACAACCTCCTTGACCCCCACCAGTCAGGTTTCAAGGCAGGCCACTCCACAGAGACTGCTCTCCTTGATGTCTCAGAGCAACTCCACACTGCTAGAGCCGCCTCTCTCTCCTCTGTCCTCATCCTTCTGGACCTCTCTGCTGCATTTGACACGGTCAACCACCAGATCCTTATTTCCTCCCTTCAGGAACTTGGTGTCACAGGCTCTGCTCTCTCCCTTCTCTCGTCCTACCTCGACGGCCGCACCTACCGGGTAACCTGGCGAGGATCTGTGTCGGAACCTTGTCCTCTTACTACTGGAGTTCCTCAGGGTTCCGTGCTGGGTCCCCTCCTGTTTTCGCTTTACACCAACTCTCTTGGCGCTTTCATTCGCTCGCATGGCTTCTCTTACCACAGCTATGCCGATGACACCCAACTAATTCTCTCCTTCCCTCACTCGGACACCCAGGTGGTGGCTCGGATCTCTGCCTGTCTAACTGACATCTCTCAGTGGATGTCCGCCCACCATCTGAAAATGAACCCCGACAAGACTGAACTACTTCTCTTTCCCGGAAAAGATTCGCTTACCCAGGACCTGACAGTCAACTTTGGAAACTCCTTACTAACGGCCACTTTGACCGCTAAGAACCTCGGTGTCACACTCGACAGCCAACTCTCCCTGACTCCCAACATCACCGCGACAACGCGATCCTGTAGATACACGCTCTACAACATCAGGAGAATACGTCCCCTCACTCAGAAGGCAGCGCAGGTACTGATTCAGGCTCATCTCCCGCCTGGACTACTGCAACTCCCTCCTGGCTGGTCTCCCTGCCACCGCCATTCGACCTCTGCAGCTCATTCAGAATGCAGCAGCTCGACTGGTCTTCAACCCTCCGAAATTCTCCCACACTACTCCACTCCTCCGCTCTCTTCACTGGCTACCGGTGGCCGCCCGCATCCAGTTCAAAACATTGGTGCTCACGTACTATGCTGTGAATGGATCAGGTCCAGCTTACATCCAGGACATGGTCAAACCCTATATCCCAACCCGCACTCTCCGCTCTGCATCTGCAAAACTACTCGTCCCTCCCTCACTGAGAGCAAAACACTCGACTAGATCTCGACTCTTTGCTGTCCTTGCGCCGAAATGGTGGAACGAGCTCTCTGAAGACACCAGGACCGCAGAGAGCCTTCACATCGCAAACTAAAGACACACCTCTTCAGACTCTACCTCGACTAAAGATTAACAAATTGTAGCACTTAAATTGTACTTGTAACGTCACTCATCTATAGCAAATTGTAAATTGGCTTATTTGAGGAAATTGCACTTTCTTGTTTCTTGTTCTCCTGAGTTTGTACCCTATGGTTGAATGCACTTATTGTACATCGCTTTGGATAAAAGCGTCCGCTAAATGACATGTAATGTAATGTAGTCGCCGAGCTCGGTGACGTCTCCTCGGCACGCTAGTTCGGTCTGGAGTTCGGGATGGAGACCGCGACGGTAGATGGTAAGGAGTACGGTCTCACTCCACCCGCTGCCAGCGGCGAGGGTCCGGAATCTTAGAGCGTAGTCCGACACAGTCTGTGACCCCTGACGGATTTCGCACAGCAATTCCCCCGTGGTCTTCCCGGTGACGGGGTGGTCGAACACATACTTAAATTTTGCCTGGAAGTGTTGCTCGGACAGAAGTTCCGGGGCTCCGGCTGACCAGATGGCCGTCGCCCAATCGAGGGCTCTTCCGGTTAACAGGGAGATGACGAAGTCGACTCTATCCTTCTGTAGTAGCAACTGTAGTCTCAAGGGATAAGGCAAAACGGGGAATCCGGGGACAGGCAGAGGTTCAGAGACACGGGATGGCAAAGGATGGATCTGGTCCAGGGAATAGGCAGGTTCGTGGTCAAGAGAAGGCGGAAGGTCAATACACAGGAGCTCACTGGTTCTACGGGAATTCAGGGGCAGAGAAACAAAGGGTTCAGCAAAGACGCGTACTCGTAATACCTCACAACTCACTCGCTGCGTCGGCCTGCTCTTATAGGTCTCCTCTCGTGGGTGTTCCCAATTTCGGTGATTGGCTCCGGTGGACGCATCCTCCCTCGCAGGTGTTTAGAATTGTGGTGATTAGCTCCAGAGGACGCGTCCTTCAGCGCCCCCTTGCGGCCTCCTGCCGCCACGCTGGGGTTAAGACCTCACAATATACACTGTGCGTATGTGCGTGTGTACATGTGTGTGTTTCCAACAGGGAGTTTGCCAAGGAGAGAGAGCGGGTGGAGAAGAGGCAAGAATTTCTGAAGCTGCGCAGGCAACAACAGATTGAAAGAGAGTTAACTGGGTACCTGGAATGGATCTGCAAGGCAGGTCAGAAGAACACACAATCCAATCAAAAGTCTTGGCTGTAAGTGATGTTGACACAAATGTAATCAGATTATGTCTGCAAGTGAAAGTGTAGTATCTGTGTTGCAGAGGAGGTGATGCTGGCTGAGGAAGACCAGAACGCAGAGGAGAAGTCTCTGGATGGAGTATGGTACAAAAAGAAACGCAACAGCTCTGGTGAGAACTGCCATCCGAAAAAAATGTGCCTGGTTAAGTGTCATGTTAGAAGTCAAGAAGTAAAGACACTACAACTTAGCCTACATATTTCTATAAAAAGCAAGATCAATTAAAGCTGCAAGCAGCGATGGCCAGGTCCTCGCTACTCCGCATGTCGGGGCACTGGCCGGACGGCTAAAAACGCAGCCAAGAACTACTGTGGCCGTCGAACAAAGCGTCCCGAGACTTGTCGTTAACCATAAGGAGCGACATCAGGAATGCAAACTTCATCTTAAACATTATTATGGTCAGGTCTTTTCTGACATTTGAGAGGGATCTGTTTAATTTGTGAGGATATTTGTATCAATCGATAGTTACATAATAATTTCACTTCAGACGGATAGTACACATCCCCAAGGTGTCGCTTTGAGATAACCAGGACATTCTGATGTACTATTCCAAAATGAAAGCCTCTCAAAATACCATATCAATTTCCTTCAAAATTTCAATCACTACATTTGGGCAATTTCAGATTAGATTTAAAAGGAAACGATCAATAGTTACACAGTATTTCCACTTCAGGCAGAGTGTACACATCCCCAAGGTGTGACTCTGTGACAACCAGAAAATCTTGATGTACCATTTTAGAAATCCCACCTTCGATGTTTACTGGATACTAGAAAATGTCACTTCCTGTTACCAGTAGGTGGCGCCTAAGTTTGATTCAATTTTACATTTCTTCAGGCCCAGAGTCTCATCAAACTTGTAAATTTGAAAGAATCTGATGATGTGGAGTAGAGTTACAACGGTTTAGTTGTTCTTGGCGAAGGTTCAACTTTATCGACGCTCCCTCTCGCCACCGATTATCGGATTCTTATAATATTCACAGTTACTAACTTATTAACCTTTGAGGAGCATAACCTGTGAGCAGCAGGGTGTAAAATAAAAAACATTCAACTACCCGTTTCCCCCAGCTGGTGCTCCCTACACACATAGTTGGAAATCCGAAATGGTGGAACGAGCTCTCTGATGACACCAGGACCGCAGAGAGCCTTCACATCTTCTGCCGCAAATTAAAGACACACCTCTTCAGACTCTACCTCGACTAAAAGACTAACAAATTGTAGCACTTGTACTTATTATGGCACTTATCTATAGCACATTGTAAATTGGCTTATTTGATGAAATTGCACTTTGTTTTTTCTTGCTCTTCTGAGTTTGTATCCCTATGGTTGAATGCACTTATTGTAAGTCACTTTGGATAAAAGCGTCAGCTAAATGACATGTAATGTAAAAATACAAAACTACACATATGTAATCATCTTGTAGGCAGAATTGTAGGCACTGGCTGGATCATCTTGAACTCTTCCTGTTGCCCTTTTGCACCTTTGCTGTGCTCTCAACTCTCCATCATTTGATGGCAATCTCCCGACATTTACCCAGGACGTTTTCCAAACCACTGTCTTTTAGGAACACAGTGGTCCTATTCAGACTGTGGGCCGCTCAGAGTAGATGTTGAGATGGAAGTAGCCGAGAAGATAGCTTAGCTTAGTTTAGCAGATAGCTTCACCTGGCAGTGTGTCCGTGCACTGCTTAAAGGCAGTGTAAGAGACAGCTTAACCAACTTGTTGATTTTGGAGTAAGCCTCTGGGTTACTTGTATTTACTATTTGGTCCAAGTCATACACAGAAGAGGCTCCCAGGCGTTTTCCTGCCTGCTTTAAGCGCATCCATTTTGTCACAGTGGTGTCTTTGTCAAGCTATAAGGTGGCCTCATATTTGAGAATGCTGCAAACTGTTGTTTCCAAAACTATAGAGGTCTTGCATTTCCTGAGGCCATGTGGAAGGATCAAATACTAAGAAATGATCACATGACTTGAGGAAGTCTGTGAGGGGTCAGGACTTTGACTCAGGCGCAGAGCAATAAGGCAACGAAAAAAAATTTCTTTCCAGGTTTGGAACTTTTTACTTGCAGAAATCAAATGATGCGAGACAAAAAAAGGCAGCACAGGCACAAGCGGACTTCACACACTCTTGGTGAAACAAAAAAAAGGGCCCGGCAATAAAAAAAAACCAAGACGACCACAAACAAACACTGGGAATACCTAACTGCAGACATGCAACTCGGGGAAGGACAAAAGATAACCTGACGCGGACAAGTGGGGGACTGAGGCTTAAATACGGGTGGAGGTAATTGCAAAATAAACTCACCTATGGGGAGAAACGAAGGGCGAGAAACTAAACACAGGAAGTGCAGTGGTTACAAGAATACGACAGGAAGTTAGTCTTCTCAGTCTCTTCGAGTCGTCACAGAGTCATATCTGATTTCAAACTCTTCAATTAACCCTCTGATTAAGTTTGTCTTGTCTCTGTCAGCATCAGCATTAGAAACAGTGTGTGCCCTGTGGCCTTCACCATCAAGCAGAAGTGTGAACTGTCCAATGGCCACCATTCATCCTTACATTCTCCAATGGTCAGCTTTTCCTTCTGAAACCTAATGGATGTGGTCTTCAAAATGTTGCCAATGTCAATCATGTTTGACAGAAAGCACTAAAAACGCTAACTAAAAAGTCACTGTTATGACTCATAGCCACTTGCATTTTAATGGCTGGCAATAGTCTTGATATTTTTAACAGTGTTTCACGCCTCCATGCAGACCATCTGATATTATGAAACTTACCCAGTTTCACAAAGGAGATCCCATTTTCTTCACACAGCTTCTTCAGTGCAGCAGTTTTTTTTGCTCCACCTTTCTGTAAATAAGAAGCAGCAGCTTGACCACAGAGCGATTAAATGTCTCACAGTAAGGAACGTTGCGATCAGCTGACTCTCCAGTGTGTGTGCTGTGCACAGAATGTGTTCAAGGGAGTCTCCAACTGCAGCAAGAGTTTACAACGAAGTTGTACATACCGACATTGACAGCAGCCAGTCTGTGCACACAGCGACTAACTTAGTTGTCCAGTAATCAAAGCCTGTGTCCTGGAAAAGTCTCACAAGTCTGTCTGTTATGGCCTGCGCAGTTCGGTCAGCACCCAGTTCAATCGGTCCAAGAAAGTCCGAGGTAAACTGTCCGTTGTTGGACCCTGCTCAGTTTTTGTGATGTCCTCAGATCAAAAAGCAGCCCCCAAAATTCAACAGACTGCAACTTGGCTCGCAACTCCCCGCTGATGGTGTGAGCAATATGGGCCGCCGTTTGTAAAATGTTGCACGTTCTAAAATCCTGCGTTTTGCTACATTTAGCAATATCATATGAACAAAAAAGCACAACAATATTCACATGTCACTTTTTCATTTTTCACATTTAGAGAGAAATTCATGTAAATTCATGCAATAACTTTTCCAAGGATAATGTTTGGCAGTAACACAAAGTTGTTAGATAATATAAATGTTAAATCTAAATGTAAATGTTAAATGTCAATCTAAATGTTAAATGTACATCTAAATGTTAAATCTAAATGTAAATGTTAAATATTATATCTAAATGTTAAATCTAAATCTAAACAACAATGCTCTGCATGATCCGTGCGCCCCCTTCACGTGGCGAAACGGCATAGAAGCTGCTTAAGGTCTGTTGCTTTTTTGACATCTCTGACAGTAGTTGACAAGCAACATGTGATTTGATGAGATGATCGGTCAAGTATGCAAAGGCGCGAAGTAACACAAGTGGCATTACGCATTGTTGATTTTCGTTGCGCATGCGTACTTGCGTACCAGTTATGTGCACCCCTGAGTATAACTACATTAAATGAAACTGAGATGCGGTATGCTTATACGCAGGGCTGTAGTGGAGGGTAAACGCACGTAAACGCCGTTTACGCACCTCTTGAATTTTGGAAATAGCATTTACGCACCTATAAATAGCGTTTACGCACCTATAAGTGGCGTTTACGCACCTCAACGTTCCCTGCGCCTTGTATTCTTCCGTTGGAATAATCCGAAATAAACTTGGTGTAATTTTAAAACAGCTAAGACTACGTTTCCTATTGTTGAACATATAAACGCCATAGTCTGAATCATGTTCATCTGCGCTGTATTACGGTCTGTGAGCATCCAATCAGTGCCTTGCGGGTGCAGCAGCGACCAATCAGGATCCAGGAGGTGTGTAAACACACACACGTTGGATCAGCCCAGTGGTCCCCAACCTTTCTTACCTCACGGACCGGTTTCATGTCAGACAATATTTTGCGGACCGGTCGAGAAGGTCCGACGGTGGGGGGGGTGTAGTCGTCGTTGCGGGCGGAACAACCGACGTGGGGGTATTAGTCGCGCGCTCTGTGTTCGCTGGTCGTGCACGGTAAAAGGACAAGAAAAACGCCTGGTGACGCGTAGATTAGAAAACAAGTCAGTTCTCAATGTGAAAAAAACATGCTGTAGGCTATTTATGATGACGTAGGTAGTACATGAGTGTTCCTTTAACTTATGTTGTCAGTGCAATTGACAGGCTGCTTAACTGGTTAACTCTTAAATTCAACATATTTTTTCAGGGAGTGATAGGACAGGGAATGATGCAGAGAGCACAGGGAGAGGAGAAACACCAGGTTGAATAGAGAGAGAACCACAGAGGAGCCATGGCTCATGGTTCATGGCTCCTCTGTGTTCTGTCTGGGGTCTGTATGATCACAAAATTCAGAGTTTACCCACCTCTAATTTTACCACTACAGGACTGCTTATACGTTTGGAAAATCTTTAAGACTCTCTCTACTTCACTGGAGCATCTTTTTATTGTGATTTCCTCTTCCTCCGCATTTTGTTTTGAGAACTGGAATATCATATTTTAACAAGAAAGGATAAAGTCAACATGAATATTCTTTTTTTTTTTTTTTTACAATTCAATTAACAAAACTCTCTTATATGTGCATGATACATTAAGTTGTTTCAAAGCCTGAAGAAAAATGAATCAATTAATTAATAACAAATAGTTATTTCAAATGCGTTCCGAATATAAGAGGACTTGTTAAGAAAAGAGTACTCCATATTAAACTTCAAGAAAATAGTTTAATCAGATCAGCTGCATTGTGAATTGTGAGATCATTTTATTCTGTATTGTACTCACAGTGCTGAAAAGGACCAAGAAGAGTAAGAATGACCTCATCAATGCAGAGGAAGGCGAAGACCACTTCACTGACATCTCATCCGTTGGTGAGTACAACATCTCTAACCTGTGAACCTTCTCAATGTCTTGGCCCTGCACTTTAAAGACCAGTCAAACAGAGAGGTCACACAGTTGGCAATTTGGTGTATGCGTCCCTGCAAATAGCTTTAGCAAAAGAGATAAATAGGCAACATTAAGAATATCTTATGACACTACATTCAGAGTTCTCCGTCAACCTCCATGCTACCATTCTCCAAACACTTTTCACTGTGATTATGAAACATAGCTGGAGAGTGATTTTTCTTTCCTCTATTAAATTGTTTTAAAATTGCCTCAAGACACCCCATTATCCAGCAATGTATAATTGTATAAGAGTCTCTCTCTCTCTCTTAAATCCCTCAGATTTGTTTTTGCTGCATTATTGCAGGACCTCTCTAAGATGAAGTTAGAATGATAAATTATCTCCATTTGATGTTCTCTATAAAAATGATATTGAAACCATGGGTAATAGAATATGCTTTCTTAATTTGCTTAATTTAAGTTCCAGAAGGTTTAACGTAGCTCAAGCTAAAGGAAAGTGGTGAAGACAGTGTGACACTGCACTGAATGTAAAAAGATTTACATTACATTACATGCCATTTAGCTGACGCTTTTATCCAAAGTGACTTACATTTTTAACCCATGGCTTTTTTTTTGATTTGTTACTTGTCACATAATCATTCAATATCATAACAATAACAATATCATTCTAGTAGGTCTACTTTAAGACTTGGTAACTTTATTACATTGTGTATGTTTTGCTCCAACTGCCCCCCCAGGGTCGCCGTTCGCCCGAGCCAGCTTGAAGTGTAAGAACGAGAGCTCCTCTTACTTTAGAAGGAAAGAAAAGAGGATACGCTTCACCATCCGCCATCTGGTCAAGTCCCAGAGCTTCTACTGGACTGTGCTATGTCTGGTTGGCCTCAACACGTTGTGTGTAGCCATTGTCCACTATGACCAGCCCGAGTGGCTCACCTTTGCACTCTGTGAGTTCCAGCAGTTTATTCACAGTGACTGATTGCTCCATAGCCCGATATTCCCAGATACCAATATTTGGTTACTAATTATACACATGTAAGGTATTTATTGCACCAAAAAACGGGAAAGAACAGATACCCGGGTCTTAAACCAATTTAAGCATAAGTGCACGACTGCATGAGCTTTGGTCTGGTTGGGAGTTCAGTACAACGATGGTGCTTGAGGTACCAAACAACTGGATCAAGTGCGTACAGTACTTTATTTCACCATCCACTTGTTGAAAAGTTTAGATTTGAAATAAATGTCAGTGTAACTTAAGATGGGAGCTTTTGATCAATCCCTTGTTGATTTTTACTTCATGTAATTGTAACAGAAATAATCTGCATAGGCAGGTAGAACACTCTTTGGGACAGCAGAGACAAGATGGGCAAACATACATCACACGAGTACTATCATACATTTCACAGCATAGACTCACAGACTGCATCATGGTAGTAGGCAGCATTATTTCCTTAAACAATAAACTCGTGGGGCATTGATCTGTGTGTCCTTATTTTCCCTGGACAGACCTAGCAGAGTTTGCCTTTCTTGGCCTGTTTCTGGCTGAGATGTTCATAAAAATGTATGGCCTCGGACCCCAGAACTACTTCCACTCATCGTTCAACTGTTTTGACTTTGGGGTGAGTTGGCCTTCTCTGAGTTTGATGAATCCCTAGAGAGTGAGCATGTGTAGAGTAATTGAAATGTTTCAGAAAAATGCCTGTGATTATGGTCTAAATAGTTTTGAAATAATAACTGCTTGCAGGTGATCATTGGCAGTATTTTTGAGGTGATCTGGGCTGCCATCAAACCCGGGGCGTCATTTGGGATCAGTGTGCTGCGGGCTCTGCGGCTGCTCAGGATTTTTAAAGTGACAAAGTGAGTCCTCAGAATTGTCTGCCTGTGTGGGACATGGAAGATGCAGGAACATTGCTGTATATATTCATGTATTTTAGGTACTGGAACTCTTTGAGGAATCTGGTGGTATCCCTCCTCAACTCAATGAAGTCTATCATCAGCCTGCTGTTCCTCCTCTTCCTCTTCATTGTTGTCTTTGCACTTCTGGGCATGCAGCTGTTTGGTGGCCAGTGAGTAACTTCTTCTATTTGATCCTTCCTGACCATCAGAGGCAGTGTTTCACACTGGATATATTCCGTCTCACAAACGTGCAAGTCAAGTATTTTATATCAACAAAGTAACTTGTGATCTCTGGTGACATCCAAGGTCTATAAGTTTCGGTGTGATCCTGAGATCAGTCCTTTTTCAGGCTTGCTACCGTGGTAGCATACACATGATGCAAATGATCCACGAGCTAGACTAGTGGCGCTTACCACCGTAGCCCGGCAACCACCGCCCTCTCACGAGGGCAAAGATTTTTGCTGACACTCGCCGCTATCAAATCATTTATACATGTTTGTTGAAAATGTGTGTATAAGAAAACAAAAAACAAATGGCAATGGTATTTTAGAAATGAAATCATTACATGGTGTAATGTAATTAGGTCCCGGTAAAAAAAAAAGAAATGTCATGGTTAAACAGCATAGCTCATCTATTTTGGAAATATAAACACTCGTGATTACTCATGAGGTCACACAGACGGCCCAGATTTAATTGACATGTACTATTGTGCAGCCTAATGTAGAAGGCTAAACCGCTCCATCATCAAGCAGGTGCAGGATGGACTGTGCCTGCTTGTGGCTTCAAAGCTTAATTACATGCAATTTCTCTCTGCAGATTTAATTTTGAAGACGAAACGCCGACAACAAACTTCGACACATTCCCAGCAGCGATTCTCACTGTGTTCCAGGTAAAGGTCAACTCCATTATTCTGTTTGTCTGTTTGTACAGTACCTGAGCCTGTGTCTCCCTTGCAGATCCTAACTGGGGAGGACTGGAATGCAGTCATGTACCATGGGATCGAATCCCAAGGAGGAGTTCAAAGGGGAATGTTCTCCTCCATCTATTTTATTGTTCTCACTCTCTTCGGAAACTGTATCCTGCTCTCACTGTCACCTTTGTGGCTGAAACACAGCCTTGACACCCCATAAAAGGAAGTATCATTGATTTGAAAAACAGCTGCATTGTCTTTATCAAATACAGTATCTGCTCTTTTCCTTAGACCACAAATAACCAGACACACTTCTCAACGTATTCTTGGCAATTGCTGTCGATAACCTTGCAAATGCACAAGAGCTTACTAAGGTGCAGTATTTCTTTGTAGATTGAGACACTTTTTTTAGGTTTTATAGCGTATTTCAGGAGGTGATAGAGCCTCATCGCATCCATCAGTACAACTTTATTCACTAATTTGTTAAAATGAACTCTGCAATGCAATCCTAACAATCTTATTCAAAACAGCATTTTCATCCCAAAATTAAACACATGCATAATTTGAGTCTGTCGAAGCATTAACATCAGGCTGCTTTCTTTGGTACCTTGTTTTTTATTTCTTCCTTATTTGGGATTATTACAGTACAGTACACAACAGCTTTAGAAAAAGTATTTTCTATTGTCTGTTAGCACTTGCTTAAAAACCCCCCAAATAAAATACACAAAACTCCTGAGGGTACCTCTGCTAAACTGGTTTGGTAACACGGAAGATGCCAGGTCAAAAACTAATAATAATAACTTAATGAACTGGTAAGATTTTCATGTTAATCCTTTTGTTTTTAAACTCCTTAAGAAGTGGTTCCATTTGTATGAATTGATCCACCTGCAAATATATTTACGCGTCTTGTCCAGTTAAAGAACCTTGTAAATAGTGGTTAATAAAGTGATCTGTAAAATGGCTTTCAAGACAAATAAAAGTCTCAGCAAAAACAAATAAGGACAGGATGCTGGTAAAGGCAAACCCTCTGGAATTACCTCTTATGATGATTCTAATAATTCAGTATAATGTACATTTCCAGCCTAACAGCATCAGTTTGTCGTCATTAACAGAAATGCTGTTTTCACTCGCTGATTATTTTCAGTTCCTCTAAATATAAAATATGAAACAAGTAGACTTTCACCGTTTTAGAAATGAACATTATACTCAATTTAAAATGATAATGCAATGTAGAAGGAGAAATGACGACCTCTCCATAACACAAGCCTGTTTAAAAACTCAGCTACTCAGATGAAGGTCTCCGTGGTCTTCACATCCTATGTATTTGTGTGTGGGTGTATGTGTGTTTCTTTTTCCACATACTCTTAAGGATGAAGAAGAGCAGGAGGAGGCCATCAATAAGAAGCTTGCCCTCCAGAAGGCTAAGGAGGTAACAGAGGCCAGCCCCACGTCAGCCACTAACATCTCCATCGCAGCGTAAGTCAACCTCTACCAATGTTCTATGTCTCTCCATTCAGCACACATGTTCTACTGCCAATGCTGAAGACGATTTCTGTGTGGTGCAAATACACACCGCAGGACGCTCATATTCTGCATAATATTTGTATAATAAATCCTTCCTTGGAGTGTTTACTGTATGTGTCTGTATGAGAATAAGTAAGGGCTTGTGTTTGAGCATCTATGACTATGTTATGAAATAAGAAAAACTAAAACAAGGATAACCTGGAAAATAACACAAAAATATGATCTTTTGAACACCTTTGGAAACCTTTTATGGAGGAAGGTTTGTTGGTTAGGAGTATGAAGGAGTGGTTCCCCACAGAGAGCCTGCTTTACCTTCTCTAACGCCTGCTGGCACTGCTCCGACCACTGGACCGGATCTGACGCAACTTTCCGGGTCAGGTCGGTCAAGGGGCTGGTGAGGTCCGCGAAACCGGGGATGAACCGCCTGTAATACCTCGCCAGCCCCAAGAACCGCCTCACCTCTTTTTTTGTCTTGGGCTGCGGGCAGGCCGCGATGGCCACCATCTTGTCCACCTGAGGGCGCACCTGCCCGCCCCCCAAATACCATACCTCCACCCGTCCAACTGCACACTTCCCTGGGTTGGCGGTGAGCCCCGCCCGTTCCAGCGCCTCCAGCACTGCGCTCACCTGCTGCACATGCTCTTCCCAGGTGGTGCTGTGGATAATGACATCGTCCAGGTAGGCGGAGGCATATGCAGCGTGCGGACGCAGCACCCGATCCATGAGGCGCTGAAACAACCCGTACCCGTATTTTCGTATCCCATGTAACCAGCCATCGGGTTATAGTGAGCCGCCTGGAAAATAATTTCCCGCCGGCTTTTCGGCACCAGCAACTGAGGGTTTTCCTGCCCCGTCCAAGTGTCACGACTCACTCTAGTCTGTCCCTAATCAATGAAAAGTGTGGAAATGACTGCGCTGCGTCAGGGCGCACCAGGTGACCATCAATACATATCACTTGGTCGTAGGCTGAGCGTAGGTTATCGTCACAAGACTGTTTGAGTGGAAAATCTTCCATGGAGCGAAACTTGGGAACCGGCGGAGTCTCTACGGGAGGCTCCGCGGGTTCCCTCTCCCCGTCTGCAGTGTCGGACGACCCCGCGTCCCCGCTGAGCACAGCACACTTCTCGCATAATCCTGTCGGCCGTGAACGCACCCCCTCCCCCATTAGTTTATCAAACCCCGGCCAATCTGTACCCAAAATGACGGGGTGCGTCAGGCGGGAGCTAACCGCAACCTTCATTCTATGCTTTTTCCCTGCATGTCTAATTTCCACCGATACCACAGGATACTCGTGAACATCCCCATGCACAAACCGTATTCTCACCCGGTCTGCCTCCACCAATGCCCCCGGCCGAACCAGGCTCTGGTGAAACATAGACTGCGTCCACCATCGCCTGGTGTGTACCCCCCTGGATTCTTACCGGAACGCGGTACGTCGCTCCCGGACCGGGGGAGGGTGCCGGAACGCCAGCCACTCGGATCACCTGTCCCACCTCCCTCAGCGGGCACTCTCTCCGGAGGTGACCGAGCCGCCCGCACCTCCAACACTCCTGCCCCGGCGCTTGAGAACCTCTCTGTGAGTTGGGAAGGGTGCCTGGGTCCCCCGGGGCCGGTGGGTCGCAGGGCCGGGGTACAGGGCGCCTGCTGCAGAGCCGGCCTGGGTCGCTCCTCCGTTCGCGGTGGCGCAGCTCCTCCCCCCGTGGTGCAGCTCCTCTCCCGGTCCCCCTGCCCGCTGGGATGCACCGCCAGGTGGTCCTCCGCCAGGGTGACGGCCGCCTCAAGGGTCGTCAGACGGTGGTACCGGATCCACTCCGCCGTCCGGGCCGGGAGCCCCTCCCCGAACTGCTCCAGCACCACCTGCGCCATCACCCCTCGGACTCCTCCAGCGCCATCCGGCTGCAGCCACCTCGTGGCGGCGTCTTTTAGCCGCTGGGCGTACGCGAACGGGCGGTCCCTTGGTCCCAGCCTGGGCTTGCGGAATCGCCGGCGGTGGTCCTCTGGTGAAAGCCCCATTCTGTCCACTACGGCCCTTTTAATGCTAGCGTAGTCACGCCGCGCCGCCGGTAGCAGCCCCATGGCCGCGATCTGCGCCTCCCCAGCCAGGAGAGGCAAAAGCCGGACCGGCCACTCCCGCTGGCCAGCCGCACGCCTCCGCCGACGTCTCGAAGGCCTCCAGGAACGCCTGGACGTCGTCCCCCGTCGTCATTCGCTGGAGCGTGAGCCCGGTGAACGCAGCGGGCTGCGCCCTTAGCTGTTCCAGCGCCCGGGCCTGTCTCCCCCCCTGGGTCTGAAGCGCCCCTAGGAACTGCCGGTTCGCCTCCAGCTGCTCCCTCTGGATGGCCGCCAGCTCTCCGATCATCCGGCCAAGCGCCACAAGCCGGTGGGCCGGCGTCCCCAGCTGGTGTCCGTCATCCGCCGCGTCCTCCCCCAAGCCGAGTTGGCCGCCACTGTGGCAGGTTCGTCCTACGGGGGGGGTCTAGGAATGACAAGCACGCAGCAGTTGGGTCCATTATGTATGATTTTATTCAGTCGTTTACAACAAATATAACGCGATCGGCTCCGGCTTCCTCGTCTGCTCAGCACTCTCTCGCCGTCGCCGGATCTCTCCTACTTAGCAGCAGGACAAACACACACACTGAACACACCTGAGGCCAATTATGCCTCCTCCTGGCACCGTTCCCCGAACCACTCCCTTCTCCGTCCCCTCTGCAGCCGCCTGCAAACCACGCCCGCTACCACAATGACATTTAAGGCATAAGAGTAGGATTTTTTGCCACTGAAAAGATACAATTAGATTTTTTTTAATATCAAAGATCAAAAAGTTGCTATAATCTGAGCCATGTAGCATAGGCCATTAAACCTTAGCTTCCATAATCAATGTATGGCTGCACCATTACTGTAATGCTAACCTCAACATTCAGGCATTTTTCGAGCCCTCGCCACGACAACTATTGTTGTATCCAAAGCAGCTCTACCTTTACAAACATTTGAAATGTTTGTGTTATGATTGCAACATGAGTAAAGTGCAATCTTGCTTGTTCAGAGATTTTAGTATTACCTTGCTCTGTCATGCCTTACATTGGACGGTATATTTCGTGCTCATTTTGGCGTGACTGTACTATATTGAATTGTCTTTTTGTGTGACATTCTCTCTCTGGTTCAGGCTCAGTCCTGTTCTGAGTTTTGATGACCATTACATTGAATTGTGATCCAAAAGGACACAGATAAAGTGCGCGCTGTTTTTCTTTTTTATATCTTCTTGATTTCATGATCCTCTCCCCTTTTTCTTTTTTGTGCATGTGCAGTTTTCTAACACGCAGTCGAGGTAACGCGCACTCAAGCGGCTCATCTGTCTGCAGTGTTAACTCCTTGTGAGTTATTACCTTTGTGTGTACCTTTGTGTGTTTCAGTATTTTCATTCCTGTGTTTGTTTTTTATTGTTTACCAAACGTCTGTGTTAGTGAGTGTGGTATTTGATTCTCTGTGATCCACATCTTTCTGTATGAGAATGTTTCTTCTTTTGGCAACCTCAGCGATTTGAATATACACATGATTGTTCACACTATATGTGTTGATTATACATAAATGCAGTTTTGACTCCATTTAACAAAGCTTGTTAGGTTGTTAATATGCATTGTATGTTATAACTGCCCTTTGGCTTGTTTTATTCAGACCACGAAGTGAAAGCAAAAATAGATGCTGAGTGACTAGTAGTTGGACTGGTGATTAAATCACCAGCCTTCTTTACCGTGGTGCAAGAACCCCCCTAAAATAATCTTCACTAATTAACTAATCATGAGCAAGGTACTGACAATGAGATTACCAAATACCTTACACACTGTATCCAAATGGATTAATGAATGACTTTATGACTACTATGTGGCTGCAATGTCTGTAATATGAATGACATTGTTGCCAGCGTGCAAGGAAGTGTTTACCATTCAGTCAGTAATCACATTACACCTCACAAATCTCTGACTATAAAGAGTTCAGCCACATTTTATTTGTAAAAATAAAACATTTATATATGAAAAGCGGAACAGAGAGGAACAGATTAGGTAGATGGAAGCTCTGGAATGCAGATGTCAAGTACATACAGACACGCCGTGACGTGCAGTGATGACAGTTATGCACTATAAATTATGAAATTACCAGAGGACTATCGCATGAAACCAGGATAAGGGATTAAGCCGGGATATTCACGTTATCCTGGGCCAATTTAGCTTGGACTTGGTTGCACGAAAGCAGGTTGAAAATGACCCAGCCAAGTAACCATGGCGATTCAAACACGTTCGCACACAGTAATTAATGTCCACCATCAGAATGCAACCATCTTTATCCTTAATTACAAAACGGGTGGATGAAATCAAGCATTCTAATGGTTTGAGAGTGATGGTCACATAATGAGCCATTATGTCCTGTACACCGGTTTACATTTTCCCTGAGCGGTCCATATCAGTGCACACTCAAAATAACAAATAGTTTTCCTGTATTAATTAGACATGTAAATGTTTATATTTATTCATGCAATTTGATAGCTATATTCTACATAACGTGTATGAATTAATGTTACTTGGATTTTGGTGGCGATCACCGGAAAAAAAGACTAGAAAAAAAGACCGGAAACACCGTTCGTTTGGGCAATGCTACCTTTCGCAACCGATTGTAACATTATTGATGGTGGCTCTAAATTGCAAAACACAACGGCAAATAGGAAAACACAAGGACAAATAAGTAAGCACAACGACGTTGTATTTTCCTATTTGCCGTTGTGTTTTGCACTCCCACCGTACAAATGTCCTGTGATATCTCGGTTTTAATTGGTCCGGTCCATGTTCGATACATAAAGTAGATGATTACTGGCGTGACATATTTATGTGCAAAGGCACAGCAGAGTTGTGCTTTTTGCCACACATGTTAAAGATTACAGGATCGAAGTGTGCATGCGCAACATGGGGTTCTTGCTAGTCCTCCGAATGGACGGTAAAAACACTGGTTATTCAACCATTTCCTTTGTATTTAATTATGCGCAACTGCTACATTTGTCATCGTTTACATCTAAACAATTGGAATAACACACATATTGCATATACAATATGCATAGACATTAAAAATAAACATAATACGTTTGAATTTTGGCAGGGTAGGCAGTGTCTACCTTGCCTACCCTGACTGCACGTCACTGGGCGTTAAGGTGAACTGTAAATAGGTACATGGACTGTTTCTTTGGTTACATGCTGTGAGATAGAGAAAGCAAATCTACAAAAAAAAGGTTGAGGTTAGTTGAATAACAGCCGTTGTCTGATAATTACCGGTGAGTTACCTTCATGCATAGTGAAATATTGAAACAAATGCTATAAAAAAACTAAACATATAGTATTTTAGTCTCCCCATTGTTCATTTTGTTTTGTTGCTAACCTGTTTTAGTCTTAGTCTGAAGTTCCCTCTCTCCCTCTGTATGTTGCTCCCTTTTTGTGTTTGTAGGAGTTATGTCTGCACCCCAGTCCATCAGTACCTGAGGTAAACACGATCACATGCTAGCAAGGTGGTCCATGATCAGGGGTCTCAAACTCAATTTGGGTGCGGGCCAGATGCAGCCCACCTTGACCTTACACGGTCCAGACCATTACAGCCCACGAGGGGGTGGCGCTGAGGGGCCAACCGGCGAACGGAACGGTCAACTATCGACGGGGGGGTGGGGGAGGGGGGCGGTGGAGGTTGTAAGTGGCATGTGCGTGCCGCGAAAGAGGCCCGGAAAAGTATGAATTTCAGCTTCCTGCTCTCCGCACATCTAAAGCCACTATTTTCTCTCCCAGCTCTCTCTTTCTCTCACTCACTCTCACACACACACACACACACACACACACACAATCCCGCCCCCCATGTCACTTACATGCATGCCGCATTCACTGGACAGGCACACAGTAGGAAACCAGAACATCAAAACATTGTCCCACGCAGCAGGGCCGCAATTGGCCCGCGGGCCGCGAGTTTGAGACCCCTGTCCATGATGATGAACACGTGCTTAAAAACATACTTAATCATGATCTCAGTCATGAAAGCAAGACCATGTGAATAACACACAGCCACATTAATTCTTGTCATGCATACAATAGTGGAAGATTTCAGTGGGTCCACTCCCATCATGTCTATCCCCCTCTTAACCGGAGTTCCTAAAGACGGTAGAGCAAGGGGCTGTCCCTCTAAGTTACACATGTAGATGATGAACACATGGTATGCTTCTGAGGACAGATTCACTTATCTCATAAAGAGATGGTATTGTAAGATATCATCTTCCAATGTGAGAAGAAGTGTTTATTTCACACACCATCAAAAGAGCATGCATTCAACCATTTCAAAGTACTGTATTACACCCATGCGGTCAAAGGATGGTAATGTTTCTATGGTTAGACATGGACGAGCTCTTCGCAGTAGACAATGGACCCTGGGATTTTCTGTTTTAGAAGCTCCATTGCACCTTGCTTGTACTGTAAATCATTAAGCATGTAGGAAATATGCTGTGCCACCCTGAGATACCCTATAATGTATTTCTGGTATTATGTACCATACATACTGAATGCTTCATGCCTGCCAGTGTATCCATTTGAAATGCTTATACTTGAAGAGTGTGTTTAAAAGGATTTCATAGGAATGTCAGTACTTTTATTTTGTTTGTTTCTTCTACTCCTCTAGTAAGGACCAGCAGAAATCAATGAAGACAATGTCTGTATGGGAGCAGAGGACCAAACAATTGAGGAGGCAAAACCAGGCGAGCTGCGAGGCCCTCTACAGTGAGCTGGAGCTTGAGGAGCGTCTCCGCCTGTCCTCAGCCCTCCACACCCGGCCAGACATGAAAACCCACCTTGACCGGCCACTCGTTGTCGAGCCTCGTGAAGGGCCTTTCCATGCTGGCCATAAATACCACCATCACAAGCCTTGCATGTCAGAGGCAGGGTTGACAGCCACTGCTCCTCCTCCCCCTGTTCCTCGCAACCACAACTGCCACAGAGAGAGAGACGCTGACCCGGCCAGAGCAAGACAGGTTACAAATGATAACACTGGTACCAGTAAGGACGGAGGCCCTCATGTCCATCACAGGAACTCCAAGGATCCCAAAGGCAGCTTCGGAAATATGCGGAAAAGCGAAGGGTCCCACAGGACACACAACCATCAGAGCTCAGTGGATCACAGCGGAGCGGGAGGACTCACTAGGGCGAGAGAGCATCGGCATCACTCGCACCGGCAGTCCAAAGCGGGCAACGGGACAGTAAACAGTGGTGACAGGGCGGATCCAAGATCCCGCCACAAAGACAAATTGTCATCTAACAGGAATGGGGATCGACATTGTAAAGGAGACAGTGGAAGCCCTGGAGAGAGGAGGCATCGGATTCAAAGATCCAAGGGCGAATCAGTTGAAGGAGAGGAGTCCAACGAAAGAAAGAAGACCCACAACAGGTGAAAATCAAAACAACTATATTCTTTCTCACGTTCACTAAGTATGCAAATGTATACATTCCGTAAAATTAATTCAGTAGGAAACACTCATTGTAGATTTGTATCCATTTATTGCAACGTAATGATGATATAGTCATACTTTGTGCTGGTGGCTTGGCTCCTACAATGCTAATAAGGGCTAGCATAAACATATGTGCCAAGTGAGAACAATTGACCATTATGTCAAAAATAAGTATTAACATAAAACAATAATAATGGGCACTACCCTGGGATCAGGGATGAATAGAGTATCATAAATGGTGTTCAACATTCAAAGTACTATTCCAAAGTGTGAGAGTGAACATTTGAGCACAGGCCACAATATGTAGCTATTATCACACAACCAGAAGGGTGGACGTAGTCTTGTGTGAGACCACGCCACACAACACTACAACCCGGCAGCGGAGTCGCAATAGTGGCCACATTTACACAGTTAAGTTAAACCTTTATGTGTGGATTAGTAAAACAATAAAGCAAAGTAAAATGTTTGCATATAGGAATTCAAAACAGATTTCCGGATTCTTGAGGTGGATATCCATCTTGCTAAGTGAGCATTGAGTGTTGAGTGGCTTGGACTGGAAACATCATAGTCACTGTTTGACTTGGGAACAAAACCTCATTATGTTGCAGTACACTTGCATTTAGGAAGGACAGAAATAATAATTGAATCATATCATATTGTGGCTCTTCTGGTGTGTAAATGTTAAGCCATATCTATCAGCCTTGTGAAGTTTACTTGCCAATACATTCCAGAGCCGTGGAATGTATTGGCAAGTAAACTTGTTTCTCCCTCAGACCATCGGTATGAGATATTATTTGAGAATGTACTGTATATTAATATCTTTTAGGGACAGGTTCGGTGACCTGTCGGGAAAGTCCTTCGCTTTCTCCCCCCAGCAGGACTTTAAGGGGTGCAGCTGGCCTCCTGACCAACCAGAGGACTCAGACCACCAGAGGGGGGTCAGAAGAACTGGCCAAACCTCCATTCAAATTCTTCCTGTGACTATCACATCCCCATCTGGAGACCCCCCCTTTATACAAAGTCAGTACCAACAGAGGCCTACAGGAGGCACTGATACTTAAGACCTTTTTTTCAACTTAGATTGATGGACCATCTGCGCTTTGCAAGAGTATGGGAATAGAGGGCTACAGGGGAACAGGGATGCAGGGGTACATGTGCAAAGGGGAACAGGGACACAGATATAGAGTTGTTCAATGGTGCAGGCTTACATTGGTACATGTGTACCAAGGTATAGGGTTACATAGAGGGATACAGGTGTACAATGATACAGGGATACAAGGTTACTAAGATACAGGGATGAAGGGGTACATGGGGATAGGGATACAGAGATACAGCGTTTGCTTGTAAGCCTGCTAGAATGACATATAAACAAACCAAGATCTGTTCTAGCTGTGGAGTTAAAGCCTGTGCCAACACTTTTCTAAATAAATAATTTATTTGTTTGTCATGTCTCCTACTATAGCTACTGTTCTTCGCAGTACAGGTAAGCATTAAAATGCAATACATTAAGAAAGCAAGTAAGTAACTAGTAGTAATGAGCAACGATGTTAGAATAAAATTATTTTGTAAAAAGAAGTTCAATAAAAATGGTTGGTTACTAACAGGAAATATATAAAGATTCCTGAGATGACGAGAAGTTAGGCATTCTCAGTTTATATAAAAAAAAACCATCCACATTCAACTTAAAATTAGTAGATGATCCTTGTTTTAACTCATTTTTAGTTAAATGGTTTCATATTTTGGCTTGCAGAGGTTGATGAAGAAATCAAATTTGTTCTCTGACGGTGTTTCAGGAATAATAAATTAGATGTGATGATGGCTGACAGTTGTGATTCAATGCATCTCTGTCATGTTGATAAATAAATTTAAATTACACACTGTGCTTGAAGACAGATGCCGCTTGGAGTGAATAAAATGTGAATGTCATGAGCCTTGCCTGTTTTGCTGTAATCCGTCTTATCTCCTCAGTGAATAGTTTTGACTGTGAGACAATGCCCATGAAGGAGAGTGGATCCAAACCCATCCTGCCTTACAGTTCCATGTTCATCTTTGGACACACCAATCCGTAAGTCACTTCAACCTCCTTTGTCAACCCCTTCCCCTTCCTGAAGGACTCTCACGTGCAGTGGGAGATCATTTTTCCCTGTTTATGGACTATCATATCACATTAACACAAGGAGTCTACTAATCCTACACTATATTACTCAGGGTTCGAGTAAACCTTCACATAAACACTGTCAATCAGCAGTACCAACACACTAAACAGATTACTTCTGTAATTCTTTAAGCTTTTTTTATATTAGATATGTCCTTTTATTTTTTCATTTGTCTCAGTTTTTTAGATAGCTTTATTCATGGAAACCATGAGTGTGAATACAGTGTGCCAGGAGTAGTATACTGTAAATGTCAGTCAGTGATTACTAGCTTTTCGCCAGGAAATTTAACGTGTTCTTTGAAGCACGGTATAGTCGGGACCGGTGATGTCGGAGGAAGGTCCGGTTTGTGATGCAGGTGGCTGGAGACCATTTGACAGCCACAGCCTTAAGACATTCTTGGAGTCTATCCAACGCCTATTTAGATTGCTCAACATTTTCTGTGATGCAGTATGTATAGTATGCTTCCTGCACATTGGGTTAGCAAATTAAATTGTGAGCGGCGTTTCTCATGTGCATATGTGTCCACTGCTTGCTGTTTTTGAACCTGCCTCTCTCTTCAGGGTGAGGCGGTTATGTCACTATATTGTGACTCTGCGTTATTTTGAGATGTCCATCCTGGTTGTCATTACTATGAGCAGTATTGCTTTGGCAGCAGAGGACCCTGTCTGGACAAATGCTCCTCGCAACAATGTGAGTCATTATAGTGTGCATGAATTTGATTGGTTACTACGCAATCTCCAAACTAAGTTATTGAATCTTGTGGGGTCGACGTGGCGCAGGGGTAGAGAGGGAGCGCTGGGAACCACAAGGTTGGTGGTTCGAGCCCCGGCTGCTCCATGTCGAAGTGTTCCTGAGTAAGACACCTAACCCCTAAGTGCTCCCCGGGGAAAAATGTAAAAATATATGGGTTAAAAATATAATGTAAGTCGCTTTGGATAAAAATCGGTCAGCTAAATGACCTGTAATGTAATGTAATCTGGTGTTCAATGCAAACACACAGTTATGCAGTGCTTAAAACAGGCCCACAGAGCCACAGACTGGTAAGATATCAATATTTGCCATGCTCCACTTTCAGTGCTGATTGAGTCTCTCTCTTGCAGGTGCTCAAATATCTGGACTACGTCTTCACTGGTGTTTTCACGTTTGAAATGGTGATCAAGGTAAGCATTTTGGAAAATACAGGTTTGAAACACTGAAGGCTTCAATACACTTCCCTGTGATGACAGTGTAATTGACTACAATTGATCAGAATTAAGTTGCTGGCTGATTATAACATCTAGTTGCTGAAAGTACCGTAAGCGTTGAATGTGTAAAATACATTAAGGCCGTCAACAATAACAATCCCAATATAGGATTGTCCCACTGAGTACAGACCTTATAACATAGTACCATATTTAAAGAAAGTTAAATACAAGTAGCACAGAATTAAACAGAATACAGAATAAGTACCATAAAAAAATTCCAAATAAAAATAAATAACAGTGTTTTTGGTTTAGATGGTGGACCTTGGCCTGTTGCTTCATCCTGGAGCCTACTTCCGGGACCTCTGGAACATTCTAGACTTCATAGTGGTCAGTGGGGCACTGGTGGCTTTTGCATTTTCGTAAGTTCTAAAACTCCTACTTTTTTGTCATAACTTCTGTGTCAATCCTGATCATCAGCTTTGGTGGTTAAAGGCCCACTTAAGGTACGAAAGGTGTAATATACTGTGTATCCCAAACGTCAAATAGGAGCAACATGTAAAGTGTACTGTGGTGGCAGAAACACCCCCTGCAGTATCTAGTCGGTCAAATGATCAGCAGAAAAAAAGATGCCATGTATGCAGCTTTTTTCCTATCTTTGTTGTGAAGTGTGTTCTCTCGGTTTGAGAACATAATAGGTTAATTTCACTAAAGAGTTTGTAATGCTCTTTCTCAAAACCCGGTTCTCATACTGACGCCCCCCGTGCCTGCTCTTGGATTTGCTCTTCTTCAGCTTAGACTGTATGTTGCACAGATTTCCTGAGCTTTAGCTTCAGCCCTCCTCCTCATATACAGGTGTCTTCTGTCTGCTCATGAAATATCTGCTCTCAGTTCTGTTTTTAGTTGAATTCTGAAAAAAACCTGTAAGAATTCCCCATCTAATAGAATGACAGATAATATTCCCAATTGAATCATCCCCCCCTTATTGTCACTGTGTTCATTTTACTTCTTCTACTTCTAGCCTTGACAACCAACATTCCTGGTTTTCTCTACAACTTTTAGAATTAAATACATTTCCTTATACCGTCATAACAAGATCTGAAGTTTAGTCATTAAGTATTGCTCAAACGACACTATTGAATTGAGATTCATAACTTTGTGTTTGAATCAAAAACAAGAAGGTGATGCAACATTGGATGCAGATCTTTGGTTAAAGATTGTGTCACTGTTACAGGAAGATACGCAAGACAATGGTGGTTTTGGCTGGATCTATGAAGAAGATTCTGTTCTAGTAAATCCTTTAATCATCAACAATATGAATGATAATGACACGGCCAAACAATCCAACCCAGAAACAGATGGGGTCCGTTTTGGGGTATGCCAACATGACCACAAAGGAACAACAAGTGTCAGAACTAGAATGGTGATCCTGAACGAGGGATAAATGTGTTTGTTATTGACGTGATCATCTCTTGTTTCCGTGCTGGGTTTTCGAATTGAAGGAGCTTCATGGGGTAATGCCTCCTCTACTTCTGCCATCATGCCTGTCCATGTCATTATATTACTGTATGCATGTGAGAGAAAACAGACGTACTATCACCTACGTTGCATTTACAAGTAATTTCCTCCCATATTCTTACTTCTTGAAATGTATCCAGGCTTTTTAAAACATAATATTGGATGAGGACTACAGATTTATAATTGGATATTTAAGAGTCAAAAAAATTTCATTTTGTAGAAAAATGCATATAGTAGCAAATTATCTTTCCTTTTGTGCTCAAGATATAAATTATGCAAATGAAGAAAAATCAGATCTGATACAAACACAATAGTGTAACGCACCACAGGAGAGCGGAGTAGACCCAAGCGCAGAGCGCAGTTTTAATGAGCAACAGTTACACAGGGATTAGGCTAGGTGATATCCAGTAGACAGGCAGGAGGTCGGAATCCAGGAACACGGAGATAGGCGTAGTCTGTACCTACAGGGATCAGGCAGGAGGCATCGAGGTCTGGGACAAAGCAAGGAGTCTTCAACAGGAGTATAAAACAGGAGATCCAGATAACGCTGAGAATGTGGTGATTACTACACAAGACTTCGCGAAGAACACAGAGGGACATGGGGTATATATACTGTACAGACTAGCTTTGATGGGGAACCAGACACAGGTGTGCAGGGATGAGTGGGCGTGCACAACAGGCAGACACACAATGGAACAAACCAACACAATAGTTCTTCAACGGCATAATTATTAGTGCAAAATAATAATTGTAACAGTACAGGCAGTTCAGAAGTACAAGCTATATCAACCTTTAGTTTCTAAAATATATTTTCCTTTAAAAGCCTGAAGGAAATCAGAATATAGAAGTAAAATTGCTTGTTTTTGGGGGTTTGCACTTTTGTGAATGGAACACTCTCCCATTCTCTGGTCCATTTAAGATCTTGCTGTACTTGATCATGTGCTTGAACGATTCGTCTCCAAATATGTTCATCACTCTTATTTTGCCAGAGTCTTTTCAGCAGCACTCTTCTTTGCCACCAGCTCTGCTTGGACTGTAATGAAACCATCCATTTCACAATATCTATCATCAATTCAACAGAAGGTTGCCAATGTAAAATGCCATCTGCTGCAAGAGGGCATCAGTGGCTGTCCAGGAGATCGATCTATTTCGTATTCTAAACATACACATTAGACTTACTGTTAGCTAGCACTGAGTAATGACTGCCGGACCATATTGTCACATCATTTCCATTTGGTTACAGTTTCCTCCTCACTGCCCTACACAACCTACTGAACCCTTATCTGTCAGACTCAGCATCATACTGTCAATGGGACAATGTATTGAATTTTCTCGAGAAAGTATCGATATTCATTAATTAAGAGATAGCAAGTCCTGTTTGAATACAGGGGTCACTCACTCATGCATGTCTCCAGAGCGCAACCTGCCTGCAATCCATTTGCCTGTGGCAAGGCCAGCCAATCTTAGCATCTAAGTCAAATCTGTCATCTCACCAAACTTTTTTGTAATTTGTCCTTTTCATTTAATGCTTTGGTTGAGACTAATACAATGTACAAAGTAAAATGTCAATGTTAAATGTGGAAATAACAGAACAAGAGGTGAGCAAGTGCTTGTTATAATCCTAAACAGTTTGGGTTTGTGTGTTATTTCAGTTACAAACATAACACACATTTACACTTGCTGAATTGAATTTCATCCATTTTAAGCCTTTGGAATTTGCATCTAGTTGTCTGTTACCAACCAAAGCACATGCAATCTTACAATGGTACAATGTATGGTGTTATCATTTAATGCAAAAAAAAAATTGTTTATGTGTGAAGCATCCATAATTGTGCTCTACCTTGTTTTATCACTGTTTCCCCCAAGTAGATCGCAACAAGGTGTGACCAGGTGGGGATTTTCCTATGCCACCCTCTTCCTATACCTCATCCTAACCACTTTCTCCAAATCCAACCTCTCTCACTACCATTCTCATTATGCTTGGATAAGCCTCGTATAGGAAACAGTTACACACGAAATGTTTTCACAAATACATTTTTGTATGTATAATTTATAAACCTTCACTACTTACTGTCAGTAACATGTGGAGTTGAAAGTGGCGTGCCCAAATTAAGTGCATACTTTTGTTCCTTCTCAATAACAACATCACGAAGATCAGTTTGGTGTTTCTAACAACAAAATGAATGTGCTAATGATTTCATGTGTTTTAAGTAGGACAAATCTTACGATTACACATTCTCCACTACAATCTTAGGCAGACACTTGCAGGCGCAAGAGTGAGACAGTAGTGGAGGAAATGTTACAAATTGAATTTTGGCAATAAGTAAGCATATGACTGTGGAGAATTGGATTATACTGCACAATTGATAGGTGTGTAAATGTTTTCTTGTAAATAGAGTTCAAACCTGGAACCTAGTCTCACCTTAATTCATCAATGAGTTATTGTTTTTTGACCATTTTTTGAGCTCAGCTAATCTCGGAGGCATAAGACACTTAACCCCAACATTGCTGTGACTACAATGTGTGAATTTTAGTTACTGATGGGCAGGTGGCACAATGGTAGCTCCTGTCATCAGTGTGTGAATGGGTAAATGATGTCATGTAGTGTTAAAGCGCTTTGAGTGGTAGGAAGACTAGAAAAGCGCCATCCAAGTACAGACCATTTAAAAAGGAATAATAACTATAAATTAAGTAAAAAATAAATCATTCATGCATGTGGAGATTTGTGTGTGTGGGTGAATGTGTGTGTCTGTGAAATAAGGAGATGGGAGATACAAGTTAAACCTCTGTCTTTAGGTAAATCCAGCTGTAAAAGGTCAAAGCAAAAGCAGATCTTGGCCGCCACAGTGAAACACGTTAACATCATCCCACAGTCACGCAACTTGGAAACTGAATTCCAGCGCTCTAAATACAGTAGATATGAGTTCCAAATACCCTGGTCTCATTGGTTCGTCATTGGCGTTGGTCTCATTTGTGGGGATCGATATAGCAAACCAACAGAATATTACAGCAACAAATACCAATGTTATTGCGCAGGGTTTACCAAGCTCTGGGTCCTGGACATGTGCCCAATAAGCTTTTGTGTTTCTTGGTGACGCAACAGTAGTTCTTTCAAAGCCAAACCGGAAGGAAAGTTTACTGGAGACACTGTTTTCTTAACATATACATTTCTCCATTGTTTGGGCAATGTGGGGGCATATATATACCTCTTTCATGACAATGAACACTCACTGAAATTAACTACCATACTTGAAGACCAGTCAATGTATGCTTTGTGTCTCCTAAATCAAGCCCAGTATGACAAGTTGTTGTTGTGCTTTAATCAGATGAAAGGTGATTGTTTTTACTGGGATCACCTGACATTGTCATAGAAAGAGGGATGGATTTACTCTGAAAAAGAGATGCTGCCTAAAGGCGTGGCATGGATTGGCTTTTCCAAGGCCACCTGCCCAATCCCCAGCTGACAGACGAGTGAACTGCAGCCATCGGTTCTTCTGCGGATTGCACAGTTGTTCTGCCTCGGTAAGCTGGGTTTACCCCAGCTACATTGAATCGGAAGTGTTGCAAAGGACCGCACTGTTCTGATGGAAACTAATGGTAGACCGCCCAAAATGTATTTATGGAACGGTGGAAAAGTCTCCCTCCCTTTTCCGTTCTTGCAATCATTGCTTCAAATGGAAAGCGCAAAATCCTCCAAACCAGCCTAATAGTCTTGGGCAGCCAACTAGTCCTTTATGGGCCTAGAGACTAGGGTAGAAAGCGTTCCATTAGCTCACTGCTGCTGAATGGTGCTCCATGGTGCGGAACTCCATGGAATAATCAAACACAGATCTTCTTCCTTGTCTCAGGTCAAACAAATCTCCAGCAACCTCTCTTCCAGTTGTAGCATCAGTAAAACATTGCACCATTGTTCCTCAGAAAAAAACTGCTCTGAAGAGTAGTTTGAAGAATACTTCCCCAGATAAAACTATATTCAACCATTTTGGTCCACTTGAATACATTATTGTATTTTTCAATGTTTAAGACCAAAACTTAAACTGTCATGTTCACATTTGTTTTTCAAATTCTCAAAACTTTTGGCCTGGATTTGGCTCCATATAAGTCTTCATCCATATTACTTGCCCAGAGAGTTTTCCGGAGATGTATGCTGTTTACATTTCTTACATTGCTGGTGCGTTGCAAGCTGCTGACGTCATCAGCGAGGCTACAAACTCTGCACCCAATTTCTCTCAAAATGCTTTTTGGGAATGTTAACCATTTTGCCTTGAGAAAAACAATTTGTGTTAAGGAAGCTTACAGCTCCACAACTCACCTCTCTTGGGCAAATCCAAACTCAACTTTCCTATCTGAAGCCCCTCTATAAAGCTGCATTCCAGTGAAAACCAGCAATTAACAACTGCAAAGAGCCAGTCACTGGAAGCAGAGGAAAATCTCCAATGATCACCATCCAGCTAATATAACATAACCGTAAAACTAACATAAACATCTCTGTACAACTAATGTAATCAATGTTTGTTTTAGATTTAACCAGAGTTGTAGATGGATTTCTAACTTCGAACAGAGCCAAGCTCGCTAGTTTTCTGCTGCTTCCAGTCTAAGATGGGCGAGGCTGCTAACCACATTCCGACTCGTTCTTTGCATTTAACATAGACTTTAACATAGATGTGGTATTCTTTATATCAAAATCTCTTGTCATGTGCCTCATTAACTCATCCCATTTCAAACATATCTATAAATCTCATGTTAAATGTAGGGACTGGAAAACAATTTAACAATGTGTGTTTTTTATTAACAATTTTAGTAGAGACAATCTGATGAAATGAATATTTCTGTGTGGTCTAACAGTCTTTGCTTTCCACAGGGGGACCAAAGGCAAGGACATCAGCACAATCAAGTCACTGAGGGTTCTCAGAGTGCTCAGGCCTCTAAAAACCATCAAACGTCTGCCAAAACTGAAGGTTCTTTGCTTTATTTGTATTAACTAAAAAGGGAAGCAGGGCTTCATTTGACAAGGTCTGGTTTTCTGCTCTATGATACAGTATTACGGCTTGAGTGTGATAAAACAAAAAAAAAAGTGCTGCAAGTAAAATCATGTGTTTTTTCTTTTAATTAATACTTTTTGCCCTTGGCACATGTGAAGATGCCTCAAAAACAACTGACAGATATGCTCTGTTAAGGCCCATTCATTATCTAAAACAACTGAATACTAAATCTAAAAATGTATTGATAGAGTGATTTTTTTTTACATTAATGTTGCTCTGTTCCATAATCCAGTTCACTTTAAATGAGTTTAGCATAAACATAATTTCACATTAGCAAGGTCAATGCTGTAGTTATCCTGTGTGCTCGCCTCCGAGTGCTTTATCTGTACAGTGACAAAAAGTAACTGTAACGTCAGATGATGTTCATGCTAAGCTTCTCTTACTTGAGTTTACTGGCAAAAAGATGATAGTTATATTATTATAGATATTAAACAATTCCAAAACGATTTTCCAATTCATCCTTAATATAAATGTGTGTGCCTGTTCTCTGTTTCCTCAGGCGGTGTTTGACTGTGTGGTCAATTCTTTAAAGAATGTGCTGAACATCCTCATAGTTTACATCCTCTTCATGTTCATCTTTGCGGTCATTGCGGTTCAGCTCTTTAAGGGAAAATTCTTCTACTGCACAGACGAGTCCAAGGGCCTCGAGAAGGACTGCAAGTCAGTCTAAAATCCCACACTTCTTATTTCGTAGACCTTGAAGAGATTGGTGTGGTCAAACTGAACGCTGTTCCTGTCTAACCCAACTCAGCTTTATTTATGCCTTCATGTCTTCCAGAGGGCAGTTTCTTGACTACGACCAAGATGAGGTGGCCGCCATGCCCAGAGAGTGGAAGAAATATGAGTTCCATTATGACAATGTTCTTTGGGCCTTCCTGACCCTCTTCACGGTCTCCACTGGGGAGGGCTGGCCAACGTAAGCAGAATTGATCGTTACAGTATATACATGGTTAGCATAGTTGACACTATGCCTGCCCATGGTGGATTAGTCACCCCGCAAAGGTTTTCCCAAACGTTTGTTTGGTATATATATATATATATATATATACCAAACAATATATATATATATATATATATATATAATATATATATATATAACCAAGATGGTTAACTGACCATTTGTTGGCCAAACGAAGGGTTGTTGCACCTCTCCTGGTAAAGGAACAAGTGGCCTTTATCTGAAGCCAAACCTGGGACGGTAGCGTAGACGGGCATCGTCAAAGAAATCATGCCAACTGAAACACAGAACAAAGCAAAAGTGCTGCAAGTAAAATCATGTGTTTTTACAGTGGAAACTGTTTCTGTAAATCTTCTTAAAACAGAATGGGAATGGGATAATGTGTTACAATGACCAGCACGGGACAGTCTGTGATAATAAAGTCGTGTTACAAAAAAGTAAATCAGCTAGTTTGTGAGGCCGACCCTGTGATGCTAATGATAACAAAAGGCATTATGTCTAAGGAAGAAGAGCTTTCTCTGTTCATGTTCAACAACATGAATACCGCACAGGGCGGAGTTGCGCTTGTGTTTCCAGTGCTGGCCCCGGACAAAGCCGGCCACGGCAACAGTCTAGTACTCATACAGTGCGGCTTACTCATTGCGAGGACTCTGACGCAAAAATCCTGAGACAGGCTCGTGAAAAAGATTGGTGCAGAGAGATGCTGTTTTTAAACCACTATGTTTGTATGTAATTTCATGTTTACTTGTATTCCTTCTATTGAGCCTCCCAAAGAAAGCATTTCACTTGATTGTACTTATATAACTGGAGTGACATTAAACACTTTGAATCAGTGATTAGCGTGACGTGAGTCGTGTCAGGGAACGGCTTCGCCATGACTGCATCAGAATTTCCTATCGCATCTGGCCAACCAGGATTGGAACTGAATGTGTCAGTGCCAGGTAATGTAATAGCCGTCACCTGTAAAAAGGACTTGATTACGCCAGTCATTTGAAAAACACTCACCTCTTTTCTGCTATAAATAAGCAAAGAGGATGCCAGAGTGAGTGATTCACCAACACTACTCTGACAACCTGGGTTTACTGATATAAAGTAACCTAAAGTTTTATTTCATAGCATTTGTTTCATCTCTCGTTGGGACATCAAACCTCTGGAACCTGGAAAAGGTGTGTGAGGAGGCTCAGTCGGCTGAATGAAGATTCCCCTGTGAGAATGTGCATGCAACCTCTGGTGGCTGCAAACCCTTTAACCAGAAGCTAAAGTAAGATACACCACAATCCAGTGAGACAGCTGTAGTTCTTTCCCAAGGCACGGAAAGCTGATCACTACTCCCAATGCTGTTGGAACCAAAAGATGTATGACTTTCACACGGTATAACGTGTGTCACCACTGATCATCACTTAAGGCATATGGCAGCTGACAGAAGGACACTAGGTCAACTTGAGGTTGTGACCCTGTGGTTAGGTTGTGAGTGCCTCCAAACATTCCCCGAGAGAACCTTGTACTTGTTTGGGGGAGCGAAAACATTTTAATCTCACACACACACATTTAACTGAGGCCAGAGACATCGAGCTGTCTTTAAAGTCACCTGTTCCAGTGGTTCACAAGGTGGGACTGAAAGGATTTGCTCATGAGTTTCGGTCTGTCAATGGCACCTTTGGAAAATAACATTACAGTCTGGTGCTAATGTGTCTCACCTCATGGCTGTTGTGTTCTGCTACTCTCCCTACAGTGTCTTGAAGCACTCTGTGGATGCTACCTTTGAAGACACGGGTCCCAGTCCAGGCTACCGGATAGAAATGTCCATCTTCTATGTGGTTTACTTTGTGGTCTTCCCTTTCTTTTTTGTGAACATCTTCGTCGCTCTAATCATCATCACCTTCCAGGAGCAGGGAGACAAGGCCCTATCTGAGTGCAGCTTGGAAAAGAATGAGGTAATGAAGCAATATGACAAACAACTCTGAGCTTCATGTTAACAGTCATTATTGCTTACATAATGCAGTTATCACAAACGCCATTAATGTTTTTACCTAATTTCTCCATTCTACTCGCTGGATATTTGTAGAATAGTTATGTTAAGAATAGATTAGGATGAACCATTCAGGGAAAGTTTGGTCTTTCACTGGACAACTTTTAATGTTACCAGATAAATGCAAGAGAGAAGCTTATATCCTTTGGGACATAACCAAACTGTCCCTTTTTTCCCAAAAATAATAATGTTGCAGTGGAATAATTTGCTGTAATGTTTAAATTTGGCTACAGTTTGAGTGAATAAACCAGCATGACCCATTTTACCAGTCATCTGTTGTTAGTCCAGCAAAGTCAACAGTTTAAAAAAAAGTTCAATTGTAATGGAATAGAATAGCCTGTTATACAACATTGTTACCATCTTGAGTAAGGCTATTCTATGGAAGTTGTGGTTAAAGAACCTTGGTCAGAACAATCAAACAGCTCTCAAAGATTTTGTGAATAAACAGTCTGGTTAAAAAAATAACCATAAGTTATCCACAAAGAGTAAAACAATATTCTGTTCAAATTTATCCAGAACTTTTGCACTGGGTTCAAAAGTTCAATTTTTTTCAATGCTAAATGCTTGGAAAACATACGAGATATGTCTGTATATACATACTTCGTCGGTTTTCATGGAAAATATGGATTAAATTCGCTGTTTTGCAATGAAATACGGCTGTGCGCCGCTGGGCTTCATGCTTTGTCTGTGTCAGTGTCATCTGACGCTATACCCAGTTTTTCTTCTAAGCGGCTGTGGAAGCTGTCAATCATTTGCGTCTGACTTTCAGCGTATTCAGGCAGATTAGACGATTCAGTAGAGTGGTTGAATGTTGTTGAGAGTTGTTTTACAATTGAGATTTTGGGTCAGACTTTCGTTTTACATCAGGCCTTCCCAAAAGCCTACTCTAGAGTAGTCGATTCTTATTCTATCAACTTGAAACTTTACATGTGTACTGTTCACACACAGGGCGTAGATACGTTTTTATAAATGTTTTATGAGAATTATAGGGCTGTGTGTGACATTTTTGAAGGCAAATCTCAATCTGACACACAAACCTTGTGTTACGTATCTATTCACTAGTAACATATATACTGATTACACATCACAACACTCACAGGGGTTCTCCTTTATCCCCCAACAATTGTACAAATAGACAAAGTAGCTTCACAGTTATTACACTTTTTATTATGGCTGTGCTATTTTCGAGCAGAGGCCAAAAAACAGCTCCCGTTAGATCAGGTAAAAATCATAAAATTAAGTTACCCTACTTTGCCTCTTGCAGACAATTCAATTAAAAATGTTCCTCATTACAGACGTATTATTAAAAGAGAAAAGTTCAAACAGTCCAACTCGACAGATATGGACAGACTTCTCGCTCAGGTGGACCATCACATAACATCACATTGGCCTCAATCAGGAATCAGGAATCAGGAAACATTTATTTGCCAAAATATGTCAAACATACAAGGAATTTGTCTTGGCGGTTAGTGCGCGACAGTAGACAGACAAGACAACAGTGCACAAGTAATAAAGTAGAATGAAATGCTAATGCAATGGGTTAGTAGAATAAGGCTAAGGCTATGGGTTAGTATAAAACAAGGGAATAAAGTTAAAAATTTTAAATATTAAAAAGTTAAAAAGAAAAATATTAAGCATAAAGTGCACTAACGAACAAGTGACAAAAGTGACAAAGTGACGAGTGACGACAAAGTGATGAATTGCAGTTAAAGTGGCATGTGCAGTATGAAGGGGAGTGACCGGTGGAGTGTTATAGTCAGTCAGTGGGGGACCGGGCTCTGTTGATGAGCCCGACTGCTGACGGGAAGAAACTGTTCGTGTGGCGGGAGGTCTTAATCCTGATGGACCTCAGCCTCCTGCCAGATGGAAGGGGCACAAACAGTTTTTGTCCGGGGTGAGAGGGGTCGGCCACGATCTTTTTAGCTCGCTTCAGAGACCTGGAAGCGAACAAGTCCTGCAGGGACGGCAGATTGCAGCCGATCACCCTCTCTGCAGAGCGGATGACCCGCTGCAGCCTGCCCTTGTCCTTGGCTGTGGCTGCAGCGTACCAGACGGTGGTGCTTCACAACATTCTGGGCATATTTGTTCTGTAATATCTTTAGTGAGTATCTTTAGTATCTTTAGTAATAGTAGTGAGTCCTAGCAGTTTAAAATTATGAACAGTCTCAAGGTTTTAGCCTATCAACTTTCACAGCTGCAAGTTAATTTAATTGTTGGAATGCTTTTAAGCAATGCATTTTCTAGTTCTTATAAATAATCGATTATTCGATAACATCTGGGACTCAAATGCATGTTTGGTTATCTAAGGCAAGTGAACGCATTTAGAAATTTCATCAAGAGTGAAGACTGTCAAATAAAGAAGACAGTTCAACTGAGATGTGGTTTCTCTCTTACAGAGGGCTTGTATTGACTTTGCCATAAACGCCAGACCTCTAACACGCTACATGCCCCAGGACAAGCAGTCCTTTCAGTACAAGATGTGGAAGTTTGTGGTCTCCCCTCCATTTGAGTATTCTATCATGATCATGATTGCTCTCAATACTATAGTACTCATGATGAAGGTAAGAACTTTCAAAGAGTATATTACTTGTACAGTGCCGTTTTTTGCATTGTCAATTGAAGTTGGTCCTGGATTCATTAGCTCAGGAAATAAAGTGTTTACATTTTTCTGCTGTCTCTATACCCGCAGCATGTTAGCTTAGCAAAAGACATTGGAGCAAAAATCTAGCCAGGCTAGTTAGCTACTGCTAAGCTACTGTTAGTAAACATGTTGATTTCTGTATCTTAATTTTAAACAATGGTATAATGCTGCCTTTCAGTTCCATGGAGCTCCAGACTTCTATGAAGCAATGCTGAAGAACCTCAACATAGTCTTCACCACCCTTTTCTCTCTGGAGTGTATCCTAAAAATCATTGCGTTTGGTCCATTGGTAAGTAATGTTTATGAAACAACTTCTGACTAATAAAGAAGAACTGATGATAAACTGTTGTTTTTCAGAACTACTTAAGGGATGCCTGGAACGTGTTTGACTTTGTCACCGTGTTGGGCAGCATCACTGACATCCTGGTGACGGAAATCAATGTAAGAGCACTTACGCCACCCTCACTTCAACAATGCTAAAAGTATTATATCAATACCACACATCTGCCATGGTCGTGAGCTGTGCTAAGATGAACAAAGATGGCAACGGTTCAGACAGCAGTGAAGAAAATCTCCTGTTATCCTCCCATTAAGCTTTGTTGATAAAATTGAAAATTTTAAAATGTGATGAACTATGAGCAAGCACAACAGTGTTTTTGTTCAACACAGTGTTTGTATGTCGTCTGGCATTTTGGAGAATGTAGCACACTTAATCAAGTGAAAAAGTATGTGTATGAAGCAAATACCCTAATAAGCAAGTAACCCTAACCCTAAAAAATAAATAGTTTGATATATATCTATATATACTGTATATAGATATATATCAAACTACTTTAAGTAGTTTTGAAACCAGTATTTTTATGCTTTTACTTACGTAAAAATCTTGAGTCGATACTTTTAAAACCCTAGTATCTATACTTCTACTTGAATTGAATTGAATTTGAATTTATTTTTTTGAACATGTAAAAAAGGAAAAACATTTTTTTACTATTTGTACACACACAAGAAAAAATAAAAATTATTAAAAATAAATAAATAGAATAACAGAGCTAAGACAACAAAAAAAAACAGTTCGAAAAAAAGGAGTGGGAAGAAGCATAACACTTATTTGATGTCCCACCACTTTTCAACTGCTCTTCAGCCTGTAACCACACAGAATACTACATAATACATCTACATACAACGCATACACTTCACAAATATCCATACAAATATCCAATCACAAAAACAAACATACACCACATACAGTACATATCCCTGCAAACATACATATAACATATATATATATATATACATATACTGTACATACATACACTAATAATAATAATAATATTTATTTATTTAATCATAATTATATACCATATATACTAAATACAATATAACATATATATAGTGCTGAGTAGTTATACCATTCACCTCCTCTCTTCATCACAGTACCTGTTGAAATCACCAGTTTGAGTCTTTTTTTAAACAGAGTCTTGCTTGGACTTTGCTTCAGCTCTTTTTGAAGTTTATTCCAGACATTACATTTTACATTACATTACATGTCATTTAGCAGACACTTTTATCCAAAGCGACGTACAATAAGTGCATTCAACCATAGGGTACAAACTCAGGAGAACAAGAAACAAGAAAGTGCAATTTCCTCAAATAAGCCAATTTACAATTTGCTATAGATGAGTGACGTTACAAGTACAATTTAAGTGCTACAATTTGTTAGTCTTTAGTTGAGGTAGAGTCTGAAGAGGTGTGTCTTTAGTTTGCGGCGGAAGATGTGAAGGCTCTCTGCGGTCCTGATGTCTTCAGAGAGCTCGTTCCACCATTTCGGCGCAAGGACAGCAAAGAGTCGAGATCTAGTCGAGATCTTCACACCACTGACTGAAATACACATTCTCTTCATGGTGGTTCGAACCAGTTTTTGCATGTTATCTGGTAGTTGTTTATTTCTAGCTTTATACATCAGCATAGCTGTTTGAAATTCTACTAGATCTGGCAGTTTGAGGAAGCAGGACTGTATAAATAATACGTTAATAATAAAGCCTCATCTCGCCATCACTAGGAAGCAGAGAGTTTGAAGTGTGGCCTTAAAATACATCCCCAGGTGTGCCTTCAATTAACTCACATGTCAGTTCAGGAGCTTTAAAAGCCATGACATCATCATCTGGGATTGCCCACATTGTTTAAAGACATCATACTTTTGGTGTATGTAAACTTTTGACCTTAAAGAAAGTAATGAAAAATTCTCTAAAATATACACTCTTTTAGCAAAAGTTAAATAATTTTGGTAATCCTAACGGACCTGAAACAGGAGAGGTTTAGTCTGATTTAACTTCAGACAGTGAAAAAAAAAGTATCATGTGTCTTTTTGCACAGCGTATGTAAACTTCTGGTTTCAACTGTATGCAAGCGTTACGCCTACACACCGTGTGTTTTCTACTGTCAGCAGCCGCCAGTTATGTGTGTATTTGATGAACTTTATCAGTTTATGTTATGGGAAATATAAATGGTCCTGTTCTCCTGCCTCTCCACCCTTTCTTCTCATCTTCTTATGCTATCTGTCTCCCTCTTCCTCCACATCTCCATCTTGTTGATTGTCATCACCGGCGTTGCCATGACCCGGTCCCAAACACCACTAGACCACGGTGAGTGGCTTTGCTTTACCATTTTCTGCTTTTACCTTTTTGACATATAGGATGTTATGCTCTTTTGAACGTGATTTAAAAGAATACTCCATCAAGTTATCACGAATCCGGAAACATTTATTACCAAAATATGTCAGAAAAGGAATTTGACATGGCGATTGGTGGATAGCAGAAGACAGTTCGACAAAGGACAACAAGACAGATGTCAATTCTATGGCTTAGTATATATGGTTAAAGTTAAAAAAAAAAGTATATAAGTATAAAGTAAAAAAAATGCTAAAAAGTAAAAAAAAAATAAAGTGCACCAGTGAATAGAAAGGGAGAAGTGAAAATGTATGAGAGACAAACTAAAAAAAGGAGTTGAAAGGCAGCAGGAGGACTGAGGACAAGGGGTTGAGAGACCAGGAACACACACACGCACGCGTACGGGAAAAGGATTGTTGGCTCTATACGAGTGCACATTACAGGTCATTTAGCTGACACTTTTATCCAAAGCGACTTACATTGCATTTTTAACCCATGGCTTTTTTTTTGTTGCCCGGGGAGCAATTAGGGGTTAGGCGTCTTGCTCAGGGACACTTCGACATGGGACATCACAAATGGCAAATAAGCTATTTTTCAGGGAGCTTGCATCATCAGGGACGATAGCCAGCGAGTCCATTTACAAACTTTTTTTTTTGTTTGTATGAAGTTTAGCGGGTGCTTCAGTCCCTTTATGATTGTTCTATGTTGGTTTTTACTAGTGCGTATGTGGGGATTGTAGAAATTAATGGAGATCTGGCGATGGTAAAATCAATGCACACAACATCTTCCAACCACCCAGCCAGACCTACCGGACCTGACCCCACTGAGGGCAGACTGAGATTGACGCCAAGCTAACCCAGAAGGGATCTAAAGCTACTCCAACTAAATTTGCTTCTGGCTAATGTCCAGTTGGTGCTTGGTGACACATCTCATTCAATTATATTCAATTCATTTGATTTTGTATGGGCCAAAGTAACAAAATACAAATTAGCCTCAGAAGGCTTTAAAGTCTCTACAAATGCGACATCCTCTGTTCTGAAATCCTCACATCGACACGGGCAAAAACTCCACCAAAAATGAAAAACTCTTTCAACAGGGAGAAAAAGAGAAGAAGCTGTAGTAAGAATGGCAGAGTAGGATTCCTATTCCAGGATAGACCGAATGCAATGGATGTCATGTGTATAGAATGATCAGCGTATTCTATTCTGTACAGTACGTTGAATTCATATCACAGGAATAATTAAAATAATAAAATTAGTTAGTCAGGTGTAAGGCAGGACCACTGGAGGAACAACGACCATCAGATATAACCACCATCACATGTAACCACCGTCAGATAGAATCACCATCATATAGAACTACCATCTACAGAAACTTGTGAGGAGGGAAATCACAAAGACTTCAAAAGAGGAGACGTCCTTTGACACTAGGAAGTATACTTCCTAGGACATATTATACTATATATGATACTGTCGACCACTCAATACTTTTGGACAGGTTGGAAAACTGGGTGGGGCTCTCAGGCACAGTCTTAAGCTGGTTCAGGTCATATCTACAAGACAGGAACTATTTTGTTTCCATTGGTGACTTCGTATCAGAAACAACCGACGTAACGTGTGGAGTCCCCCAAGGTTCGATCTTAGGGCCGACTTTATTCAACATCTACATGCTCCCACTAGGACAAATCATGCAAAAAAAAAAATTGACCACCATTGCTACGCTGATGACACCCAAATCTATGTAGCGCTATCACCAAACGACTATCGCCCCATAGATCTTGCATTGAGCAAATCAAAGACTGGATGTGTCAAAATTTCCTACAACTAAATGAAGACAAAACTGAGATCATTGTATTTGGTGCTAAAAAAGAAAGGTTTAAAGTAACCCAACACCTTCACTCTCTGTCCCTGAAAACATCAAATAAAGCCAGAAATCTGGGGGTTATTATGGATTCAGATTTACACTTGGAGAGTCACATCAAATCAGCAACAAAATCGGCCTACTACCACCTCAAAAATGTAGCACGACTTAGAGGGCTCATGTCAGCTCAAGACTTAGAAACACTTGTACATGCCTTTATAACTAGTAGGCTAGACTATTGTAATGGTCTCCTTGCAGGTCTCCCAAAAAAAACTGTCAGGCAGCTCCAGCTTGTTCAGAACGCTGCTGCTAGAGTTCTAACAAAGACCAAAAAATGTGAGCACATTACACAAATTCTTTAATCCTTACATTGGCTCCCAGTATGTCAGAGAATTAGTTTCAAAATCCTACTGCTCACATATAAATCACTACATGGTTTAGGGCCAAAGTATATCACTGATATGCTTCCACTACATAAGCCTTCAAGATCACTAAGATCTTCTGACACCAATCTGTTAGTGATTCCCAGAGTAAATACAAATCACGGGAAAGCATCATTTAGTTACTACGCAACAAACAGCTGGAATAAACCTCCTGAAGATTTAAGACTTGCCCCAACTCTGACCACGTTTAAAACAAGACTGAAAACTTTTATGTTCAGCTTCGCCGGTTTAAAGTAACCCAACACCTTCACTCTCTGTCCCTGAAAACATCAAATAAAGCCAGAAATCTGGGGGTTATTATGGATTCAGATTTACACTTGGAGAGTCACATCAAATCAGCAACAAAATCAGCCTACTACCACCTCAAAAATGTAGCACGACTTAGAGGGCTCATGTCAGCTCAAGACTTAGAAACACTTGTACATGCCTTTATAACTAGTAGGCTAGACTATTGTAATGGTCTCCTTGCAGGTCTCCCAAAAAAAACTGTCAGGCAGCTCCAGCTTGTTCAGAACGCTGCTGCTAGAGTTCTAACAAAGACCAAAAAATGTGAGCACATTACACAAATTCTTTAATCCTTACATTGGCTCCCAGTATGTCAGAGAATTAGTTTCAAAATCCTACTGCTCACATATAAATCACTACATGGTTTAGGGCCAAAGTATATCACTGATATGCTTCCACTACATAAGCCTTCAAGATCACTAAGATCTTCTGACACCAATCTGTTAGTGATTCCCAGAGTAAATACAAATCACGGGAAAGCATCATTTAGTTACTACGCAACAAACAGCTGGAATAAACCTCCTGAAGATTTAAGACTTGCCCCAACTCTGACCACGTTTAAAACAAGACTGAAAACTTTTATGTTCAGCTTCGCCGTCTGCTAAATTTTAGCTACTTTGCACTTTTAACCTCTGCCTTTAATTAAACAATTTAAATAAGATTTTAATTTATAATTTTATTTGCTGTTTTTAATTGTCTTTTAATTCCTGCATTTTATTTCACTTTATTGTATGAAATGTTATGACGTGAAGCACTTTGAGTCTGCCTTGTGTATGAAAAGCGCTATACAAATAAACTTGCCTTGCCTTGCCTTGCCTATATATAATATATATTGACTATATATATATTATATATACCAGTATACTTTATCCATAAAAAGCATTTGGCTGTATATGCCTGATCAATTCATTCTTGGCTTCACACCTGGATACGTAGTCATGATGTATGAATATTGTTTTACTAAATTCCCAAATGCAGAAACATATAACGGATTAATACAATACATGACTAACGACATGAATAAGTTCCCAAATGACCACGTTATTATTGTGACCACATTCATCGGACCTGTGTACAGGTATTATTAATGTCTCTTAAATTTCATGACACCTGGGCCTTGTATAATCTTTACTCAATCCCACTTGTCAAAGGGAGTCAGAATAAGATATTTTCTAACCAGCTGAAGTGACTCATTAAACAATTCAACCCTGATCAGTCTGTTCATGTGTGATTTCTGTGGATTTCATGTCCTGTTTTCGTCTTAACAGGACAAGCTGCTGAACCTGAGCTTCCTGAGGCTGTTTAGAGCTGCTCGGCTCATCAAGCTGCTAAGACAGGGCTACACCATTCGCATACTGCTGTGGACCTTTGTCCAGTCCTTCAAGGTACTCACATACTGTATATCATTAGATAAACACTGACATGTACACTTTCCCAAACACCTATGTATAGTCATTTGTGTGGCGGCGGTTGGACCTATCAGTACAGAGTTTGAACTGGGAACTGGAGATATGCCAGTTCACCTCCTGCGCAATAGATATTTACAGGGAAGCGGACACTGTTGAAGGCAGGGCACAGTTCATTCTTATGAAAGTCCATCATTGTCACATCCACTGGGCCATAGAGCAAGCCCGCTGGTGGTCCTTTAACAACACCCCCCAACCCTGTGTCTAGCCTGGGCCTCGTTCACATGAACAGGAATATAACCGTGGATTCAGCTTCACCATTTTTACAACTTTTAGATCCAAGTATTCTTGATGGTAAGTTGATTTATCTTTAAAAGAAAATTATTGCTGAGTTACACACATGTCCTTCCCATTGAAAGTCCTCGGTGAAAAATATGTTGGACCTTGGGACAGACGCAGAAGTTTTGTAACTATGTAAAAATCTTCTTTACACCCTGATATTCTTCCTGGGTGCAAGATTTTGAAGTGCAAATCATTTTTTACTGTACTGTCATGTAATTCAAATTTAGTGACCATTAAGCTAAAACAAAGCACTGCATATCGACCGGAGTAAACCCACTCGTACGTCTAAGCACTTCGATTCCGGCATGTTTTACATAGTTTTACATGGTTTTACATGGTTAAAAAGCATGTATATCTTCAGCAGCTGCCATTAACTCTTAACCAAGGGCATTCCCAGGTTACCAACATCTGTGTGTAGTTCCGGAGTGGTTTATGATGACTATCATTATTAAGTACATGTGTTTCCTGTCCTTTAGGCCCTGCCTTATGTATGCCTTCTGATTGCGATGCTGTTCTTCATTTACGCCATCATTGGGATGCAGGTGAGAAATGCTGCTCTGCTATGGTTACAGAGGTCATAATGTTTATATAGTTGTTCGTCATTGTATTTTGGCCCAAATATGAAACACTTCTTTTGCACATTGCTAAGACCCACAAATCAATTTTCCTCACTGTGCTTTAGGTGTTTGGCAACATTGCGCTGAATGAGGATACAGCTATCAATCATCACAACAACTTCCGTACTTTCCTCCAAGCGCTCATGCTGCTGTTCAGGTATAAGAGACTATGAATTTGGCCATGCTATTGGTAGACAAAGACTTACTTTAAAGAGGAAAATTGCAGATTCCATTTTCCCACAAAACTTAACAGAATTACCAAAATATACTAATCTATTATTATATGTATGATTTGATTATTGTTCCCAATGTATTCAAGTGTAAGTAATAATTAAATGTTGGCAAATATGGGTGATGGCCATTTGAACTACTGGTTTTACTGATTGGAATTAAAATTTAACAGTAAACATATTTTGTACAGTCACTGAGGGAGATGTGTGTGTGGGGGTGGGGGGCAGAGTTCAGAGTTCAGGGGGGGCAGAGTTCAGTAGAGTGACAGCCGCAGGGATGAAGCTGTTCCTGAACCTGCTGGTCCGGGAACGGAGCACCCTGTAGCGCCTCCCAGAGGGGAGGAGGGCAAACAGTCTGTGGCTGGGGTGAGAGCTGTCCTTTTCGATGCTGCGTGCCCTCCGCAGACATCTCTTTCTCTGGACAGCCTCAACGGTGGGGAGTGAGGAACCGGTGATGCGTTGGGCAGTTTTCACCACCCTCTGCACTGATTTACGGTCCGCGACAGAGCAGCTGCCATACCATACTGAGATGCAGTTTGTGAGGATGCTCTCTATGGTACAGCGGTAGAAATTCTCTAGAATCTGAGGAGACAGATGGGCCTTCTTCAGTCTCCTCAGGAAGAAGGGACGCTGGTGTGCTTTCTATACCAGGGATGAGGTGTTGAGGGTCCAAGAGAGGTCCTCAGAGATGTGCACACCCAGGAACTTGAAACTGGCGACACGCTCAACCTCCGTCCCGTTGATATGGATGGGGATGTGTGTGCCAGTTTTCTTCCGGAAGTCCACAATTAGCTCTTTGGTCTTCTTGGTGTTGAGGGCTAGGTTGTTGTCGGCGCACCATACCGCCAGATGCTGGACCTCCTCTCTGTAGGCCGACTCATCGTTGTCACTGATGAGGCCAATCACCGTTGTGTCGTCTGCAAACTTGACAATGGTATTAGAACCGTGTACAGGTGTGCAGTCATAGGTGAAGTTGCTTTATCTGTTAAATAACTGTATGTATGTTAAATAACTATATGTAGCAGTAGAATTAAGGTAGCATACAACTCAATAATAAAGGAAAATATGTAGTAGCTGGGGGCGGCATAGTGTTCCACGCAAATGAAGCACCATGAAGCTTTGGCCCCGGTTAGCACTGTCCCTCACAGCAAGGGTTCAGAACCCTGTCTCTCGCCCTAAGTTGCATGGATAGACTCCAGCCCCCCTGTGACCCTGTGTCGCGGGGGGACAATGGATGGATGGATGTAGTAGGTGCTTAGTATAATTTTAATGTTTTAAAAAAATTAAACGGATGAAGGTGAGCTATTGTCCAAAGTTTAGACATTTCTTTTAGACATTTTTTTCATTTCTCATTTAGTTAAATGAAAAAATGTGTCCAAATTGTGGTGCTGCATGTGTGATCATTCTTATCGTACCCATGGTCTTTGTGAATGCTAGTCCTTTTATTCCTTGAATACGTACTCTTATTTGGGAAAGTGAAGCCTATTTGCGGCACTCACTGTGCTTCTATTACCGTCTCTCATCCTGCGACATATTTTACCAGGCTGTAAACTTAAGTTAAGAATCCGTGTGTATGAGGGATCTTGTGAGAATCCTACCACTCTGCATCGTAGTCAGTGTTTAGCGAGCCTTCTTTTGATCTGAGCCATACTGCAGCCTCAATGTAACAAGAAGCAGAAACAAGGTCTAGTAAACAGTGAAGCCTCGAACTCTTATACTGATTATATAGATGCTAGTTATTTTTTAACATTCTAATGGTGAATTCAAAATTTACCAGTATTGGCTGAAATCATTTTCAGATTTAGCTGGTGTTTTTTCATGAATTAAATTACACATTTAATTTCAATTGAAGTAAATGCTTTGATGTTTGTCATGGGGTCAAACGTATTTGGGGTAAAGAAGCGGTGCTATCCGCATCCCACATAAAAACTCCTCTGTCCTTCAATTGATATCTTGAACCATAGTCATTGGTATCCCATTCTGCCATAAGAACACTATGTGTTGAGCATTAAAGTTATTGTTGAAGCCAGTACAACAACCAGAACGTTTAACTCAGTTAATTTACTAGTTCTGGCAGAAGCTTTGAATAACATGTCGCAGTTGTTCTCAGTGGTTGGGGGCATCAGTACTCAAACCAGCAGATCCAAGCAACAAAGATACTTTATTTGACGTCAGAAAATAAAATTCCAACGGGGACCAGGAATACATGGAAACCAAAAAGACTCACTAAAAATGACTAATCAAACCGAAAAGGAGACAAGCAACACACCTGGTTTGAATACACAGGGGAGGTGCAGGTGATTGGACACACAAGGAAACGATCAGGGACATGGCAGACAATCACGGGGGAAAACACACTAGGGCAGGGAGTGAAGTTAACCCAGGGACATGAGAGCCAGGAAAATTCAAAATAAAACAGGAAATAAACCCACACCATGACAAGGGTCATGGAGATAGCTCATTTGATCTAAGTATAAAAAGTAATCTACCTTTCTAAAGACTTATTCTCCAAAATCAGAACGAAACTACTGGTTTCAGACGCATAGTCCAGCCCCTTTATTGGCTTCAGATTGATTCTGACATTTTCATTTCAGCTTCATATTAAAAGTATTAAAAGGACCCTGCTTATTTAATAATGAATATTGAATAGAGGAATTTGGTAATTTGGCGTTGGTAAAGCAACATAGAACAAAGACAAGTTAGCTACTAGCACACTTTAACCATTTTAAATTCACCTTCTATTGAGTCTATATTGTTTAACATTTTCATGTTTTTATGTATTAAATAATCCATTCACAGCACAGAATTTTTTAATTCTTGCCTTTGTTTTTGCGTCAGGAGTGCAACTGGCGAGGCCTGGCACGAGATAATGTTGTCCTGTCTAAGTCAGCGAGCCTGTGACGCGCGATCGGGGTCCCATGGGAACGAGTGTGGCAGTGATTTTGCATACTTCTACTTTGTCTCCTTCATCTTCCTCTGTTCCTTCCTGGTAAGTACAGAAAATTCATTTAGCCATTGTTATAGTTGACCTTGTGTATGCTGTCAGATATGATTTTATTGTAGAAGTTTTAAATAAGGTGATTTGCCTCACTTTAAATGTATTACTATATTTTCAATTGGATATTTTATTCTATAAAACCAAATAAATCCTTTTTTAAAGTTTTAAGTTAACTTTTTTCAACGCCAGACTATTGAAAAATTATATATTAAATTAATAATATTATATTACTATTTTGATGTGTATGCAGACATGCAGATGTGGCTGTCTGCATGTCAACCAACCCCCAAATGCAAACAACGTGCCTGTTTTCTTTGTAATGAATTAATGCTAATAAGATATAATAATAATGGTAATAATCAAATAATGGTCAGGTAAGTATGGGGGGGGGGTAGTACTCGGGTGAACATAGTTGCGGTAACCAAACGGAACAACAGCGCTGCATACTGTTAGTGCAAAATGAGTTGATATTAAAAACACAATGAGCCCCTCGTCTGTCAGAAACGAGGGACGCGTCACGAACATTCTATACATTGTTGGTCCTTGCTCGGATAATTTGCACTGATTGGAGTCAACCACGGTTGCTTTTGAATGACATCAAATGTGTCCGTTAGAAAGCAAGGATTGCTAATTAGCATTAGCATTCATTCTCAGTCGGCTCCTGCGGTCGACCTTATATGAATGAAGTGACATCATTTTTTTTTTTCAATGGCAGGCAATCTACCCGCACTGTCTTGGCGATCGACCAGTGGATCGTAATCCAAGTATTGGGCACCCCTTTTTTAGACATTTCATTTAGACCACAAACAACCATATCAACTTGCGGTAAAATGGCTTAACATGGCTCCCTTAAATGTTGGCACTGTCAAGATTTAATTTGCCTCCATTAGCAGCTTTCCTGATCATGCTGATTTCATAGAGATCTGCTGAATGAAACTAACTCTTTATTGCTTTATTGTTGAGACCTGGTCAAAGCTTAAACTGTACTTAATGGTTGTGTTCCAGATGCTGAACCTGTTTGTGGCTGTCATAATGGACAACTTTGAGTACCTAACCAGAGACTCCTCCATCCTGGGACCTCATCACCTCGATGAGTTCATCCGGGTTTGGGCTGAGTACGACCCGGCTGCATGGTATGTTTACGCTTTCTTCTGGGCCCCAGAGATTGGAATAAAAAGTGGGGGGGGGCAGACAGCCTAACTTTACTCCTCGCTTTCCTGCCCCCATGTAACTAAGGTGACTAAATGAGGCGTCAGGCACAAGCCTGTTTCTGTACCTTGTTGAATGCAGTCAGTCCCCTGATGATCATTGATTTATTTTAAGCTGTCTTGAATGTTTCTGTATTCATGTGCTTGTTCTTTTCCACAGCGGACGGATTTCCTATAAGGATATGTACAATTTGTTACGCATTATCTCACCCCCCCTGGGCTTAGGAAAGAACTGCCCTAATAGGGTAGCATACAAGGTTTGCATATACCAGACATTTCCGTTATTAGGGTGCTATGTGAACTTCTATGCCAAAAGACTTAACTGGATGGCTGTGCACCAATGAAACCGTCTTTACACTAGCACCTGCCCCTCAAACTGACTGGCTTTGGTTGATGATGCCGAAGTGGAAACAAAGCTTTCAAAGCCACAGCATTGTTCCAAAAGTTTTCTTCCATGCCTACTTTCTCTGACCTGCGATGTTTCCAGAGGAGATATGCTTAACCCTCCAAAGCTTTAAATCACTGCATTCAAGGTTTAGCAATAGGCAGTGATATGCAATGCAGATTGTAAAGCCTTGAGGCAGGTTCACGTTATGTGGTATTGGACTACATAAATACAAATAATGTACAAATCTGTAGAATCTCATCTGATATTTCATGAAAAAAGGGCAATATTCCAAACCAAAGCTTAAGCTGGCATTGAAACCTTTGTCTCCGTGTACCCTGGTTGAAGTACCAGTGGGATGTCTGCTAGCATGCTGAGGCAGCCATCCCTGTTACAATGCTGTCATTTCTAGTCCCTCATCAGCATTTTATGTGTTGGGTCAACCCATCCTCCATTCTTCTCTTCCCTCCTACCAAACTTACTCTTTAACATTTCATGTTTCCTGTCAGGTATCCTGAGCTCCACAGTGATGCATCCCTGTTGCCCGACACAGGGCGAGGATGACATCTCACTCTAGGAAATCTATTAACAGATTTCTGTTTTTCCTTTTCCATTATTCCCTTTTTCTGTTTTTTCCTTTTCCATTATTCTCTTTTTCTGTTGGTTTCTGCCATTTGTTCTTCTCCTTTATTTACATCTCCCCATCCTCCTCTATTTGCTTTTTTAACATTTTATTTCCTACCTTTTGAAGTGGCCGTATCAAGTACCTTGATATGTATCAGATGCTGCTCCACATGTCCCCACCCTTAGGTTTGGGAAAGAAATGTCCACCAAGAGTCGCCTACAAGGTAGACACCCCCCTCCTCCACCTTCTTCCCTTTGCTCAACAATGTCTCTCCTATTGGCCTGAACTCAAGCAAATGTTTGTGATCTAAAAGCGTTTCTTTGTTTTGCTAGCGCTCTTAAATTTTATATAAGCCCTCTACAGTCTTTTCTGTTCTTTTGTTTGGGTTAATACCCATCACTAAACATAATATGGAGATTTAGTATTGTTGATTAGCATATAGATTTATGCTCATAGAAAAAATCTGCTCCCTTGTGTGATATGAATATTATCATTTCATTTTAATTGTGCGCCTTAGTTAGTGGATTTTATTTTGTGGAGCAGTATGTGTGTGTTTTTATGTTTAGTGTCTGTTGCTATTCTGTGGGAGCAATGCTTTCTCTGTGTGCTTTTGACTTTGTGGTTCTGCCTTTGCTGCCTCTCTTTCACTCTCTCATCTCATCTATCAACTGTTTAATATATTTGTGTGAATGTGAACTATTTTGTGCATTTGTTTTTGTATTAGAATGTTTTATGTCAATGCTATTTATATTCAGTTTAAATATTTTAAACAATATATTATTATTATTTTTTGGCTAAATATTGATTGAGAAAAATTCAGCATTTCCACCTGATAATAACACGTGATATCTGGATAACCTAACCATATCTAAATCACACACATCAATTCTTAAGATTTGTTCAACAAGTTCAAAGGTGTTGACAGCGATAACGTATTACGTATTATTAGAACACCCCCGACCCCTTCTTCGGAAGCGTCCACCTCGACAATGAACTGGCGGTCGGGGTCCGGTTGGGTCAGCACCGGGGCCGAGGTGAACAGACGTTTGAGGGTGTCGAAAGCCCTCCGGGCCGCGTCGGACCATGGAAGATTGCCTTTCTTCTGGCTCGGAAGGGCGGTAAGGGGGGCAGCCGTTGCCCCGAAGTTCCAGATAAATCTCCTATAATATTTGGAGAACCCCAGGAATCGCTGGAGGTCCTTTACAGTGTTGGGTGTAGGCCAGTTGCACACCGCGTCTACTTTCGCCTGGTCCATGGCGACCCCTCCTGGCGACAGCACCTATCCTAGGAAGGTGAGCGTTGAGACATGCAACAGGCTTTTCTCCACGTTTACATAGAGCCGGTTGGACTGCAGACGCTGGAGCACTAAACGCACCTCCTGGACGTGTTCTCCCATACAGTGGGAATTTATGAGCAGATCGTCAATGTACACGATAAGGAAACGATTTATCATATCATGGAAGAGTTCATTCATGAATGCCTGGAACACTGCAGGGGCGTTGGTGAGCCCGTAGGGCATCACCAGATACTCGTAATGCCCCCTTGCAGTTTTCCATTCATCGCCCTCCCGGATGCGCACCAAGTTGTACGCGCTACGGAGGTCGAGTTTAGTGTAGACGCGTGCCCCTCCTACCTGTTCCAAGGCCGCCGGGATGAGTGGCAGGGAAAACCGGTTCTTCACTGTGATGGCTTCAATGCACGTTAATCGATACAAGGATGTAACCCGCCATCTTTCTTACCCACGAAGAAGAATCTTGAAGCGACCGGGGACGTGGAGGGGCGGATGAAGCCCTGACGCAAGGATTCCTCGACGTACTGGTTCATGGCCTCCTCCTTGGGTAGGGACAGTGTGTAGATCCGACCCTTCGGCAGCGGTGCCCCCGGCAGCAACTCGATCGCATAATTGCACGGTCGATGGGGAGCCAGCCTTTTTCTTGCTAAATACCTCCTGGAGCGTTTCGCAGCAGGAGGGCACTGCCTGGGTCTTGGGGGCCGTGGCTGCCTCAATCGGGGTGGCTCGGCAGGTGACGTTCAGACATCTGGACACCAGCCACGGGTATCCTAGGATCAGTGGTTCCTGGGGAGAGGACACGATGAAGAAACTTATGTCGTCCTTGTGCAACACTCCGACCAGTAGGGTGATGTCCTCCGTCCGGTGCGTAATCCCCGGTGCCCAGGGGTTGTCCATCCAGTGCGTTGATTCGGAGTGGGGGGAACACTGGGATGAGGGACACAGGAGGTCGGAAATGGCAGTTCCGGAGGTGATGTCCTTCTTCACCACAGTACAAACACAACTGCTCCCGGATCCTCCTCATGCTCTCTGCTGGAGACAGGGGCAGGCGCCCTAACTGCATCGGCTCCGGTCCCGCGTCGGTCAGAGGAGGTGTTACCGGGGATGTGAACCTTGATGTAAACCGGGTTTGCTGGGATCGTCGGGACTCGAGGAGGTGTCCCACGCTGATGGACACCTGGATGTAGTCGCCGAGCTCGGTGACGTCTCCTCGGCACGCTAGTTCGGTCTGGGGTTCGGGATGGAGACCGCGACGGTAGATGGTAAGGAGTGCGGTCTCACTCCACCCGCTGCCAGCGGCGAGGGTCCGGAACGTTAGAGCGTAGTCCGACACCGTCTGTGACCCCTGACGGATTTCGCACAGCAATTCCCCCGTGGCCTTCCCGGTGACGGGGTGGTCGAACACATCCTTAAATTTTGCCTGGAAGTGTTGCTCAGACAGAACTTCTGGGGCTCTGGCTGACCAGAGGGCCGTCGCCCAATCGAGGGCTCCTCCGCTTAACAGGGAGATGACGAAGTCGACTCTATCCTTCTCCGTCCGGTAGTTCGCAGGGTGGTGGGCGACATACATTCCGCATTGCATGAGGTACCCCAGGCATTTGCCCGGAGAGCCGTCATATTTGCTCGGCATAGCCAGCGGGGCGGGTCCGGCGGAGGCAAAAGGAACGACGGGTTGGACCGCCGGTGTGGTGGACTGGTGTAGGAGCTCCGCTGGGTCCATATGAATACGGTGAGGTATTCTTTAAGGAATGGACTCTGGAGGCAGACTCAGACCCAGGAGCAGAGCTCTCAATGTTTATTTAGTACAACAGGCAACTGTAGACTCAAGGTACAAGGCAATACGGGGAATCCGGGGACAGGCAGTGGTTCGTAGTCGAGAAAAGGCGGAAGGTCGATACACGGGAGCTCACAGGTTCTATAAGAATTCAGAGGCAGAGAAACAAAGGGTTTAGCAGAGAAGCGTACTTGCAATACCTCACAACTCGCTCGCTGCGTCGGCCTGCTCTTATGGGTCTCATCTCTCGTGGGTGTTCCGAATTCCGGTGATTGGCACCGGAGGACGCGTCCTCCCTCGCAGGTGTTCAGAATTCAGCATTTGTTTAAACCCAAAGCATGGTGTTTTATTTCCACGACTGAAAAATGTATTGTTGCCTAGACTTAGCATTTAATTATTTCCATGGTGGTGTGCACGTACTTTATACATACTGGCCACCATCATGTAATGTGGTGTAAATAGACTGTAGTCATTTCACCTATTTCTGTGACATCACATCGGCCTTTACTATATGGGCAGCCTGCAGTTGTACATGTATGTATGTGGTGGTGAATGTGAACACATGCAAATAGGCGCTGTTTTAGAAGTGTGTTTGAGTTTCTCCCTGGGCTCTTCATCCCTGTCTCATTCTGACTGTGACCTTTCTTTCTTTCTGCACTGCCACTGATAGCACATGTACTGTATGTAGGTGAATGCTTTTTTTGTGTTCAGGGGAGCTCAACTCTTACAACAACAATCCCACAGCATTTCATATGCTTCTGCTGGTGCCATTAGTTTAATATGAACAAAGTCCTCCTGATACGGCTGACCAGGCTTGGTGGGGAAGTGGACAGTCTTTATTAGTAGATACCACTTTTACTGTATAGTACAGTCAACCCCCTCAACTGTAATTATTAGGGTTTGGCAACCACAGAGTCGAGCTCCTGCGACTGTCGATGCACCTTCCTGGTTATGCATTATGTGCCTCCTCTCCAACCACCTTTTTTTGGTCAATGTCAGTCCCGCACCAGTGCACTTTGACTTACAGCATAGTTCATTCTGTAGCCGACGTCATTGAATGTGATTGTCAAGTTTTTCTCGACTGTATGTACTGTTAGAGAAGGCTTTCTGTGGGCTGAACTTAGTCTCAGTTATATCTGATCAATTTGAACAAACCAGTACATTTTCAACTAAAGTGCTTTATGCTTAGATGGATGCTATTTGATCACAGCAGCACACAGATGGATTTCTCTCGATGAATTGTCTGTCTGTTAAAGTCGCTCTGTCACCACTCGTCTCCTTTTCTCAGCGCCTCGTTAAAATGAACATGCCCATTGCTGATGACAACAGCGTCCATTTCACCTCCACCCTGATGGCCCTGATTCGCACTGCCCTGGAGATCAAACTGGCCTCAGGTCAGTGAAATGTACAACACATCATTAGAATGTAACCGAATAGAAATGACTAGACTCAGGGAAAATATGTGACCCTGACAATATTGTAGCAACCCAAACAGGGCGAGTTACGGTTCGTGCTAAACAGGGGGTGGCCAGTGATTGGGGGAGACGGTGGGAGGGCGGGTGTTCCCATGTTTTGGGGAGCTAGTTAGGTTTACTAGAAGAGTTCTATGTTGTTGTTGTTGCTGTCTGCGAGTAACAAGGGAGTGTACCGATAGCGTGGGGGTGCATGTTATTTGCTGCTGGAGAAACAAATAAAGGATTCCTACCGGAACGTCCATTCGCCTGCGTGTGCTGAGTGACCCACTACACCCCGACGCTACAATATAATGTCATTTTATAGGCCAACTAAGAAACTACAACTCCTTTATGTTTACTGCGGGTCAACGCTGCAGTATGCTACAAGCTAACACGCTAATGCTGTAAGCTTCCATTACTCAGAGGATTAGCAGTTCATGTCGATGTGTCCCTGGGCCAGACACCTAACCACGCTTCTTGTTGGCAGCCCAAACTGTAATTTTCCATATTCATGAAAACATGAAAAATGTTTAAATTACGTCTCATGTAGACCAAATTTAATTAATGTATATGGTGCCGTTGCCGGTGTGTGACATGTGTTTTAATAAACGAGGTTTAAAGTTTTTCTTTGTGGATTTTTCAGGTATGGTAGCCCAGTGCTTATCTGATGCTGAGTTAAAGAAGGAGTTGTCTACAGTGTGGCCCAGTCTCTCTCAAAAGACCATGGATCTGTTGGTGACACCACATAAACGTAAGCATGTCCCCATTATCTACATGTTGAACTCTCAGGTCTTATATCAACCTGATGGTTTGTTAGTCCCACTATAATTGCAGGGTTGCTACTCACCTAAATAACAGTTTATTATCATTGTGTAGGATAGTACTGCATTAGTACTGCTGGAGCATTATATTAAATCATGGCACTAATTTTAAAGTTTGTTCACTACAGAACTCGTTTATTTCATTGGAAAGTGGTATACTCTGGATTAATTGCAAATATTAGCTCAAAACGTAATGTTCTGTCAAGTTGCTTTTATTCAACTTAAATCGATTTCAATTACTCAATAATGTGTAAGTTATTGAAGGATATAAATGAAGAAAATCAGCAGAATTCCAGCTCTTCTCCCAGAACAATTGCAAATGTCTTTGTGTGGACGGGTTGGCTGCTGATTGTCAGTGCAAAGGTCAACTACTAAGTTTAGCTATTTAGCCACTGCTATGCGGGCTGTCAGGCCAGCAGTTTTTTCTCACTGCCATGTGAGTGAACTGGGCTAAAAGTCAAGCCTCGTCTGTGTGGTATCAGGCTGTGCCCTGTCTGCCTGGTGGCCAAGAAAAAAGTGGGCTGAAAGTTCTTTACATATTCAAACACTGCAATGTGCCAGCCTGCAAATCAATTTCCAAGAGGTTGGCTTTACCAAACCTGATGATGGCAACGTCTGTGGATGCCCTGTTGCAATTACAGAGAGTCTTTGCAGTATACTAACCCCTGTGTGACTACGAGAGTCAAGGTTTTAAATACTGCTGTCCCTCTGTGTCCACCCATGGCTGACCAGCCAGAACCAAGTCCCAGAATACAGGCTGTGTTCAGCCAGTACCCATTTTGGAGGGACTGTGGACGGACAAAAACCAAATCTCTCTCTGTCATTCTTCTTCACATCCTTTTTTCTCCTCTCATATCGTCAGCCAATGAACTTACCATTGGAAAGGTTTATGCGGCTCTGATGATCTTCGACTACTACAAGCAGAATCGAGCGAAGAGGCTGCAGCAGCAGCAGCAGCAACAGGGCGCGTCAGGCTCCCAGGTACGACATACGCACCATAATAGCCTGCGCACTTTGCACACATATTGGATGAACTTGTGCAAACCTTTAAGCATGGTCCCACATTGATTATGCCTGCATGCATACACAAATGTAGAAGATGCTTTTGTATCCACTAGCCATTCATTGGTAGATTACGAAATCTATCAAAAACAGGTAATGTTTTTAGTGTAAAGGGACCCAGTAATTGGTCACTAAAGTCACATCGAAAGATGGACCCACATTTGGCTGCTGGCTGGGGTCCATCACTGTACAGGTGCAGGTTTGTTTCAGCACTCAGACATTCTCACAGATGCCCAGAGATGTACCTATTGTACGCATGATTGTGAGAAATGAATATTTTGAACCAAGTCTCTACATCTGGGTGGCACTGACACCCTGTTGTTAGACCTTGGTGCAACAATATTCTGCCTGCTGCCTCTGAATGTTTCAGCATGTTGCCATACATCTCTCCTCTACAGTGCAAGGTCGGAGCTCTGTTTACGCCATTGCTGCCTCTGACTCAAATGCAGGAGAAAGATCTGCCTTTGATGCTAAACAGTGTGGAGCCTCCCAGCATGCTTCAGCCTCAGCCCAAACTCCATGCCAAGTCCCAGCCACAGACCAGACCTAGCTCCAACTCCCTCAACAATGGAGCCACACTGTAAGTTCAATGCTTCAGGAATTAGGATAAAGGGTAAAAATGCTGTCACAGTTGTTTAAGTTTTGTGCCAATGGGGGCTAAACATATCTAATTACTAATAGAATGATGGTGTGCACAAGTATGCTGGAGTTTCCAATGTATTTGTGGTTAAAATCATTTTCAGCATCTTCTGATGAGAAAAAAAATCTGCCTAACTAAATCATTATGATATGGGCTGTGAATATTCCGTACTGTCTCTGACAAATCTTGTGTTACGGTGACACAAGATACTGGTGCAATGGATGTAACGCATACTGTGCTACTACCATCATCTCCACTTTCCTCAGTGATGCATTACTTTGGTTTGGTTGTGGATTGTGAGTCTTGCTGTGTCTCTAAAAACGTTGAGATAGATAAGTTAATTTCTCCCCACCCACGATGTCCATTTATTTATTTTTGTATAAATTCTCATTTTATTCAATGAAAGTGTCGCAAAACCTTTGACTAGTACTGTATATCTTGATAGTATCTTGCTTAGTGACAATGTAACACAGTAACAGAATCCCCACTGTGCTAAAAGAGAGTTAAGAAAGTTGTCATTATTTACCGGAAATAATATCAAATAATAAAATGTATCAATAGTTTCTTATTTTACAGTAATGTAAGGTTTCACCCAAGCCAATGGACGAAATCATTATCTTCTACAGCAGGGTTGCGTACACATTTGTTTATCATTGGCAATTGAAATCATGAAATGTTGTAATTTGTCAAATGAAGTTCAATTTTAGAAAGTTAAAACTGTTACTTGTGACGAAAAAAGACTGTTATTATTATGATGCTGAGCTGTGACTTCTACAACACAGGCCAGGACATAACCGCAACATCAACGTATCATCTTCCTGGTTAATGGAGAAACCCGAGGAAGTTCCCCGAGCTAAGAGAATCGTAATTAAGGGCCCATCAGAGGACACACCAGACATTGCTGTAGTGCAGGTACTGTACACAGGTGCTATTACTTTTTAAATGTATTTTTAACTTGTTGTTTCGTACAGTTGTGTATTTGCAAAGTATGTCATACATCTCTAGAGACTGCAGATGAGGCATGTGAGTTGATAGATTACTTAACCGTTACTCTAAAAGTACATTTTAAGAATGATTACACTTTGTTTGCGTATAAGGAAGGTGACAAGTTGAGGAATAAAAAACATTGCAAATGTCACAAAATACATGTACCATATCCTTGCATACGTTGAATTTTTATTGAGTTCATAATGTTACAGCTTTCCTTTCACCTGCAGCGGCTCAGGGAATGTCTCATCAAGCAAAGGATGAAACTTGTTTTTAACTGCTGTAGAGAAGCTATGTGAGGTGGGGGTTGCAGCCCATGGGTGTGCACATAGTCAGGTTCAAGTGTCGAAGGGCCGGAATCAGTGGATCCGGAGTCATGCGTCGGTTGGCCTAAAAATCTTTTAATACTGTTTCTTATTAAGATTAAATGAAGGAGCAATTAATCCACTTCACAACCACCTACCTTATGACGCTAATGGGAGTGGGTCTCCGTGTGTGTGTGTGTGTGTGTATCTCCAGGAATCCGTGGAGATGAAGAAAATGGAGACCAGTGCCAGCGGCACAATACCAGTCCCTGGCTCTGGTCTGGACAACAACGGCAGAGCAGCCTCTATGCCTCGACTCAATGCTAAACAGCCGGTAACACCTCATCTTCACTACGTTCTTTTGATTAAGTTTCATCCATTCAGCATTTTCAATAATTTATTTATTGGCATCTTGCAACACAGGGTTGCACAAAAAATGCAGTTCTGTACCCTTTGCTGCACAATAAAACCTGACTAACAAAACTAAAAAGAAGCATTTCGGAAGGGAGCAGCGTTCTTTCTTCCTCAAAAAGGCTTTCGATACGGTTAATCACAATATCGGGATTAATAAACTGGAAAATTTTAATGACAAATGTAACTAAATGTCTTGCAAATTCCTACCTTCACTCAATGTTAAAAATAATGTTTGTATGTTCTTCACATAGAGCGCTTGCAAAGGAGTCAGGTGTTTAAAAAAAATATAGATATATTCGTCTTGTTATCCATTGTCTCATTGTCTTACTGTTCGACGCTATGGACAAAACGCCATGTCAAATCCCTTATTATATGTCTAACATATTTTGGCAGTAAGTGTTCCTGATACAGGTGTGTTAAATATTTAGTCATTATATTTATTCAAATATCTCTTTTAAAAAACTGGTAAAACATTCTGACAAAGAACTTGAAATTTAATCTTGTGAATTTTATAAATATAAGACACTGTTTAACCATGGGGGCTGTAAAATTGTATTTTAATGCAATGATTGTCTCAGCTGGCTTGTGCCTACCAACCAGCTGGGCACAAGCCAGCAGCAAAAAATCTATTAATCTATTGAAAGAATCTATTGAATGAATCTATCTCATTGTGTCCTTGGGCAAGACTTCCCCCCAACATTCTTACTGTTGGTGTGACTACGGTGTGAATTTAAGTGTCTGATGGGCCGGTGTTGTATCGTGTCGATGGGGTCGATGGTGGCGCATGGAGTAGAGAGGGTGCGCTGGGAACCGCCGAGTTGGTAGTTCGAACCCTGGTTGCTCCCTGCCTCATGTTGAAGTGTCCCTGAGCAAGACACCTAACCCCTAATTGCTCCCCGGGCAAAATGTGAAAACCATGGGTTAAAAAATGCAATGTAAGTCACTTTGGATGACACTTTGGTCAGCTAAATAACCTGTAATGTATGGTAACTCCTCCCATCAGACTATGAATGGGTGTGGATGATGACGTGTAGAGTTTTGAAGGGTCTAGAAAAAACATCTATCTGTATGATCCAATTACCATTTTTCGTATAGTATGTATGTATATGTTATATTTCAGTATAGCATTGTATTAAATATTATAATACGGGTAGATAAAATCAAGCATTCTGATTGGTTGTGAGTGTTGCGTTTGCCAGAGCAGTGGTGTCAAACTCAATCACAGAGAGGGACAACATTAAAACCTGCCACAAATATCAAGATACCGGATACGTTCAATAACAGAATTCAATACGATATTGATAATACTGGACTTTTAGTATCAGCCTCGAGTTGTCCTATCGACCGGCGGGCCAGTTATGATAGACATATAGTATTTACTTGTGGGGCGGATATAGTTGTCGCCACAATTTCACTCCCTAAATCCGCTTCATACTCCCAGTGGATCATTTCGAGTCAATTTGCATGAATCACGTAATTCGCGCTAGATGCAACGGAGAGGGGCCGTGGCTTATCCCCCTGAAACAGTTCAACTTTCCGCCATTGTTTTTCCACCGCATCAACCATGGAAGACATAGCGACTCTGTACCTGTTGTGGAAGTTCTACTTATGTTGGACCATAAACCGTTGTGTTTTGGTACTAAATAGCATTCGTAGGCGCAGACAGCTCAGTAAATTTCACAGACTTCTACAGCAACTGCGTCTGGACGACTGCCGCTTCCAGCAGTACATGAGGGTAGCAGAACAGGAACTGACTACTGAAAGATCATTGGCTCTAGCCTGCCCTCTATCCTGGACCTGTACACCTCCAGAGTCGGGAAACAGGGAAGAAAGATCACTGCAGACCTTCGCACCCTGGATACAACCTGTTCATTACATTACATTACATTACATTATTACATTACAGGTCATTTAGACTAAGAATGGTTCAAGACCCCCATGAAAAAACGGAAGAGGGAAGGAGTTACCCGGCCCGGAGGAAGCCCGGGGCCCCCATTTGGAGCCAGGCCCAGATGGAGGGCCCGACAGCGAGCGTCTGGTGGCCGGGTTTACCGCGGAGCCCGGCCGGGCACAGCCCGAAGGAGTGACGCGGCAGCCCAACACTCTACTCCCCATGGGCTCACCACCTGTGGAGGAAACCGATTTGGTCGGGTGCGCTGCTACAAGGGTGGCAGTGACAGTGGGGGGTCTAGACGGAACAGACCTGGGCGGCAGATGCTGGCTCTGGGGACGTGGAACGTAACCTCTCTGGGGGGGAAGGAGCCGGAGCTTGTGCGGGAGGTGGAGCGTTATCAGTTGGATCTGGTGGGGCTTACCTCTACGCACAGCCTCGGCTCTGGAACCAAACTCCTGGATAGGGGGTGGACTCTATTCTACTCCGGAGTGGCCCATGGTGTGAGGCGCCAGGCGGGTGTGGGGATACTCATAAGTCCCCGGCTGAGTGCTGCTACATTGGAGTTTACCCCAGTGGACAAAAGGGTCGCCTCCCTACGCCTTCGGGTGGTGGGGGGGAAAACTCTGACTGTTGTCTGTGCATATGCACCAAACAGCAGCTCAGAGTATTCTGCCTTTTTGGAGACCCTGAATGGAGTCCTGCATGGGGCTCCTGTAGGGGACTCCATAGTCCTACTGGGAGACTTCAATGCGCACGTGGGCGACGATGGAGATAACTGGAGAGGCGTGATTGGGAGGAATGGCCTCCCTGATCTGAACCAGAGCGGGTGTTTGTTACTGGACTTCTGTGCTAGTCACGGATTGTCCATAACTAACACCATGTTCGAACATAAGGATGTTCATAAGTGTACGTGGTACCAGAGCACCCTAGGCCAAAGATCAATGATCGATTTTGTAATCGTATCGTCTGATCTGAGGCCGCATGTTCTGGACACTCGGGTAAAGAGAGGGGCAGAGCTGTCAACTGATCACCATCTGGTTGTGAGCTGGGTCAGAGGATGGGGGAAGACTCGGGACAGACCCGGTAAACCCAAGCGTGTAGTGAGGGTGAACTGGGAACGTCTGGAGGAGGCCCCGGTCCAAAAGACTTTCAACTCACACCTCCGGCGGAGCTTCTCTCACATTCCTGTGGAGGTAGGGGACATTGAACCAGAGTGGTCTATGTTCAAAACCTCCATTGCTGAAGCCGCGGCGGTGAGTTGTGGCCTCAAGGTCTTAGGTGCATCAAGGGGCGGTAACCCTCGAACTCCGTGGTGGACACCGGTGGTCAGGGAAGCCGTCCGACTGAAGAAGGAGGCCTTCCGGGTTATGATATCCGGTGGGACTCCAGAGGCAGTTGCAGTGTACCGACAGGCTCGAAGGGCAGCAGCCTCTGCCGTGATGGAGGCAAAGCAGCGAGTATGGGAGGAGTTCGGGGTAACTATGGAGAAGGACTTTCGGTCGGCACCAAAGTGTTTTTGGAAGACCATCCGGCACCTCAGGAGGGGGAAACGGGGAACCATCCAAGCTGTGTACAGTAAGGATGGGACCCTGTTGACCGCGACTGAGGAGGTTATCGGGCGGTGGAAGGAACACTTTGAGGAACTCCTGAACCCAACTACTACGCCCTCTTTGGTGGAGGCGGAGCTGGAGGCGGAGGAGGGATCATCGTCAATTAGCCTGGTGGAAGTCACTGAGGTAGTCAAACAACTCCGCAGTGGCAAAGCCCCGGGGATTGATGAGATCCGTCCAGAGATGCTAAAAGCAATGGGTGTTGGGGGGTTGTCTTGGATGACACGCCTCTTCAACATTGCGTGGAAGTCTGGGACAGTGCCAAAAGAGTGGCAGATCGGGGTGGTGGTACCCCTCTTCAAAAAGGGGGACCAGAGAGTGTGTGCCAATTACAGGGGTATCACACTACTCAGCCTCCCGGGTAAAGTCTACTCTAAGGTGCTGGAAAGGAGGGTTCGGCCGATAGTCGAACCAAGGATTGAAGAGGAACAATGCGGTTTTCGTCCTGGTCGTGGAACAACGGACCAGCTCTTCACTCTTTCCAGGATCATAGAGGGGGCTTGGGAGTATGCTCAACCAGTCTACATGTGTTTTGTGGACTTGGAGAAGGCGTATGACCAGGTCCCCCGAGAGATACTGTGGGAGGTGCTGCGGGAGTACGGGGTGAGGGGGTCCTTGCTTGGGGCCATCCAATCCTTGTACGCCCAAAGCGAGAGCTGTGTTCGGGTGCTCGGCAGTAAGTCGAAGGCGTTTCCGGTGGGGGTTGGCCTTTGCCAGGGCTGCGCCTTGTCACCAATCTTGTTTGTGGTCTTCATGGACAGGATATCGAGGCGTAGTCGGGGGGAGGAGGGTCTACAGTTCGGGGGGCTGCGGATCTCATCGCTGCTTTTTGCAGATGATGTGGTCCTGATGGCATCTTCCGTCTGTGACCTCCAACTCTCACTGGAGCGTTTCGCAGTCGAGTGTGAAGCGGTCGGGATGAGGATTAGCACCTCTAAATCTGAGGCCATGGTTCTCAGCAGGAAACCGATGGATTGCCTACTCCAGGTAGGGAATGTGTCCTTACCCCAAGTGAAGGAGTTCAAGTACCTCGGGGTCTTGTTCACGAGTGAGGGGAAGATGGAGTGTGAGTTTGGCCGGAGAATCGGAGCAGCGGGGGCGGTATTGCACTCGCTTTACCGCACCGTTGTGACGAAAAGAGAGCTGAGCCGGAAGGCAAAGCTCTCGATCTACCGGTCAATCTTCGTTCCTACCCTCACCTATGGTCATGAAGGATGGGTCATGACCGAAAGAACTAGGTCACGGGTACAAGCGGCCGAAATGGGTTTCCTCAGGAGAGTGGCTGGCGTCTCCCTTAGGGATAGGGTGAGAAGCTCAGCCATTCGCGAGGAGCTCGGAGTAGAGCCGCTGCTCCTTTGCGTCGAAAGGAGCCAGTTGAGGTGGTTTGGGCATCTGGTGAGGATGCCCCCTGGGCGCCTCCCTAGGGAGGTGTTTCAGGCACGGCCAGCTGGGAAGAGGCCCCGGGGAAGACCCAGGACTAGGTGGAGAGATTATATCTCTGCACTGGCCTGGGAACGCCTTGGGATCCCCCAGTCAGAGCTGGTAGATGTGGCCCGGGAAAGGGAAGTTTGGGGTCCCCTGCTGGAGCTGTTGCCCCCGCGACCCGACCCCGGATAAGCGGTTGAAGATGGATGGATGGATGGATGGAGGTCATTTAGCAGACGCTTTTATCCAAAGCGACTTACATTACACTTTAAACCCATGGCTTTTTCACATTTTCACCTGGGGAGCAATTAGGGGTTAGGTGTCTTGCTCAGGGACACTTCGACATGGAACATGGGGCAGCCTGGAATTGAACCTACAACCTTGTGCTTCCCAGCACACCTTCTCTAACCCCTGCGCAGTATCTGTAGCCTTTGTGTTGTTACGTCCCTTTATTTGCCAACTTTCTTAGTTTTTACAACCATCCACCCAGCGTGTGTATCATGGCACTACCCAGCATGTGCAGCAAAACTGTTGCAAAAACACCCCAAAGGTCCCCACCCTATATAGCCTGACCTGCCCATCAATCAGCTCCTTACATATCATAAATCGGCTCTTACACACACCTTTCCACAGTTCACATTGCTCCCGTCATAGTTGGAAAAATACTGCCGAAAATAACTTTATTGACAAAGGCTCAGTTCCATCAAGTGTCCCAGTAAGCTATGACAAATTTTTGTTATTCAGCAATCAAGCAACTTGTGTCAGACCTGATTGTCAGTGAGCCCTCTTGTCTCTCTACCTTAGACTGTTCCTAATGGCAGCCCGATGAAGCGCTCAGCCTCCAGTGTGGCCCCACACCAACCCCAGGAGATCAATCTGCGAGACTACACCTTGGAGAAACCTGTCCAAGACAGGCCCCGCCGCCACCGCCACCACCACCACCACCACCACCACCAATGCCACCGTCGCCGAGATAGGGACAGAGAAAAAGACAAGGAGAAGAGGCAGAGGCCTTTGGAAACACCTCAATGTGGTCAACCACCTAGATCTGCTGGTTAGTCAGCTCTAACACACCCACACAGTTTACTAACACACTGCATCCCACCATTTGTTGAATATTAAATGGCTCATTGTGTCTCTTATTTTTATATATTTACCAACAACAACAACAAGTAAACCAGTAGAGAAAGGCACTACAACGGACTGTTTCAGATTGTGGCGGAAGGATGGATTCAGATGGAAAGTATGATATATATATATACAGTATATATATACAAGAGACAGTGTACACCCCAGATTGGTCGCTAGTCAATTGCAGGGCTGACACATAGACAGACAACGATTTACAACTCACATCTACAGGCAATATAGTCACCAATAAACCTAATCCCCAGAGCATGACTTTGGATTGTGGGAGAAAGCCGTAATGAAACCATGCAGACACAGGGAGAACATGCAGACTCATTGAAAGGCCAGTGGGTGGAGTCAACCCAGGACCTTCTTGCTGTGAGGCGACAGTGCTAACGACCACACCACTGTGTCGCCTTTCAGCATTTAAACATGCTTGAGTAAACTACAAACTACTACAAAGATGAACCTGAATATAACCATCATATGTAAATGTACAACAAAATGTATCATTGTCGTCATTATGTCAGTATTTAAGCATTGTATTCTTAAGTCTGAGTTTAACCAGGAATCTAGACCAACCCATGAGCATTTATCAAAAAAGAAAAATTAACCATTATTTTAATTGGGGTAGATGCATTCTGATTGTTGTGTACTGTAACACCTCTTTTTATTGATATGAGCATGCTATATCAGTAAGCACTCAAAATAACAAGTTGATTTTGCGTGACCGTTTCTTGTCTTTCCAAGGTTATCAGTTACCAAACATCCAACACTTTAATATTTTGGGGGGGGATGACTTTTGATGAGTGGTTAACGATACAGGGTCCTAAATCAGTTGTTTTTAAAAGTGAACGCAGGAAGTCGGTTGGTTGCTTACTTGAAGAAAATACAAGTATTATAGTAGTCTTTACTAATTAAAGGTAGTGCACATGGCACAAATGAAAATTGACTCAATTATGGTACAACACATTTGGACAACACTTGTCTCATTTCCACTTAGTTTTGTCTGTTTTCACCCTGGTAGTTCTGCTGGCCGGCTGAAGTCGTATGGAGACATTTTATGGTACTATTCCTTTGCAGTTTGCTTGGGGACTTCACAAAAGTCAGCTTCCAGCTTCCTCCATGTCGGCATTAGTAGAATCATAAAATGCAGAATTTAACTGCACGAAAACTGCTAATAGAGACAAGGTCAATAATGCGTGTGATTAGTCATCCATGTCAAATGAGGCTGGTCATCGATATATTATCAAAGCTGCTGGTGTTTGTTTTCTTTTTGGAAAAGGCTCATGTGTTGAAGGGATGACGAATCAGGGAAGGACACTTTGTCTCTGCTACACGTTGGTCCTGTCGCTCACTAACAGGATTTAATTTGTAACACCTGACTGCTTTTAACAGCTCAGAATGTCTGCTGTGCACATCCTTTGGTACTTAAACAGGAAAAAAAGCCTTCACAAGAATACTGGCACTCCAAGCTTTATTGAACAAAAGTCAGCCAGATGTAGATTATTATCTAGAATACAAAAACATCATATGTTCCTCTTCTACAGGTGCAACGGGAGAGCCAGAGTCTGACCCAGCTACCTCCAAAGATCGAGTACACGACCGCGGACGCTCCCACGACAGGAAGCACTACTCCTCTGCGGATAAGCAGCGATACTATTCATGCGACCGCTACTGCAGCCGGGAATACTGCCCCACCAAATCTGCTAACCCCAGCTGTGCCGTCTCCCCGAGCGAGGGGCAGGAAACCAGCAACAAGCAGGTGGGAGGGCGGAGGCTTGTACAGTAGAGACGGGCGTTAGATTAGGTTTTACTGTGTATGGTAGCTCCCCATAAGTGTATAACTGCTGTGAAAGATGACATGTCGTGTGAAAGAGCTTTCACTGGTCGGGGACTTGAAAAGTTCTCTACATGTACAGTCTATTTACCATTTGTTAGTTATTTTCAACCTCTGCCCCGTAGGAAACACTTCACTTAATCAATCCAAAGAAACATTATATAATTGCTGCAAATAATATGCCATTGTTGAGTGTCTGAACTGCAATATAAATGGACTGTATGGACCAATGGACTTGTTTAACACTGTTCTAGTCTTCCAACCAGTCAAAGCGCTTTAACACTTGTCATCATTCAGCCCTTCACACACTGATGACAGGAGCTACCATACACAGTGCCATCTGCCCATCAGTAACTACCACCAGACAGTGTAGTCAGAACTAGAGAAGCAATTTAGGGATAGGTGTCTTAACAAGGACACATCAACTTGTGGCTTAGCAGGGCCTGGGATAAGTAATTAAATACTCTTCCATGCCAGTGGGGGGCAGCAAGTAGCACAATAATGGCCATGTTCATTTGAGACAGAGGAATTGATGCACAGGCAGGGAAAGGAAATGCAGCTGAACGAATACGCTGCGGGATTTAAATAGCGTTAAAGATTAATTATTAATTAATAATTTAGTCTATGTGTGGGAAAGTGTAGTCTTGAAAATAGCTCAAGGCAATGCAATAAGTTATCTTTGGTTTGGTTTAGCTTTTACCGGGAATTCAACTGCACTGACTCGTTATGCTTTGTGTGAGGGGAAAAAGTTATCCAACAACACCATGGTCCCAAGCCAGTGTTGCCCTCCTATCAGTGGCACATCAAATAACAGCAGCGGACTCCTTAAATACATGTACAAGTAAACAGTTTTATTGGTGGTGTCTATACAACGTTAGTCTCCCTTCAGCCCTTCTTCTTCTGAGAGACTTTTCCACACATCCAATCATCAATAACAGGAAAATACACAGGCTTCTCCATAACGGTCAGATGAACACATAAGTTAGCTGTTTTAGCTGTTTTCCATAACGGTCAGATGAACACTTAAGTTCGCTGTTTTTGCTAATAACGACACTACACTATTACATTAAAGCAGAAAAGGTTGACAACCACTGATGCATATTTCAACTGAACTAGATTTATTTATTTTTACTACTATCTGATCGGTCGGGCTACAGTGCTGCCTCTCATGGCCTGTCACTTTTTTTCCCACTTTCTCTTTTCATTATCCTCCGTCCATTTCATCCATCTGTCGTTATCTATCCATTAGTGCTTGTCCTTTCATTCCAATTGATCTGTCCTATATGTTCTCTGTCCTGTTTCATGTTATCATATACTTCGTTTTGTTTCTTTCCTTTCTGTTCCTCCCTCCCTGTCCCGTGTCCTCTCTTATATAATTTCCTCATTGTTTCAAATTGCTTGTCCAATTTTCATCTAGGACAGTGTTTGGGTTAAAGGCAGCCCAGTGTCACTGAGTTCCATTTCTAGCACGCCAAGCCGAAGACGTCGGCAGCTTCCCCGGACCCCCCTAACCCTGAAGCCAGGGGTGGCCTACAAGACTGCCAATTTATCCCCTGTGCACTTTGTGTCCAGTCGGGCTTCTCTGAGCTGCGGCCTGCCGGAGCACGATGCCCTGTGGCACGGTACCCTCCACTTTCCCTGCCCCGTCACTCGTTTCAACTCCGAGCCCTTCCTGGGTCGGGGCCACAGCGAGGACCTGGACAGCCTGTACGGCAGCTTCCGGGACCAGCTGGAGATCTTTCAGGATGCAGTGTCAGTGACATCCAGTGGCAGCAGAACTTAGTGGTGTCTAACGGGTACCACTACAACATTGGGGGAGGCACCACCCCAGGCTCTGGTATCAGGGTAGAGGAGAAATGGTGCTAAAATTGAGTGAATTTAGTGAATTCTTGAGGAATTGTGATGGGTTTTATCATCTTCTTGGAAGGCTTTAGTTTACATCATCAGTGTATTTATCGCTGTATTTTTTTATCCTAACATGGAGAGCTAAGTTTAGGTGGGGAATCAAAGCAGGGAAGTGGGTAATATATTTGAACATTAACAAAAAGTAATCTTTATCAAGGGGCTCGTAGCATCATAAAACAAAATCTCACTGTAGTTTCCTCTGTAGTTTCGGCTTTGACTCAAGCTTTTTCATTACACAAAATTAATACTAATTATTAATACAACACATTAATTGCACATATCCGATTTCTCCATTGTACATGTTCAAATCTGTAATTAGTGCAGCTTTAACAATACATTATTATAGTATAGTATATACAGTAAAGTTTGGACACATATATAAATATATGTATGTATGTAATTATATCTATGTATGTGTGTATATATATTTATATAGATGTGTCTATATAAATATAACCTATACTAGTCGACGTGGCGCAGGGATAGAGAGGGTGGGGAACCGCAAGGTTGGCAGTTTGAGCCCCGGCTGCTCCATGTCCATGTCCCATGTCGAAGTGTCCCTGAGCAAGACACCTAACCCCTAATTGCTCCCCGGGCCAAAAATGTAAAAAGCCATGGGTTAAAAATGTAGTGTAAGTCGCTTTGGACAAAAGCGTCAGCTAAATTACCTGGAATGTTTGTTCTTTGACATCTGTGCACAACATACACAATAATGGAGGCGACACATGCAAAAGCCCTTTTTTCATACGGCTGACGACAACACAATACTTGTGTATGAGTTGTGCTCTCTCTCAGCTGATTACCATCTTGCCTTCGTCCATATTATTATTACAGCCAAGAGCAGAGCATACTGTATAATAGTCCTTATTAAGCTGTAAGTGAAGTTAGTTATGGACGCTTCAGTTAAAGTCAGAATGGTGGTTTCAACAGAAAGTGATGAAAACAGGAAAAGAAATGTCTCAATAGCTCAGTAAATTCATTAGCAAGGACCACGCTAACAACTGAATGCGTAACAATTGTATTTCCGTGACGTGAGCGATAGGGTTGTAAGTTGATCCATCTAGCGCTCGGACGAGTTGTGGAGTTGTGTAGAGCTATGCCGGAGGATCCGCCATTGCGACCAGGCCCGGCAAACCCCTTCAGACCCTACAAAAAACAGGTAGAAAGAATGGGTGAAGAAAAAAAAGGGTTGGGAGGGTGGGATTTGGAATGTGTCAACGGGACGGGAAAAGGTTTAGGGAGGTATTTAAAGAAATCAGAAGAGGCGTGTTGGAGGCGTGGTCCTGCTCCGAAAATTACACCAATCAGCTTCAATTCACTAGCACGGACCATGCCACCAACTGAATGTGTTTAACAATTCGATTTGCGAGATGTGAGCGATAGGATTATAAATTGATCCGTCTAGCAGTCAAATGGGTTGTGGGGAGCTGCGTCGAAAGGATCCGCCGCTATCCGCCACTATCTTGGAAATAGTAAATGTAACGAAACCTGTCTTGTAGAACGGATCAAACGACGGGAAGGTTACTTGTATGGTCGTGGAAGCTCTTCGAAGCTGTTCAGTAAGACTAGACGTTCATGAGTTGAACATCAGTGCCGAACATGGAGGAACTGGCCTCAGAAGGGCTAGGTCTCCGAACCTGGCCTGATGGATTAACGCATGCAGCGTCCTTGTTGATATGTCAACCACTGGGAGGTTGTCTGAGAGAATAACGATGGGCTTGCGATACCACTCGTGGCTCCACAGGATCGCAGGGGCTATGATGGGGTCGATCTCTTGCAAGCTTCAGAGGCCATCTTTGCTGTGAACCATCTTCTGTTGTAAAAGCCCCCAAAGACCAACAGATTGAGCTGTGTCCGTGTACAAATTTAAACCGTGTGTATGTGTTAACATGTTGTTGGAAAATGAATAATCCTGTTGCCATTGTCTCTGGCCGAACTTTCTCTCCAGAGTTTCAAGCGGCCTCAACTGTCCAAGGGAATGTAATCTGGGAGAGATGGGATGGATGCGGCTAATGCTAGGTTGTCAAAGATCTCCCTTGAGGAACGCCGCATAGGGCAGAGTTTAGGTGGCCTAGAGGGAAAGAAGTTGGGGTTTAGTACAGCGTGTGGCAAGGAGGAAGCTGACTGCTAAACTCCATGAGGTAAATCACAGTCAGACGGTAATTTAAGGGGTGTGGTTTGCAAAGGTATGGAGGAGCAGTCTCAGCCGTTCCCTAAGCTGAACGTGTTGACAACGTAGATGTGTTGATGCATGGACAGATGACCGGGGAGGTATAAATGCATGAACGAGCAACGTATGGAACGTATGTCACATGGACAGGTGAAGACTTCCGGTGCCAGGGGTTACGCCAAGCCATTGGGGTGGGTGGGAGAGGGTGTGGGGGGGTGCCTGTGTCCCGGTTTCGTGTGCACTGGCTAGAGCAAGCTGCTGCGGTGGTGGAAATTGCAGGGCCCTAGCATCCAGGTGCTCCAGCTAAGGCTAGCTGGAAAGGTTTCTCCTTTCTAGAATGTTAGGTTATTATTACTAAGGATCATGGCTGTGAGCTGACATCTCTGTGCTGGTAGCTCCAACTAGCCACAAATGGTGTGACTGGGAGGCATGAAGGTCCGGCATTCCGTTGGAAACGCCTAGTAGTGGGGTGGCTGGGAAATTCAGAGCTACTAGTGATTTTCATTTGGTGTTGCAATGCACTAATATTGCTTCCATTGTTGGTAGTAAAGTGCTTACGTTTGATCAGAGGTGTCAAGTAACGAAGTGCAAATACTGCACTTAAGTATAAATTTGGGGTATCTATACTTTACTGGGGTATTTATTTTTCAGACGACTTTTTACTTCTACTCCTTACATTGTCACGCAAATATTAATAATAGCCTCGTTACTTCCGACTTGTCGTCGTTCAAAAACACACACACAAAAAAACCTATCCAGATAAATAGCGCCAATTGGATAGGGTGAATTTGATTGTGTTTGGATGAGTATAAACATTTACCATCCAGACACCCTGTTGGTTTTCTCCGCGATGCACATGCAGATTACAGTGACGCCGGGTGCGAAAAGTGGTCGGTGGAAAGTTGGTATTTTGCGACATGGACCCTCCTCCTCCTCATCTTCCTCATGCAGATTCCATGTAACATTAAATGAGTACCTTCATGACCATGGGTTTGTCGTAAATGTTTTTTTCTAACTTTATTGAGGCACAGTAGCGCAGCGTCTTAAATAAAGTGGTATGTGTAATGCAGCTTTAAAAATGATTTTTCTTTAGGCTTTAGGGATTCTGTATTTGCTCATAAAGCTTGAAAAAATTGATTATTTGGCCATTGTTTTGACAAACGACCGCTGCCAGTTCAGTGTTATAACAGGGGTGCGTGCCCCCCCCAGCCCGGAAAAAGTGTGACTCCCCCCCCCATGACATAGTAAACCTGGGGGAGACACTGCAGTCTACCTGATCAATGGGAACAACGTGTGTGTACGTCCTCTGACTCGTGTCATTAAGCCGTCACTGGAAAATGGGTTAAGTTATATAGATACATTTGTCCCTCTGTTGTTTCAGCCTCTCTGAAAATCACCATGTCACGTGATCTGAAGACACCTTCTGATAATATTGTAATGGACTGACATGTTCTGTGAGCAAGGTTACACATTAAGAGATAAGAAGAGATGTCCTTAATGGAATTTCTTTGGATGGAATGGAAAACCAGTACTTTATATATATACTTTTACTTAAGTAAAAAGCTTGAGTTGATACTAAAAGTCTTTTTAAACCCTATTATCTATACTTCTACTTGAGTAATGAATGTGAATACTTTTGACACCTCTGTGTTTGATCATGTGTTACCTGACCTCGGTCCTGGTTTGGAATGCATCAACGGGGCGGGAAGAGGGTAAGGGAGTTATTTACAGGGACCGGAAAAGCGTGTTGGAGGCGTGGTCCTGCTCCTGATATTTCGCCAATTAGCTTCATAAGATGTATTATAAGCTCAAAAAACCTCTAACATAACACTGTAAGAACAGCAGTGTAGTTCTTTAGTTCCATGATAATGCCTAATCGGAAAGATTAAATGCTATTACAAAAGTAGCATTGATCTTTTTTTTCATTTTGTTTTGCACGACTCAAGAGAGATGCAACAGATTACTATCTGTTTGGTTTGTTTTCTATAAAAATGTCTTTGAAGATGTTCTCTTTCCACTGTGTGCATTTTGCAAACAATTTTGTTTGCCATTGTTTCAGGTCTAATGTTTTTTTACAGACTATTTGGGGGATGTTTTCAGACAAAGTGCCTATGCTTTTAGATATACTGTAGAAAACGTAAAACGTCAACTGTTTTCTAAAACATCCCCACTTGAATAGATGTTTGTTTCATTGCGTATGAAACTGTGCAGGAAACCGTGTTGTACAGAAAGTTCTGGCAGAGAACTCTACCAACAGTTGGCCTAAAAGACAGAAACGGAAAAAGGATCATACGAAGTCCTTTATTTATTTATTCATTATTTGATAAACCATTAAGTCGTATCCCGGTGTAGAAGCCATTATGAAAACACTGTGTGAGCAATTAACAACATGCGAAATGCATAGATATAGCGATCCAGTTATGTTAATGCCAGTAACACATTGTGCATGTATAAATAGACCTGGGTTTTTGAAACGATGTGACAATGTGAGTCTGTAGAGTATGTGTTGGCTAGTGGCGGTCTGAAGGAGTTTAATCCTGAGTTCACTGTGATTTTACCCAATTAGCAAAGGGTGCTCCAGTCTGACTCTTTCATGGTCATTTTCCTGCAGTCCACTCAATTTCCGTCCACTTAATTTCATCAAACATCTCAATCCTCAGATTCAGACTTCAGCATGATTATGACCTAATGTTTTGTATAAAATACCATGAAAAAACATGCAAAGAAAACACTTAAATGTCGATCACAGCAACCCTTTGCATGTATTTGCATGCTTAACATGAGAATATCAAATTGAGTTTCCATAGATCAAAGTGGTTAAGTTACAATAAAAGGCATTTTATAGATCAACCTTGTATACCGTCAAAGTCATATGTTCTCAAAGACGGGAACTTATCCTTCTCCAGATGTGTTTACCATTTGAATTGTCAAACTGAGTGAAAAGAATAAAGATCAACATATTTGTAGCTTTTTTACTATGCAGTCTCTGAGTCAAAGGAAAGGTACCTGCATGTGCTCAAGTCTGGACCAATTGGCCATCGAACGTTATTAAGTTTTATTTCTGCGTAACATTTCACAAAAGAATACAACGATACGCATGTTCTGGCAATGTGTGTGCATGTGAAAAACTTGGTACTGTTAGATACTATGTATTATTTTATTGTTTCTTTGATAAAAAAAAGGGTTAACAGTATTGATCTCTGTTTAATGCTGCAGTTGTCTCTACATTAACCATTTTATATAAAGCAAAGTTCCTTGAAATAAATAAGAATGAAATGAATTGGCCTCTGAACTGCTGGAAGTGTTGTGCTGTGGCACTATGTACATTTAATCTGATGTTCTGAGTCTTGTATTAACCATTAAAGACACATTTGAAAGCTCCGGAAAAATAAACTGCTCAGTAGACCCTGAGGTAAGATTATATTGTTAAACTGTTGTTTGAATGTGAATACTCATTCTATTTATTCTTCCCATTTCACAAACTATACATTCCACAGATTTCATTCATCTTTTTAGCTCTGTGCTGGTTCCAACTTTTGAGATAAATAGCCGTTTGTCCATATCTACCAGCTAGTCTCTAATATATGCCAAGCTGGGCAGTGTTTTTTTCTTCAACTATCCACAGGGAAAGTGGATAGTTGAGCGCAACCGGGATGCTGGCCACAATGAAGATAATGGGAGGAGGTGGGATCACCGGGACGTCTGATCTCCATCAAACAGGTCGTGGTCAAAAGGAGTGAGGGTGTTCTCCATGTCTGTTGGAGTCATAATGCAGGTTTTGGTGATTTTGTTATCTTGAGGGAAACACTGGGTGAATTGGGACATACACGTGAATACAGGGGGCAACATTACCATGAAAATGCATTTAATTTACCTGCTAATGGGAATAGGTGTGGATGGCAGACCGTTTTTGACCGTGTCACAGCCAGTCAGCATGTTGTGCAACAAGGTGTCGTCTTATGCTGTGATGTAAGTCAAGGAAATGGACATTGATAATTGTATGCGGCGCACGGATTAAACATGACTTGAAGACACTCATGACAGGTGTAGGCTTTTTATAAAACTTGAGAGCTGCTCAGTGCAAGTGAAGGACGTGGGGGCACCGAGCAGGTGTAGGAAAACCCAGAGGATAGACACAAAAGAGAAAAACTGATGATGAAACCAAGGCTGTAGTGGAGGGTAAACGCACGTAAACGCCGTTTACGCACCTCTAGAATTTTGAAATAGCGTTTACGCACCTATAAATAGCGTTTACGCACATCTAAGTGGCGTTTACGCACCTCAAAGTTCCCTGCGCCTTGTATTCTTCCGTTGGAATAATCCGAAATAAACTTGGTGTCATTTTAAAACAGCTAAGACTACGTTTCCTATTGTTGAACATATAAACGCCATAGTCTGAATCATGTTCATCTGCGCTGTATTACGGTCTGTGAGCATCCAATCAGTGCCTTGCGGGTGCAGCAGCGACCAGTCAGGATCCAGGAGGTGTGTAAACACACACACGTTGGATCAGCCCAGTGGTCCCCAACCTTTCTTACCTCACGGACCGGTTTCATGTAAGACAATATTTCGCGGACCGGTCGAGAAGGTCCGACGGTGGGGGGGGTGGGGGGGGGGTGTAGTCGTCGTTGCGGGCGGAACGATAGTAGTAGTAGGGTAGTAGTCGCGCTCGGTAAAAGGAAAACGCCTGGTGACGCGTAGATTAGGAAACAAGTCAGTTCTCAATGTGAAAAAAAACATGCTGTATAGGCTATTTATGATGACATACAGGACTGTCTCAGAAAATTAGAATATTGTGATAAAGTTCTTTATTTTCTATAATGCAATTAAAAAAACAAAAATGTCATGCATTCTGGATTCATTACAAATCAACTGAAATATTGCAAGCCTTTTATTCTTTTAATATTGCTGTTTATGGCTTAAGTAAGCTATTGTGATAAAGAACTTTATCACAATATTCTAATTTTCTGAGACAGTCCTGTAGGTAGTACATGAGTGTTCCTTTAACTTATGTTGTCAGTGTAATTGACAGGCTGCTTAACTGGTTAACTCTTAAATTCAACATATTTTTTCAGGCAGTGATAGGACAGGCAATGATGCAGAGAGCACAGGGAGAGGAGAAACACCAGGTTGAATAGAGAGAGGAGAAGCACAGAGGAGCCATGGCTCATGGTTCATGGCTCCTCTGTGCAAGGCAGGACCTGACGTGGAGGACAAGGAGGCCCTCTGGGCACTACTGTAAAAAGGACACTCCGTATGTAGATAGTTCTTAATCTGCAATTGTGTTGTTGTGTTGACATACTTTTCTTTACTGTTTTCTTAAATTTAATAAACTACAAACTACTAACACATTTATTCATTGTCATTGATTGTATATGACTTTTACTGATAACATAATGCAATATAGCCAGGACAGCCTTACAGAGTCGCAACGCTTTGTGTTGCGTTGCTTCGCATCGCATCGAGGTCTGTATGATCACAAAATTCAGAGTTTACCCACCTCTAATTTTACCACTACAGCACTGGCTGAAACCTAAAATGATGAGGAGACAAAGAAAAACAAAAGACTATTCAAGAGAGAGAGAGAGTACAAGTATGATTGCTTAAATTGTACTCCATTACAAGTAAAAACACTAGTGTTAAAAAATTCTTATTTTTTTAAAGGTGTACCTTTGGTGATTGTGATCATTGTGGGATTTTCTCCTTGTTTCACTCTCATTCAACTGCAGTTGGGCGTGTCCTTGATTTCGATGTAAGTGTCCAGACATATCGTTGAAAAGTTGAACGAAGGTAAACATAAACATTTGAGATATGAAGACGTCTGGGATGTTGGTGTTGAGCAGCAAGCGGACAAATAGGATCCTAGTGTACGTCCTTGTAGAGCTACGATCCTGCAGCATGTGGTGAGGTTCAATGTTGCCTGCATAGTCCACTGCAAACTGCAGGAGGTCCAGCAAGGTTCCTGTGGTGTACTCAGGGGGGAAACACCTGTGTCTTACAGGATTTCATGACCAAAGACAACAGGCCTGCAGTCATTGAATCCTGATGAATAACTTGTGTAGAATACAATATCTTTTTGTATCCTACACTGTAAAATCCAATTAGGTAAACCTACTTAAATAAGCATGCCAACTGATTGCCTTAAAAAAAGTAAAATTCAAGATGAAATAGGAGTCAACTAGTATATATGGACGTTGAATAATAATGTTTTAAATACTGATCATTTATATACTATTTATAGGAAAAAGACTATATTGATCCCTCTGTTACAATATGTTTACCATAAGACTTTATATCTGTAGAATATGTCAACATTTAAGCTGTTCAAATTGAAATCCGAATGACTTTTTAATTTATTTATTTTGAAACATATCATGCACGGATTACCGGTAAACTAGCAAAACGTGGTGTGTCGGATATTCCTGGAGTCCCTGAAGGCAGCACGGATGCACCTGAATAGCATTTGTTGACAGTGACCAAGAAGCACCCTCAGCTGCGAATGAAGCATGTTAAAGTGGATGTCTCTCCTGGTCGTTAAAACACACTCAAACGAGGACCGGTGGGATGCGCTGATAGCGTCAGTGAAGTGTTTGTACATGCGGCTGTCTCATTAACGTCCTACTAACTGCAGATTTGAAGGTTGCCCTACCAGTGGTGGATTAAAATCGTTGTAAGTTACATCTCATTTGACATTAACGCTGGATACTTTACAAGCATACGCGGTTTGAAAGGTAACGTAATATCAGCTTCAGTCCACCCAGCCAAAAAACGTTTTATCTTTCAAATGACGTTTCTGCTGTAACGTTCCTGAACTAGAAAAGAAGCTGTGCTGATTGCACTGGTATCGGCTGTGGTAGGCCTCAAGCCATGCCTCGGTCTAAAGGTGCCCTGTGGGCTAACGGTAACCCAAAACATTCATTCGGGGCCACTGACGCACAGACCAAGTAATTCAACCCAACGGGGTGTTAACATTATTACGTCAAATAACCTAATTTAAGTGTGTATTTACGGTTAAGTAAGCTAATGTTTCGCGCTACAGTTATATGCACGGAATAAAGGATGTAACGTTAACGTTGTATCCGTAACTTTGCGTCAGATGTGTCCGCAGACTTCATTAAAGCTTTACTGGCTAACACGTTAATTTACCTGTGCACACCAACATGTTAGCTAGATATGCAATATTACGAAGAATATATTGAGGACGCGTTATTTTTCTCCGAATTGTCCAGAAAATATTAGCGCATGTCCGCGTCCAAAACTCCTAGGAAAGTTTTTCTGCAAAGACTATGTGTTTAACACGAGTTAGAATGGGGCACGGATGTCCTCTCTATATCTGAATATGTCGTCAGTAGGAACCAGCGCAAATCTCATCACAAGCACACCAGTATTGTCCAGCCAGGCTCACTTGCTAGCTGCATGCATCTTGTCCCCTGAGCTTGCTTGGGACAAGGCCACCACATGATCCCCCATCCGACTGAGCTCTCCTCGTTAAGGGCTGGATCACAGACATGCAGCCGCCACCTCAGGACCACGTCTCTATAAGCCTTGCTGGACAAGCCGGTGGAAGTTCCAGTTGTTATAGCAAGCAGTGGAGGAGGCAGTCCTGCTGGAGGGTAAGATGCATCTATGAGCACTGCCCATGGTCGTGTTCTTTTTAGTTCTGCGTGCTTTGGATGAAACTTGACTTTTAATGTACTCCTTTTAAGGATCAGGCTGTACAAGAAAAGTGACAATGGATGCAAAACTAACAAGAGGTGGCTATAATTTGGAATTCATATGTGTTTGTTATTCCGTGTATTAGACAAATGGATGGACAAATGGCATTTTAGAGGCTAGTGCAGTTCCTTTTGAAAACGTGCCTGTTTGGAGAATATAAGCATCTAAGCTCTACACCGGGCTTCCTTTGATCCCAGCAACACACCTGGCATAGTGTAGCTGAATCCCACACACAAGTCACAACACACAAATCAAATCCAGTGAATAAAAAAAGGTTTGAAGTGCTTCACTGCTGCCAAACTAAAACATTTTACGCAAAATGAAACTAAATGAAATGAAACGTCATTGCTGTACGTCGGGTTTGCGTCTAATCCATTTTTCTTCATGAGAACTATTTATGATATAAACTTTGAATGGCAGCTCTTCTTTTGCTAGGTTGTAGGCAACGTTGAACTTAGTTATCCTTTTGGATTCTCCTGAGGACCGCTGAAATGTAGCCGGGAGAGTGACCACTGTCACACATGCGTATGATGGCGTGAAGTGTGTTTTTTGGAAATGTTGTGCTTTTTTAGCGTTTCATTTCGAAACGTTGATCCTTTCACAAATGCAAAGTTCAACCTTTTAACTTCAAACACTAAGCTAACAACAAAGCTGCCCTGCTTTCACAGCCTGTCATTTTATCTTTGACCCCCTTACTTGCCAATGTGTATTACCACAATATGACTCTTAAGACCTTCCCGCACATACAAAATTGCTTTAGAGACCTGCAATTACTTTATAGTATGTTATATTGCAAAGAATAAAGCACATTTCCCTTTTTTTTATTTTTTTTAAGTCTCGACACCAACAACTCTGATAATTCAGTATCATTAATCGTACTGTTTTGTATTGTATGTTTATGTAAACATGTATTGTTCAAAATACTTCTTCAAAACTTAATAGCAGCACTAAATGTCAGCGTTTATTCAATTTGGGTGTTACTTATTTGGACCAGAAAAGGCCTGCTCATTTTTAACAATAGACATTTTGCCAGAGCTGGATGCAGGTTACTCAATCTTCCTCTGTTCTGTTTGACTTCAGAGATGGAAGCAGCTGTCGAAGCTGCAGCGCAGCCTGATCCTCCTCGTCCTGGTTATCTGTGGAATGGCTTCCTATCCTATTGTCACTGAGCACCTCAGAGGTACGGCTCCTGTCATTAAACATCTCATGGTTAGGGGTCGTTCCCACTAGTACCTACCTCATTTATCCATCCATAGCGATATTTTTGTTACCAAACAACAGTTTGGATATTTAGACAAAGTCTTTAGAAGAAAAATCTGTTTCTGGAGCAGCAACAGTCTTTTTTTACAACAGAAGTCAGTCTATAATAAAATGATTTCCCCCCAATTTCTCAATATAATAAATATCCCTGACATCCCGAAACTGAGGGACATTTATAAGGTATGAGCCATGAGCCTGATCCACTGGCATGCTGTCAGTCACCTAGTATCTTTGCTTAACCGGGGGGCCCATTCAGCATGAATCTCAGTGAGGTAATGAAAGTGGTGCCACCTCTGTTACAAATCCACAAGGCACAAGGCAGTTCATTTTTGTTTCAGTCTCTCTGAGTATAGTCATTCACACTTAGATATTTTATGAGCACACACAATCAAGAGAAATTAACTCGAGGTGCAAATTGAGCGTTTATCACTTTTTATTTTTAGTTAACTTTAGTTATCTTTTCTTAACCATTAAGCTATCTCATTTGAACTATGTTACTATACCTCTGTAATTCTTTGATTCTCAATATTTTTGTCTTTGTTTTGAGGCCTTTCAGATGGAGTCAAAGAGAGTAGCCGTGTCCTGATTCCAGCCATGCCTAATGGGCTGCCCGAGACTATTAAACAAGGGCAACCACCAGCGCCAGAACAAACTTCCCAGGTTTCTGATCCTCAGATTGTCTTATTTGAAGGGTTGCACAGGGCTCATCAAAAATGTATTGGCCGGTCCAGGTGTTATTGGATCTAATTAGTTTTCTATACAGATTGGGGCTGTCAAAATTGATAAAAAATGACGTTTGAATATTCGCTTAAAAAAAACACATATACTCGAATATCTGGTTTCGCATTAGACATGTCAATAACAGGACAAATTAATACAAGACATAACTACTTGTATTTGTAATTTATTTAAGTTTTAACCGATTTAACAACTAACGGCCAAGACCGCAGATCTCTCTCTCTCTCTCTCTCTCTCTCCCGCACCACCTCTCTCGCTGCGCAAAGCGGTTTAAATGGACAACAACAATAAACAAAGAGTTTTGTGCCAGCAATGTAAGGTTGCGATTCTTGTCCCAAATACGGCAGGCTTCATTCAGTGATTGAAACTAAAAGTTTTACTGTAGTGACATCGAACGCTCCGAGCGAGCTGTGCTGTAAACACGGAACTTTTCCTTGGCATGAAACGGCAAATAATCAAAGCAATGCATTAAGCTGTTGTAGCCTTTTTTTCTATTAGAATATAGAATATTCGTTGACAGCCCTAAGACAAATAGAATTATTTTCAGCTGTAGCTGAGTGGGTGGAGTTCTTTTTAATGACAAAGTTGCCAATTAAGGTCACTTTGTCTCGGATAAAATTTTAAAGTGATAACATTTTGTGTAATGCTTCACGGCTGAATAACACTGCCAAAACTAGGGCCCCAGACGCTCAGTGACTGACAGAGCTGATCATCGATCTGGTGCGTCATGGCCGTTGGGGAGGCTATAGTCCAAACTGACTGGAGGCCAATTCCTTGGGAAACCATTCATTTAATTGGTTAAAAAGGTTTTTTTGTGTTTCCCATGTGTCGCAGAGGAAATTACCCAATAAGAGAGGATTGCATATTCAGAAGAAGGGGAACGCTTCAGACACAGTGGTTGACGGCAAGAAAGAAAGGCAGGAGAGCGTCATCAGGTGAGACTTGCTGTGGGATCACCTGACTCAACTAAAGTTAGTTTTAATTGTTCCTATTTTAATGTTGGGTGCCTTTCAGCTGGTGTGGGGCAGTGGTTGACACCGACCAGCTCAGGGATGGGGAGAGTGAGAAGCCTCAGGCCAACCATAAAGGAAAATTATCCAACTCAGGTATTGCTTTTTTTTTCTTTCTTTTTATTGACTCACTTTCTTTTAATAACTTAAACGATGACATCTGATATCCACTTTAAAATAATGTTAGAACATCTCAATCACTTGGATTGGAGTCACTGTGTAGCCTTGGCTGGGATAACAACTGGGCATGTTTTTTGCATTGTTTTAGAAGCTAGCTGCCTGGAGGCTGTGCAGAAAGCTTTCCTCCATTCGTGGAAGGGTTATAAAGACTTTGCTTGGGGCCATGATGAGCTCAGGCCCCTGTCGAAGTCCTACAGTGAGTGGTTTGGCCTGGGTTTGACGCTTATCGATGCGCTGGATACCATGTGGATCCTGGGGCTTAAAGAAGGTAGACTGACCCCCTTGTGCCTTCTAACTTTGACCTTTTTACCTCTTGACCCAGGTTGTTGTTGTTGTAAAATGTGTTTGAAAGCTTAGTGCGATATCATAATGCAATTCATTTTGAAACAAAGGGACAATCTTTATTTTTGGGGGGGGTTGTGGGGGGCCTTACAAATGTCCCCTTATATTATCAAAGGGGGTCTGACTGGAAGGTTTTCGAAACTACGGGTTTGAGGGGGGTATTCCCTCTTTCAACAAATATAACCCCTGGTAGGTCGGAGTTACCAAAACCATGACAACCTGCTTGATTATACCAGAGAAGTGAATTCACAGCCCCGAAGAAGAAAAAGACATCTCCGGTCGACAGGTTTTTACTTACCCAGGGAAGCCTGGGAGGCTCGGAGTAACTAGACTCTTCCACTTGTCCACAGCCAACTCCGAACAGACTTCGCTGCAGCCTCCTTTTATGGAGCGGGTGAGCTATGCAAGCATGATAAGTCAGTACTTGTCGTTAAAAAGGACATCAGTGATCGCAAAAGGCATTGCACACCAAACTGGCTGTGCCGATTCGAGATAAAAGCAGTTTACACAATGATAACAACGTAAAAAGATAATAAACTCCAACAACCTCATTGTTTTGGCACACTGATTAGGGGACGTGCGGTTGGAATCGTTCAACATATTTTCCGATAAGTGTTCTTGTGCCAAGTCATCTCATCTGACCCTTTGGGCTGGTGACTATAGATTCATAAAGAAATTTCACAAAATGTATTTAAGAATTTCTCTGTATTTATTTTGTATTTTTCAGAATTTGAAGAAGCAAGGTCATGGGTGGCCACAGAGCTCACATTTAACAAGAATGTAGATGTTAACCTATTTGAAAGCACCATCCGCATCCTGGGAGGCCTACTGAGTACCTACCATCTGACTGGCGACACCCTGTTCCTAGAGAAAGCTGTGAGTCAGCAGACGTGCCCCTGCCTCAACTGTACGCATCATTGAAGCACACTGATGGAGGCAGACCCGCTCTTCCTTACGTCAACTTGTAAATGTTCCCTGATTGTCAAATAGAAACAGATTGTGAAGAATGAAGTTTAGTGACAAACTACTGCTTTTAAGCCTCTGATAGTTTCTGAACCTCCAAAAAAAAGAATTCTCAACCATTCTCTTGGTTTTATTTGAGCCTTCAGTCCTGAAGAAAAAAGATAAAGGTGTGGCACTTATTTTGTAGCATTGAGTGTGTTCGAATGCTACATATTGCACATTTTGTAACATTACCTTTTGGTTTGGCATTGCTGGCCTTGTATTACAAAGACTTTAATTCAAATATTTTTACAACCAAAATGTCACGGTTAATTAATCAAGTCAGTCATGGCACACTTTGATTTGTGCTTATTCATTGCCTTTTAAATGCTGGCATGTAATCTTCCTTCTACCTGGACAGAAGGACATCGGCTCCCGACTGATGCCAGCCTTCAACACTCCGTCCAAGATCCCCTACTCGGATGTGAACATTGGGAAGGGCACAGCCCACCCTCCGCGCTGGACTTCAGATAGCACTGTGGCCGAGGTAACGAGCATCCAGCTGGAGTTCAGAGAGCTCAGCCGCCTTACCCACGAACCAAAGTACCAGGTAAGGGATCATCACATAAAAGAATGTCACAATTTGGTGTCTGTATGTGGCTTGAAAGATACAAGACTCTGAAAATGGCCAGCAACGGGGCTTTTTTTAAATAGAATGACAAAGACTATAATATAATACTATTGATATCTAGATCTGTTTCCCAATGAGTAATTGACTGGAAACAGGCACTAAGACCACGCGGTTTGTTTCAGCAAGCTAGCAACACAGAGCCTTGTGTTCCGATCAGGGGCAGACGGGGGAAAGTGGCCCGGTAGTTACTGTCAGACGGACTTACTCAATACACTGCATGTTGCCCACTCAATGCATCGCATGTATCGACCAGTCAGTGGCCGACTTGGAAAATACACTTGTTTAAATCAGTTCAGGCGTATGTCCACATTGCGCTTAAGTAGCCCAGATAGCTATACTCATTCCACCTCGCATTGCACACCACACTGAAAAAGAGAATAGTTGGACCAATTGAATTATTTCAATTGGTAACGCACAAATGAATTAAGTTTTTAAAAATTAAGTTAACAAGTTGAATTAACACAATTGTTTTTAGTCAGATGTACACTGCCTGGCCAAAAAAAGTCACCACCTGGATTTAACTAAGGGGTAGAATAGGTACGAGCCTCCTATTGGATAATTACTGCGTGGGCGATTATTTTTCAACTGGCAAGTTATTTAACCCCAACTGGTGCAATGACTTGCTTCTCATTTCTTGACCAACCATGTTGAAAGACACATCCAGTGGTCGTGGAAAAGATGTTCGTCTTTTTGAGAAGGGTCAAATCATTGCCATGCATCAAGCAGAGAAACTACTAAAATTGGGTTAAGAACTGTCGAACGCATTATTAAAAACTGGAAGGATAGTGACCACCCATTGTCTTCGAGAAATAAATGTGGCCGCAAAAATCTGATCTCTTAAATCTTTGAAATCAAATCGAAGAAAAACGGTAGAACTCAAGGCTATGTTTAATAGTCAAAGTAAGCAAATTTCCACACGCACAATGCGACGGGATCTCAAGGGATTCGGACTGAACGGCTGTGTAGCCTGAAGAAAACCACTAATCAGTGAGGCTAACCGGAGAAAAGGCTTCAATTTGCTAGGGAGCATAAAGATGCAATGGAAGAAGGTCATGTGGTCTGAAGAGTCCAGATTTACCCTGTTCCAGAGTGATTGGCACATCAGGATAAGAAGAGAGGCCGATGAAGTGATGCACCCATCATGCCTAGTGCCTACTGTACAAGCTTATGGCGGCAGTGCTATGATCTGGGGTTGCTGCAAGTCTAGGTTCAGCAACAGTATGTGCTCAAAGAATGAGGTCAGCAGACTATACTGAATGACCAGGTTATTCCATCAATGGGTTTTTTCTTCCCTGATGGCATGGGCATGTTCAAAGATGACAATGCCAGAATTAGTGCGTGACCTTTTTTCGGTGGCAACTTTTGTTTTGGCCAGGTAGTGTATGTAATAATTCAATGTGTTTCAAATCAATGGTTTGCATTACTTCAACTCAAAATTAAAACCAGTTGACCTAAAGTTTATAGTTTTCCAAAGTCAATTATTTACTTGACCCAAAAGTAAAATACTGCTCCTTTACAACCTAAAAGGGTCTTTGAGCGGCAGGGGTAGAGAGGATGCGCTGGGAACCGCAAGGTTGGTGGTTTGAGTCCTGGCTGTCCCACGTCGAAGTGTCCCTGAGCAAGACACCTAACCCCTAATTGCTCCCCGGGCAAAAATTTAATAAAGCCATGGTTTACTAATGTAGGTAGCTTTGGATAAAAGCGTCAGCTAAATGTAATGTAAAGGTATGGTTTCACGCAAGCTAATTTTTGTAGTAACCTTTATGTAAAATTGTACTTTGTATTGTTAGGACAGGTATTTTAAGCTTGCTAAAAGAAAAATGACAATCAAATCTGATGGTTTTCAAAATGTATTTCATAAATGTAAATACACATTTGTTTAGTGTTTTAAGAAAATACATCTGCATAACCATGCCTTTATAAGTAAATTACCACAGCTTTCTTCGCTGTCTTAATGATTATTTGGAACACGACAAAACAGAAATGTAACCTTTTCCCCACAAATAATGGAAGCATTTGTATGCCATTAAAAAACCTGCTTCTTTAAAGAAAAATTGTGAAAAACTGGAACATGATAATCTTCTGGAGCTCTTCAAAAGTGAAATGAAGTGGTTTGGGCTAAGAGGTTGAGCGTCTATATCAACCCAAGAAGCAGGACACAAGCTGAACAACAGAAGCTCGTTGAAGCAACACCCCCTCTCCCTCAATGACGATGCCAATGTCTTCAGGTCCCTCCGAGCATCATCTAGAGTCCTACAGATGGGTACACGACAAAGATAAAATATAATTGGCATGCACTGTTATGCATTAATAATGCACTAGGTATGCAACACCCGCATCCCTGGCACACTCACTAGGCTAATTCCTTTGAATTTAATCAGAACACAAAATGAAAATCCATGACCACTGTTAATGGGAAAAAAAGATCCCTAGTCCAAAGTGGCCATGATATTAGTAGTCTTTTCGCGAGTGGCTTCTCCTTTGGCCCGGATGACTGGGTCATGAACTTCTCAAAAGGAACAGCCATGAGCCTCTCAAACTCTCCATTGATCTCAAACAAAGTAATGATTAATATGGTATCCTGACAATATCATTTTACATTACAGGTCATTTAGCCAACACTTTTATCCAAAGCGACTTACATTACACTTTAAACCCATGGCTTTTCACATTTTTGCCCTGGGAGCAATTAGGGGTTAGGTGTCTTGCTCAGGGACACTTCGACTTGACGTGGGGCAGTCGGGACTCGAACCACCAACCTTGCGGTTCCCAGCACACCCGCTCTACCCCCTGCGCCACGACGACCTCCACAAGGAGGAGACGTGGACACTCCAGCGCGTTTCAAATGTTCCTGCGTTGCCGTCATGCTGCTGTGAAACGACAACTCTTTTGGTTTGGTTCGCTGATGAAATACTACTTTTTCGACTCTCCCACGTTCAACTTCGTAAGCTTCTTTTCCTTGGTGCATGCAGACAATAGAAGCGAATGCTGAATGAAAAAGACCCGTAGCTCTGAATATTTTTATAATATACAACGCGTCGGCGATAGAAATCTGCGTCGGCGATAGAAATCCGCGTCGGCGATTTTTTTATAATCAACGTTGTCTATTACGTCGACTAATCGTTGCAGCCCTAGACATGACCCAGTGTGGCACTCCTCTTCAGTTTCTCTGACCTTTTTGGTTGCCAATATGGGAAAAAAAGAACTACCAAAGAGTCTTCTTCACTTTCTTTTCTTTATCAATGACTGTGTTGGGGCATTAGACCTTTTAGGCTGCTGTTAACAGATCCACTAGTGTCTGAAATCTTTGTCTTCCTTAAAAGTGATGTCACTCATAAATTTCAGTATCATAAATTTAGTGTAGCGTAATACAGTGATGCCATTCTTCTTGGATGTTGAAGTTATTTTCAGTCACTTAATGCCACAGAAATCCCCTACCCTTAATTCCTGACTTTGACTTTCCAGGTTGTGGTCTCTGAGGTTATGAAACGGGTCCACAAACTGGAGGGCAAGCTGGATGGTCTCGTGCCCATGTTCATCAACACCAACAGTGGGCAGTTCACCCATCAAGGGATCTACACAATGGGAGCCAGAGCGGACAGCTACTATGAGTACCTGCTGAAGCAGTGGATCCAGGGAGGCATGACGGAGAACCAGTGAGTTTGACGCTTTGTTTTCACTTACACATAGTAATTACTTTAAGGGCCTTGAAATGGTTACCCAAACTCTTATGTGATCCATGGTATTGTCCAGTGACTGGACATTAGCCAGGAGCAGGCGGCGTAGTGGCCCTGGGTCCTTGCTGTATCTTAGTGGTCCAATTTCATTATCAGATCTAGCAGATCTACCCTCTGCTTGTATGGAGTTGTTATGCGTCAGACGATACAATGCAGTGGATTGTCTTGATTACACAGCAGAGGTAAAGAAGTTGTTCATCCCTCCAAACTAGCACGTTTTTGTCATACCTCCTTGCAGGCTACAATGGTTTTGATCGACAGTACGTGGCCACTGTGGAAAATTATAATTACCATATGTTAAAAAGGTTTTGTAGTTAAAGCATGATATTTCCCTTTAAAAATGTATATAATGATATAACATGGGGGGGGGAGGGGGGTGTGCATGTGTGTGCCGCGAAACCCGAAAAGTTCAGCCTCCTGCTCTCTGCACATCCAAAGCAACTATTTTCTCTCCCGGCGCGCTCACAAAAGAGAATTTGGAGAACACATTTACAGTTATAGATGTAGTTACTTCATATGATTTCAATGCTTCCAAATAGCATTTTGGCTCGATACACGTATTCATAAAGCAGCCCCAGCAACTGCTGGGATCTAGTTACACTCACCTCCAGCTGTACAGATTTCTCTTCCATATCAGCAGTAGGCTTGAGAATAATGAAGTTGGCGGTTATCGACATGAGTGGACATGTTTAAATACAGGTGTTCTGCAGAGACACATTCAATGTGTTCAGTTCGCAAAATATATCTGCCAGACTTCACAAGTTCATACTTTGTGGAGCAGAAGTGGTAAGATTAGCTCATGTTCTTTGCCTTGAGTGAAATGGAGGTGATCCTACATATTTATTTACCTTTTGCAGGTCTGTGTACAGCAAGGCACTTAGCCAAGTGGTAAGGTATTCTGTTTACGAAGCCAGATTGGGTTCGAATCCCATGTCCGGCCCTCCCCACTTTATTAAATTGACTTTATTACATTTCAACAATAATTATCAACTGTTGTTGATGTCTTTAAAGAGCAACTTTATGTGATGACTTGGCGTGTTTTGTGATTTTAAAGCTGGATAACATGTCCTTACATTCAAACCTTCACTGTTAATGTGGAATAGTCCTTTTGACTATTTGAACACAATTTCCTTAATTTATAGTTAGCTTTTTGGTATCTGATCTGTGGGTGGTGCCTAGTTATTTATATTGATAATGAATGTGAATTATTTAGTTTTCATAATTACTTATAGCCTGCCTCTGCCAGATCCCAACAGCCAATACTCACACGGTTGTTTCTACCTGATGTCAACTGTCACTATGTGTTTATCAATAGCAGCAAACCCAATGTTTTTCCTTTTTTAGACTGTTGGCGGACTATTTGCAGGCAATAGAAGGTGTGAAGAAGAACCTGTTGCAGAAGTCTTCCCCTAATGGCCTCACATTTGTTGGAGAAATCACACATGGACAGTTCAGCCCCAAAATGGTGAGTAATCAGGGTTTTCCTGCTACTCTGTAAATGAAAATCCACTGTTCCCTCCTGTGGATGGTCAGCAGGTACATTAAATCTGTCATGTTAAAGACTAACCGTATGTTGTTCTAGAATGGGATTCTCAACAGTACCCGCTGGGGCGACTGTGGTGCATGGAGTACAGTGGGTGCGCTGCGAACCATAAGGTTGGCAGTTAAAGTCCCGGCTGCTCCATGTCCCATGTCGAAGTGTCCCTGAGCAAGGCACCAAACCCCTAACTGCTCCCACTGTGTGGCATAGGTTAAATGTATGTGTAAAATAATACTTGATAAAAATGGGTTCATCTTCTGTCAATTTTATTGCCAACAAGCTGAACTCTTTCCTTGAAGTCATTCAAACAGTCTGCGATCACTGCAAGCTTTTTGATATTGCTTTTCCACAACACATACTTTGTTTCTTATAGATTATGCATATTGGTATGTATGTATGTATGTATGTATGTATGTATGTATGTATGTGTGTCATTTTTGTAAGAAATTGAATTTGAGAGATTTCAATGCTTTATCGGTTTTTAACAAATTGCCTCTTGCTGCCTTGGGAGAATGGGAACATGTTCTGAATTTACAGATCTGATTAACGTCAAATTAAATAAAGGATTATGTGGAGAGTGGTGCCAAAGTATTTTTAAGTCTGCCTCTGGGTTTTTATAGGACCATCTAGTGTGCTTTCTGCCGGGCATTCTGGCTCTTGGTGCCCACAACGGCCTGCCCACTGATCACATGGATCTGGCCAAACAGCTGATGGAGACCTGTTACCAGATGTACATCCAGATGGAGACGGGCCTCAGCCCAGAGATTGTTCACTTCAACATGCATCAGGGCAGCGTCCAAGACATGAACGTAAAGGTAAGTAGAGACGTTGTGGATACAGGCTAGGGCTGTCAAAATTGCTCGAATATGTGGTTGCGCATAGGGCACATCAACAACAGGACAAATTAATACGAGACATAACTACTTGTATAGGTAATTTATTTAAGTTTAAACATATTCAACGTATTGCCTTACACTTTACGCAATTTGTGTGTGTGTGTGTGTGTGTGTGTGTGTGTGTCAGTCAAAAATTCAGATTCTTTCCCAATTACATGTGCTTGTCCCTACTGACACACTTGCCAAGCGTGCCCCCCGCCGGCCAATTAATTTGTTGTGATTATCCGCCGTACCTCAGGACCGGTCGGCGATATATTGTCTAACATGAAACCCGTCCGTGAGGCAAAAAAGGTTGGGGATCCCTGCCGTATATACAAAATGAACAGTGCATTCTTTTGAAATTCTGGTTATGGGCTTTGTCATTGCCAAATGAATGCTGATCACAAGCATAATGTCTAGTGGTGTTAGGGAAATGTTCTACATTACAAATGCAGGAAATCTGGTTTGTTTGGTAAACTATTATGCAAAGTTGATTCTTTCATTTTTTGTATTCACTGTGATAATAGCTTGCAGACCGACACAACCTGCTACGACCAGAGACTGTGGAGAGTCTCTTCTACCTGTACAGGTTCACCGGGGACCACAAGTACCAGCACTGGGGCTGGAAGATTCTCCAAAACTTTAACAAGTACACCAAGGTCAGTAAAATGACTGTTCAAATTAGCAGATTTGAGAGCTCTTCAGTTGTCAGGGAAGCCTGTCACATAGCATTTGTTAACATCTGTTGTCATTAGCTTATGTATCTGCAAACTTGTTGTTTTTTGGCAAAATTCAAAAACGGTTATCCACGTGAATTGTCTAGATCTGAAGTTTTTATTTTGCCGGGTGGTCAACTGGCTGACCAGTGTTTCTCAGCTTGGAGTGAGACAAGCAGAAAAGTTGATGATGAGATCTTCGCAATACAACGTCTTCATATCGGTGTTGCCAACTTTGCGGCTTTATCATCAAATCTGGTGACTTTAAAAATCATCTTGGGTGTTTTTATTTTGTCAAAAGCAACCAGTGGCAAATCAAGTAACTTTTCGGGTGTTACGTTCTTTCACAAGAAAGTACAATATCGTTGTGCACTTCCTCTGTGATTGTGGACAAATTCCTGCGTTTCCCCTTAGGTATCCTCTGGAGGCTACACCTCCATCAATAATGTCCGGGACCCAGACTACCCAAGCCCCCGAGACAAAATGGAGAGTTTCTTCTTGGGAGAGACTCTAAAATATCTGTACCTGCTGTTCTCTGACGATCCCAACCTCATCAGCCTAGACCACTATGTCTTCAACACGGAGGCTCACCCTCTGCCTATATGGCCATCTGCTACGTGAAACACACACAGGAATTCAAATGGCAGCTAAAACTGCACGTATAAACACAACAAACATCTCAGGGTTGGTCTGACAACAAGGTAATCCCTCAGTCTTTGTCTGTGGCTGGGAGTGGTTAAACAACCCTTGATGCAGACCACAGTCCATTTAGTGCTACGTACTTTGGTCTTTTTTTATTTCCTTGAATTTTTGTTTGGACTTGAGAGGACAGAAGAATGCGTCTTTGGTAGATCCCGTCAGCATCAAAGAACAATCTGATTGTGACTTTAATAATCTCATGATTATGAGGGATTTGAAACTAGGTCTTTTCAGATTGTAGCTGCTCATGATTAGAGTGAAACAAAGCCAGGACCCGGAGGAACGGCGGGCCTTTGTAGCACGCTCCCCCCCTCCCCCCAACCTGTGTTCATGGCTGAGACCAGGGAAACAAAGCCAGCGCCTCCAGATGGGGCTTCAACTGCCCTCAGGCCATGCTGGAACCCACTGGACCTCTCCAGGTTAAGCAAAAAACCTGCATTGAAATCTTTCACACTGCAGAATGATGGGATGGTAGCGATGTGTTTTCATGGTTGGATCTGCTAGATCACAGAAAGAAATGTGCTTTATGACACAGGAACGTCTAAATGTAAAGTTAGAAACACTGATGCAGGATTTAGTTGCCTACTGCTTCATTATCCTCTCCTCCTTAATTCTGTGCCTTTCTGATGGCAGGGCTTTAATTCCATCATGAGCTTGTGAGGTGTTCAGAGATGCCATGCAATAAAAGGAAATGAGCCCAAATTGTGACTTGTCCCAACTTGGTGTTGATTCTATATGACATGAATGCATCATTCCATTTATGAACCAGAAGCTTTAGTGGCAAATTATTTGAAACAGCTGCTGCTTTTACTGCAGGTTTCATTTGTTTAATTACAATAGAAAATTATTTTCTTGAAAGGTAAAAATACAGGACGCCTTTCCAGTTTGAGGTGGCAGCAGTTTGCTGTCTTTCCTGTGATTACCAGTTTACATCAATACTTGTTGAATTGAGACAACTCAATCTGTCTTTTCTTCATGCTGTTTCACATGTGCCTAACATGTTCAAACCGCATTCAAAAAATGACTTCTACCCTTGCTATTCATATCTGAGTACACAAGTCATTGGCATCACTTTTTCAGCAGTCCTTTTATATAATGCTAATCTCTACATCTGATACAAAGGAAAGCTGGACACAATCAGCCCTGGTGTTTGATACCATGCATCCAAAGCCACCTGTCAGGAAATGCTGATCTTCATCCACTTCTATCTTTAAAGTACACAATACACAAATGCCATTAAGTAGTGCTTCGATGTTCGCAATGTACAAAATGTATTGGCACATGGTGTACAATAAAAGATGGATTGCCTTTTACTTTTGTAAAGCTGTAGAAGTTTTATTGAATTACAACACACTTTACAGTAGTGCTCATAACTAGTCACACCTCATCTGAAATGTTAAATACGTAATAGCATTGATCCATATGATTTAGGATCCAGTTGTACCAGATAACTGAAGCTATAAAACAATACTGTGTAGTGCTGAATTAAGTCAATCAAGAAAAGAAAAAAAGCAACTCCTCTGTTCCTGTACGTTGTGTCGTTCAAATTGACCATGATGCAGACTTTGACAATCGGGACACTTTGGGGGAATAGGTGCTTTTAAGTGAACGCTGTGATCTGGTCCGCTCCATCTTCACCCACTGTGCGATGAGGTCTGCTTCGGTCTTCCTGGCATTGATTACAGACTCTGGGTCAGCATCATTAGAACCTCTGCATAAAACAGATACAGGTCACATTAAATTTAGCATGGAGTTAAGAGAAGGAATAAAAAGTGAGGGATGCCAACAGTTATACCTCAGATCCAGATGATGGGCTCCTCCAGAAATGTTGACAGCTATTAATGATGAGCTCAAGGACTTGCGCACCTACACAGCAGAGAGCTAATTGGCTCAGACAATAAAGCAGTGGCTTCATGGTTCACTTAAGTGTGATGGTTTAATTTATTCTCTTACCCCTCCGTTTGCCCATGGGTCCAAATCCCCATTTGAGAAGATGATGTTGCTGGCTGTGGACAGGGCTGAACACAAGGTGGGGGGCGCGATCATTAGAAATCGTAACTCTGACTTCTCAATGCACAACATGAGACTTGTTTGCTCACCGTCTCCCCAGAACTGAGTTTTTAACCAGTCTGGTCGGGGAACTACAGCCCAGCGTTTGGCACAGTAAAGCTGGCGGTCTCTCTGGGTGAAGGCCATGGGAGGGAACATGTCTGTCACATTGTTGCTCTCATAGCACAGATCAATCTCTGTGCACGCCTGTAACCAGAACAGACCCACATCAGAACTTCCACCGTATCTTATTTTTAGTAATGGATAACTCTACTATTTGTCAACCAGGTAGGCCCAGTCTAGATGGGAGTCTGAATCTGTGATGCGGTTGCTTGGTGAGTACCTGATAGTCCCAGGCCAGGCTGTCTGGCCCTAGTCCACAGCCGGTGGGATCAGCACACTCCACAAACAGACTGTACAGGTCAAAACAGGACAGCAGCCCGGTAGAGTTGTAAACAATCCCTGCAGGATAGGATGGACCACAGGTAGGGTATGGAGCTTTCTATAGACATTTATTAAATGAAAGGCTTTTTTCCATTCATATTAATGTATGAGTGGATTCTTCCCTAGAAAGTATCCGGAACTGGACAACTAACACAAAAAATACTGCTGTCACCAGACTAGCACAAGCAGAGTAACACAAATAGGAAGCAGGAAGTAGTGCTGGAAAATGTATGGACATATGAAAAGTTCTCTTGGGACTATGCTCTAAAATGAACAGGGGGTCAGTTTTATATATATATAATCTTTTTTGTGAATATTTAATGTAATTTTTTAGACTTTCTAGACGCTATACTTTGACGAATTCCTCCCTGGGACTTTTTCACAGCAACTTCAAAATTTGACCAAAACCATCCCAAGGCCTTGGTGACTAAAAGTTATTAAACACTTTGTTTTGTGTTAATGTTGCCATGGCAACCCGTTATTCAGTCAAAGCGAACGTGCTTTTGAGAGACTAAATGGGCTCCAATCTTTACTAAACTTGGAAAACACATTTACAGATACACTACACATGTTCATAAACTCTCTCCTGGCGGGTCTTCCCTCCTACAGCCATTCGACCTCTGCAGCTCAACTGGTCTTTAACCTTGCTAAATTCGCCCCAACTACACCACTCCTCCGCTCTCTTCAGTGGCTACCAGTGGCTGTCCATCCAATTCAAAACACTCTCGTACAATGCTGTGAATGGTTACAGCCTTATTCCAAAATGGATTAAATTCATTTTCCTCAACGTTCTACACACAACAACCCATAATGACAAAGTGAAAACTGTTTTTTGCAAATTTTTGCAAATGTTAAAAATAAAGAACGAAAACATAAAATGTATATAAGTATTCACAGCCTTTGCCATGACACTCAAAATTTAGCTCAGGTGCATCCTGTTTCCACTGATCATCCTCGAGATGTTTCTACAACTTGATTGGAGTCCACCTGTGCTAAATTCAGTTGATTGGACATGATTGAGAAAGGCACACACCTGTCTATATAAAGGTATCAGAGTTGACAGTGCATATCAGAGCATAAACCGAGCCATGAAGTCCAAGGAATTATCTGTAGACCTCTGAGACAGAATTGTATCGAGGCACAGATCTGGCGAAGGGTACAGAAAGATTTCTGCAGCATTGAAAGTCCCAATGAGCACAGTGGCCTCCATCATCCGGAAATGGAAGAAGTTTGGAGCCACCAGGACTCTTCCTAGAGTTGGCCGCCCAGCCAGACGGAGCGATCGGGGGAGAAGGGCCTTAGTCAGGGAGGTGACCAGGAACCCGATGGTCACTCTGACAGAGCTCCAGCGTTGTTCTATGAAGAGAGGAGAACCTTCCAGAAGGACAACCATCTCTGCAGCCCTCCACAACCAGGCCTGTTTGGTAGAGTGGCCAGACGGAAGCCACTCCTCAGTAAAAAGCACATGACAGCCCGCCTGGAGTTTGCAAGAAAGCACCTGAAGGACTCTCATACCATGAGAAACAAAATTCTCTGGTCTGATGAAACAAAGAGTGAACTCTTTGGCCTGAATGCTAAGCGTCATGTCTGGAGGAAAGCAGGCACTGCTCATCACCTGGCCAATACCATTCCTACAGTGAAGCATGGTGGTGGCAGCATCATGCTGTGGGGATGTTTTCAGCGGGAGGAACTGGGAGACTAGTCAGGATTGAGGGAAAGATGAATGCAGCAATGTACAGAGACATCCTCGATGAAAACATGCTCCAAAGCGCTCTGGACCTCAGACTGGGGCGACAGTTCATCTTCCAACAGGACAACGACCCGAAGCACACAGCCAAGATAACAAAGGAGTGGCTTCGGGACAACTCTGAATGTCCTTGAGTGGCCCAGCCAGAGCTCTGACTTGAACCCGATTGAACATCTCTCGAGAGACCTGAAAATGGCTGCGCACCAACGTTCCCCATCCAACCTGATGGAGGTTCTGCAAAGAAGAATGGGAGAAACTGCCCAGAAATAGGTGTGCCACGCTTGTGGAATCATACTCAGGAGACTTGAGGCTGTAATTGCTGCCAAAGGTGCTTCAACAAAGTATTGAACAAAGGCTGTGAATACTTATGTACATGTTATGTTAAAAATAAAGAACGAAAACATATTTGCAAAAATTGCAAAAAACAGTTTTCACTTTGTCATTGAGTTGTTGTGTGTAGAATGTTGAGGAAAATAATGAATTTAATTCATTTTGGAATAAGGCTGTAACATAACAGTGTGGAAAAAGTGAAGCGCAGTGAATATTACACTGTACATCCAGGACATGGTCAAACCCTACATCCCGACCCGCACACTCCGCTCTGCATCCCTCACTGAGAACAAAACACGACTCTTTGCTGTCCTGGCTCCTAAATGGTGGAATGAGCTCTCTGGTCTGATGTCATCAGAGTCTTTACATCTTCCGCCACAAACTAAAGAGACACCTCTTTAGACTATACCTTGATTAAAAACACTAAACGAATTGTAGCACTTAATCATACTTATAATGGCTCTTACCTATAGCAAGTTGTAAATCCGCTTGAAATGCACTTATTGTAAGTCATTTTCGGATAAAAGCAGCAGCTAAATTACATGAAGCAGCCCCAGCAACGGCTTTGATTCAGGTGCACTCAGGTCCAGCTGTGCAGGTTCCTCCTCCAAGTCAGCAGAGGAGGCTTTAAAATAATGAATCAAATTGGTCAAATGTCACACTGTGACCGACATGACTGGACCTCTGTCCACATAGTCACTGTAGAGCAGGGGTGCTCAATACGTTGATCGTGATCGACCAGCCGATCTCAAAGGCAGTACCAGTCGATCGCGTGCCATCAATAAAAAAAACTGACCTCACGTATGCACGATCTAACGTGGAACACGACCGAAACTAATGCTAATTAGCGATCCTTGCTTACTAACAGACGCATTTAAAACAAAAAGTTTGATTTGCTCCCGTTCTCTGCCTTGACTGAATGGAGGTGATCCTACATATTTTATTTACTTTTTGCATGTCTTTGTATAGCATGGCCAGTAGCCCAGTGGTAAGGCATTTTGGTTACTGGGTTTGAACCCACTGTGGACCAACCTTTTGACGAAGCCCCGTTCATCACTGCTTGCAGCTTTAATTATTGTTATTTTTTTATCTTTTTGTCTCACCACACCAGAGTGTGTGTGTTTTTTACAAATGAAATGTATCTGCCGGCTGGCGACAGTCTGGATGTACTGTATGTATGCTTTTTGTTATTGTCTGTATTTTCTAAACAACTGACACTGTACGTTCAAAGACACATTTTCTAATAAAAGTATTGTTGATTCGGAACAAGTCTCTCCTGATTGAGCTGTACCTAGTACCAAAAACAACCAGTCTGACTTTCTGAGATGTCAGAACATACTATTCAACTTATTTTGGGGATGAGCACTAAACAGTACGCTGCTGCAGACACACTGACTGCTTTACCTGCAGTGTTCCTTAGGCTGCTGAGCAGATCAGGACCACTCAGCATGGTCTCACAGGCTACCTGAGAAAGGGGAAGGAACAGTTATTCAGTAGCTTTCAGATCTCAATCCACTCATGTCCTTATTATACCCTCTCACACAAACACAATTAGATCAGATGATGACATGAATGCCTATTGGAGGTGCTCAGCTGTTGTTAATCAGCAGCTGCTGAGGTTTCTATTGTTAAACTTGGATGCGCAAATGTAAAAATAGACTGGATTGCATTTACCTTGACCGGGTTGGCGGGCATGTTCCCCATGAAGTGAGTGCTGTAGGGGTAATCCAACATGGCCATCATAGTGAAAGCATTCCTCAGCATCCCGTTCAACTGATGGATATCCTCAGCAGATGATGGAGGCTTGCACAAGTGGAACTGTGTCTGGATGCGACTGTATTCTGGTCACATCAGCAGTAGTGAGTTGGTACTACAACATTGGGTTTGATATAGCTCAAACTAAATGCTAACTAACTAAAGTGCGTGTAGAGTGTTTCCCCTAGGTTTACATTGATGTTTATGGTAGACAGGGTAATCAGTCCACTGGAGCTTGCTGCGAGAATCAAACAGGCGTAAAAAAAACATGGGGGGGCCTGTAAACGTTTTTTCTGCAGGGGCAGACAGGCCAATGGGGGCAGTGTGAACGAATTTTCCAGACATTCTTGTGGGCGTGCACCGCTTGTCCAATGGTAGGGGAAACACTTGCCGCCGCCCCCCCCCCCGTATGCATATTTGAATTCTGCCACATTGGATGGTTTCCTAGAAACCTTCATCTAGCTTATTCTAAGCTATTCGGAGGTGGACCTGCTGGGGGGATTTGGATCATTGTCCTGCTGCTCACTCTTTATTAATTAGTTTTACCTCAATACGAGTTTGACCTCAATCAAACCAAGTAGTCTAAACAACATTAAAAAGTTTAGTGCAATATTTCTTGTCATTTGAGATTGAGGCCCGATAGATTTACCTTGGTGTTGGGCTAATTCTCTCAGCTGATGGAAAGCTCCTCTCACAGCATCTGTGCATTCACAGGCAATGCTCTCAAAATCCTGATGAAAGAGTAACAGAGGTCATCATCCACGCTACTCACCAGTGTCTATAAGTATACATTATGGTTGTTGTTTTGTTTCCAAAACGCTCCTACAGCAAACAACCCTGAGATATTCTGGAACCAATTCTTGCGACGGTTTAGGTAAATTAAGCACATTGTGTGTCTAAACCAACGTGTTGGTACCAACAAAAAGAGGAGCGCGTACACACTCACAGCCGTAACATCTCTAAAGAACTGGGCGGAGTCTCCAAGCCCCGCAGTGGACAGCACAGGGGCGCTGGCAGCCAGAGCTCCAGCCACAAGGTTTGGATACTTGAGCCTCATGTAGACCGACAGCATTCCACCATAACTGCAGGAAGAGATGAGTCACAGGGAAACATTAATAATGATTGATTGTATTGCTCCTGAAGAGAAGCCTTTTTTTTAAGGTGACACGAAAGCCTGTGGTCCCCACCTGCCACCAAACACGATGACGGGACAGTCTGCAGCGCCCAGCTGCTGCTTCAGCTCCCTGATCATGACGGCGTAGTCGGCGAGGGCCTGCTCCACTGTCAGCAGGCCGATCTGCGGCACGCCAAACGAGTCTGTGCCGAACGGCAGCGACCTGCCATAGTATCTCTGGAACAGGCACAGCAAATGAAGACAGTGTTCAAATACTGAACACATCAACAAGGTACTATGGGTCACTTGGAGGACTTCAAAGCTACGTTCTGGCCACATTTATTTAGTAAATATTAATTAAATATTAGTTTTACTTTGATTTCAAATGTTTATAAAGATGCAAAATTAAAAACCAGTATTGTTCTGAGTGAACACACGGCCCCTGTTTTTTACTTAATACACACTCAATCCTGTTGACTGTGACTCACACAAAATCCTGTTGAAACGAATATATGAATATATAAAACAAATGTAGCGTTTGAAAAAAACTCCTTGACAAGCTGATTAAGTAGATGACTGAAAGAGCCGTCTCCAGTAGAACCTTATGGGTTTGAGAAGATATTGAGGAACAAAGTAACAAATTGTTGGCATCGGCCTTTTCATGGCAGAATAATGCCAGCTTCTATTTCATTAAATTGTTTTATATTTTATCAGAACCAACACTGAAAACAAACAAAAACGTTTTTTTCTTCCAAATTGTTGTTGTCACATGATCTGTAAATTCCTCTCAGCCATGTTTGATCAGGACAAAAAAAATGGCAAGAGTCCTCCCCCTACCACTCTTGACTGCTATTTGCTTACATGTTCAGCAAAAATCACCAAGGCTCGGAGCTGGCCAGCCAACTCTGCGATGAATCCCGCGTTGGATGCAAACTCCCAGATGTCACCCTCATTGCCGGTGTAGAAGAATATAGGACCATAGCCTTCCATCCAATACTTATCTGAAGGGAGAGGGAAATAAAGACTGAGTGGTTCACACAGCCGGGTGTTTCTAGGTCAAATGGAAGAAGGGTCACCTGTGATCAGGTATCGCTGACTGAAGGTTCCGTTGCCCATGCTGTTGAAGTTGAAGTGGTCCACAGTTTGACGGAAATACCTCTCGCTGAACTGCTCTTCTGTTTTGAATCCATCATGTTTCCTTGGCTGTGAATATTCATTACATTGAGATGAATATGCGTCCTGGTTCAGACAGCAATTGCGGTCACGTGGACTGCATTTCAACATGAAATGCACTACTACGCGCATGCCTTTCTCACATGACACATGTTATGGCTCATGCTGCGTTTGTGGGAGTCTCGTAAGATCTCGTAAGTTGTTCTTTTATACACTACTTTGCCTTCAATTATCTCAGAAACTGTACAGTAATATATCATGACAATTTGCATAGGCATAGAGGGGGTTTACTTGAATAAGGGATAACTGTAGTAGAGTGTTACCATTTTTTAATCGGTTTTAAAGACTGTTTGTTTGAGAATTTATGAATATCATGTCATTCTTACTGATTTCATCTTAAATTTACTCAACGCCTGTACAGTCATATTTCCTGGAAATGCACATGGGCATATAGGAGGTGTACTCAAACAAAGGATGAAGTGAAAAGAGTGTCATTGCCTTGCATGGGGCATACGTGCCTGCATGTTTTAGCGTGTCGTGGGGGGAGTTTGTGTTTACTTCAAATTGTATTAAATCAAATACTAGTTGTTACAATAACAGTGTGTAGCATTGAGCGGAATCTATTGGAGCAAAGACAATACAACAAACTTTTTTTCTACAAAAAACAAGCCATTTTACCGTAAAGCCCTGAATAGACGTGCGTTTTATTTTCAAATGCGGTCCGCATGACCGCAGTGGACAGCACGAGCTGCTGTTCTAGTTCAGATGAATCTGTTTACAGACGTCTGGTCTAAGACGTATTAGGAAGGGTAATTATGCATTTACCACATGGTGGTGTGGCACTGTCGCCTCACAGCGAGAATATCCTCGTTTCAAACTTTCCCTGCACCTTTCGTGAAAGTTCAACTGTGTGAACGGGAGAGTGAATGATCTCTCGACATCAGTCCGCATCCGCATCCAAACTAGGCCTACGGTGAGTCGAACCGTCCGAACCAGGACATGTTAACGGGTTAAGGAACATTTAGTCCAGTCACCAATCACTCTCAGATTGGACTCATTGAAACAAGCAGCACGAGGAGTAACTAAACGTTCAGCTTTAATTACTCAAATGGAAGATATTAGAAACTGGTTCCATACCTAATTTTCAGCGAGACCAAAAGCCAAACATTGACAACTTAAAATGACGTTACCTGTAAAAGGGTGTGTGGGAAGGCGTGCAGCACGTGCACGCCAATCCCTATAACCATGAAAAATACCAGCGGGTTGCTCATAATGAAACTGAACATGACTACCACTGCGCATGCGTGTCTCACATGACACATGTTATGGTCCATGCTGCGTTTGTGGGAGTCTCGTAAGATCTCGTAAGTTGTTCTTTTATACACTACAATATTATACAGAGAAAACGTTGAACATGTGTGTCTGCGTGTGCGTGCGTGCGTGTGTGTATCGGGATCGTCGTGGAGCAGGGGTACAGAGGGTGCACCGGTAACCGCAAAGTTGGTAGTTCGAGCCCCGGGCTGCTCCGTGGTTGCATGGCATGCCTCGTGCCATCATGAAATTTAAAGAACAGATTATTAGCGTGTAAAATACCTAAAGTTATTATTGCTTTGTAAGAATAAAAACGTCTGGGTTATGTAAGAAGGACATTAAGGTAATCTTATTGACTAAAATAACCCTCCCACCATGCTGTATCAGCGACATATACTATTGACACACCTGATTCTTGGATATAAAAAACAATCCAATAATACATGTCCCCTATTGTCTGCACTCTCTTTAACCAAGTCACGCTTTATGCAATTCTATGGGACCTTATTCCAACAAATAATCTTTGTTATTATTTTTTTACGTATGTTGTAATTGTTGCGTTCACTGATCACTCCCCTGAAACCGTTTAGTGCCCCTTGGAGAGGCCCCCCTCTAATTTTAAAAACGCTTTTAGCATAATAACAACTTTTTTATATCAGTTTGACAATTGATTTTATGGTTTCATGGGTTTCTGCAGATACAAATGTCGGCGATGAATACTCAGTGGTAGAGCATAGTCGTCTTTCAATTTGTGGTTCGAACCCCGGTTCTGCTATAGGGCGATTGTGGCGCATGGAGTAGAGAGTGTGTACCCGGAACTACAGGGTTGAAGGTTCGAACCATGACTGCTCCATGTCCCATGTCGAAGTGTCTCTGAGTAACACACCTGACCGCTAACTGCTCACTGGGTGCCTTTACGGCAGGGATGGGTTAAATGCCAGAATCATTGCCAGAGAATCATTTCCCTAATAGGATTGACAAAGGATACTTTCTTCTTCTTCTATTCCATTCAATAGATTCTGGGGCAAGACACTTTGCCCCAGTTTCTCCACGGGAGGCCTTTCCCGTAGTCTGTGCGAATAATTGAATAATCACTGCATCTCTAAACTGCCCAACAGTTTAACACAACTTGTGCAGCAGGTTGACCCAGTTAGCCAAGTAGAGGAAATGACAAATCATTTCCTTGTTTCTGAACAGGACAACCAGCTTTATACCAAACCAACCATCGGCGTATGTGTGAAGAGCCTAACAGGAACAACTGCACCCTTTTTGGTCAACTTCCTTCTCTAAATAATTCCGTGGAAAAGGAAGTCCAAAGTCCCATAAAAAAGACTTCATTTAGGTCATCTTTTTTTGGCCTTTAGTGGCCTGATATTTTCTGCATTTTTGCTTTGATTTACAGTTTACCTGACATGATTTGGTAATGTGTTTATTTCCACATATATTTAAAAAGATAGTTCAAAATGTGAAAAGGTTTGATTATTTAGCAGGAGGTTAAAATTAACGAATGCCTTATTGGCTTAGATGTCATTAGTCACGTGGATAATACACATACATTGTGAAACAAAGCCTCTGCTGTAGCAAATACTTACCAGGTCTAACAAGTGCTATCAAAGCCTGTGTGAGTCATGCATGTATGTTGTAATTGTTGTGAGGTGGCAGGTGAATTCCAGAGCCTGGGTGCCTTTGAGGAATCTGGGGTGGATAGATGGAGGACTTCCTTGTAGTAGCAGGGCGGAGGCCTGTTTAACTTCCCGGTAGGCAGCTGGTACATTGACTGAACACCGAACACTGACTGGACTCCCATTAAGGAGCAAAAGGTAAGTCGTCTGAGGATTTCTAAAGTATCTATGATAAATTATGCAGATTGGGTTAACTCAACTCAACAACATGTACAAATAGGCACGATGCAGTTAAGTACAAGGAAGTATTCCAGGAAAGCTGTACAAGAGGTTACTTATTAACATCAGGTCACTTTCTATGCAGGTTTCTTTTGGCTTTAAAATTTTGTTGTATTCTAATACATTTGTATATGTTTCTTATTAGATCCAGAGAGTTAAACAGATAGATTTATTGGTGGAATTTGTGTTTGTAAGAGAGAAAACTAAACTGGAAGTGTAAAGAATTAATTTTGCTCAGAGATGATGCACATCAGATAACAATTATTTACTCCCACAGAGAAAAATTAATAAGAATCAGAATCAGAAACATTTATTAGCCAGGTATGTAGGACAATATATAAGTTATATCAATACAACCCTATTATTTATTGTGATCAATGATATATATTGTTGCAAACCAGGGCCAGAAACCAAGCAGACGAAGCACAGGGGACGGATTGCCAAGATTGGGGGAAGTGATAGACGGCGTCTATTACCCAGTTCAGGTAGCTGCCTGCAGCCACTTGGCACGTGGCATTGTTCACACCTGCAGCCCATCATGTAATTAGAAAAGAAAGATCTATTCAGAGCTGAGCAGCAGTGAGCGAGCGAAAGAGGCAGACAGACACAGAGGATAGACACAAACTGGAGAGGTAACAAACTAAACGCTCTCCTTTCCTAAACAAGACTGAGGAACTGTTTACTGGCATCACAGACTCCTCAGCGCCCTTTACCTTAACCTTGTTATTAAAAGGACCCTTTTTGTTGTATGATTACTGTCTCTGAGCCTCCTTTTTTCTCTGAATTTGGCCTCAACTTCCCCATCTCATAGTTTACCATCATTGTAACCCATGACACAAAAGGCAAAGACTCATCTCCTCTGTTGTACAGTTTTGTCAGTTCTGTATTTCCCCCCCCCTCTCCACTGCCCAGAATGCTTTACACTGAGTTACTGCGGCTGTGGCATGAAGCTGTGCAGGCGGTGGATGCCAAAGACTGGCAGGGAGCTCTGTCCAAACTGGAGCAGATCAGCGAACCAACGTCTTGCACTCTGTTCAATGCTGCCTCTGCTCACCTGGTTCTGGGACAGCTGGACCTGGCCTTGAAGGTCTGTGTGTTGTGTGTACTGAGGGAACACTTTGACGTGATTCAAACTCATTAAAAGATCAAAACCGTCTGGTACATTGACTCGTATAGGTTTTATGTGATACCTGCTGCCCATTTATGTCCAACCTCATCTTTTCTTTCTGCCTTGTCTAATGTCCAGGCTTTAGACCTCACCCTTGCCAAGGATGAACGGCTCGCTGTTGGATTCTTTCAAAGAGCAGCAGTGATGATGCAGATTGACCGGTAGGTAGCGGACCCCATCCTAAAGACTGATCTACAGATCTCAGTCTACATGTTGCAGACAGAGTCTACAAGCTGCTGATGTAACTTGTACAGTTAATACAACAAAATCAAGGGTATTTTTGAGGATAAAGCTAGGATTAATGTGCTGTTATCCTGCTGTGGTGGCTGCCCGTCACTAACTGTTTCAAAGTCTAGTTTTGAGGACAAGTTCAATGTTTTGTTGCCTCCTTAATGTACTATTTTATATTCAAACCTATGGGCTAGTTGCAGAAAGCTGGGCAGTTTGGTTTGCTAGGACGTTTATTTTATTACTTTATTTATTACTATTACTGCAATTTGTGTGATTAAATTAAATTGTTTGATATTTTGGGAAACCGTCCTATTTGAACTCATATCTCTGATCTGCACAGCTGGTTGTCTCAGTGTGGCATAGTGACAGGAAACTGAGGCAAATACCAGGCTGTTCCTACAGGCACCTTAAAAGCTTAGAAATAACAATGTAATGGGTAAAACTGACCAGTGATGTAGTCTATATTATTGTAGTGAGTGTGGCTGACTGGGGCGCGGACGATCCCGAACGGGAGGTTGAAGTGGAATTGGATGTGTGGCGGGAGTGCGTGATTAAAGACCAAAATGAGTGAGTCATGCTCAATGCGTGGTACTTGAGAGCCCTGCGTTAAGGCTGGCGCATGCTTCTGCGTCTTTGCGCAATCGCGTTGACTCACTCGTTTCAATTCATGGTTCAAAAAGTCTTACAATTCACTGCCAGAACAACAGGTGGAGTAACGTTTTTTGTCGAAGACGACCTAGAGAGGCCACGTCTTTGTGTGTGGAAGTCGTTGGTATGTTTATTTATCATAGACTTTATTGCCCCGTGCATCATGTCGGGATCTCCGATCCCCCGAGTTGGTTGATGAGAAGGATCGTAACACGTTGATCAATTAAAGTCAAAAAGTTAACATTTATTTAGAAGAGAAAAAGATTGTCTCAATAGACATAATTGCTAGGGGAATAGTTGTTGGTCAATCTGATTCAGACTAGCTGTGTCTCAGTCGCTAGGCTGCATCCTTGTAGACTCCAGCCTTCGCGGTACACCTGGGTTGGGTCCTCCAACAACCGCATAGGCTGAACCAAGTGGTCTCTGAAATGCGACGGTATGGCCTACGGGGGGACTGCGTCATCAGCTGTAATTACTTTACAGCTTTACTTAATTACTTTTTAAATGACTAACTTTCCAAGTGAATTTTCAACTGATGAGTAATTGTTATTAAAAAATAGAATAATGTTCTAAAGTAGGTACAGTATTTCGCTTTACAAATATACATCAAGAAATGCTGCATATTGAAATCCCCACCCTGTACAGAGATGTATTCATGACACTACATACTTATGAAAACCCATGGTTATAATTCTAATTATTCATATGAAAATAACATTAAACCGAACAGGTGCAATAAATGCACAAGGTATGTTTAATCAATATATAGGCTACTAAAACATAGCGTACAGAATGGCAATATGAGATGTATACTTTTAGAATGGGAATATTACTAGTTTTGTATTTGTGACCTCAGTCACTGCTATCTGTTTTGCTGTCTCTTCAGGCTGGAGGAGGCTCTGTCAGACTGTATCTGGGCACAGAAGCATATGAGAGGAAACCTGGTCATCGATTACAGACAGCTGGGACTGCGATTCAAACTTCACAGCTGGCAGGTTGGACATGTAGCCTTGCACACATACACATCCAATCCTAAAATGTCTGTCAGTACTGATAAATGAAACCAGAGCAAATTGTGGTTCATCATCCCCTTCATTATTTACTTAGTACAAACGTCATAGACATCTGGGAGCCTACAAAGCCTCATTGATGAAGGCCGAAAAGGAGTTGCATATTTCTCACAGAACAGATAAGACGATGCACCTGTGTCTGCAGTTGGTCAGTCTCGGAGCATAGTCTACCCAACACGCTATTCCCAGGGTTTAAAGGCCATTCATCAATTGGATCACAACACATCAAGGCGGGGGAGTGGGTGGGGAGTCTAAAGCCCAACATATCTTCTTAATTCTACTTCATTGTACACCATGCAAACTTTTTTTTTAGCCATGAGAGATGTTTTAAATAGGGGAGAAGACTCAACACATCTGGGTGATTACATAGACTGTATATAAGGAGAGTGATTATGTTCTGTACGTCGCTACTTTCAGTGTATTTCCATACTGACTTTCTGGGAAGAATCAACACTGCTACCACAACCTCCCTCCCTGCCTTCCTATCTAATCCAAAAATGCCGTTCTTCAAAAGAAGATGCATATAAACAAAGAATGCATCTAAACCTCAAAGTCTAATATTTGAGTCAATATTAGATATTGATGTCAGTCATTCTCCTTTGAATGATCAGCTTTACACTCCACATAGCAGCATTTTGAGAACAAATCTGAACCGGAGCACTTCACCGCTAAATAAATAAATCAATGATGAATAATTGCATTTCTTTTCAGTGTTTAATAGCTTTATCGTCCAGTATCTTGAAATATCAAGTACCAAACCAAAAAATGCTTTGGAAAGATTGAAATGTTGGATAAGTAATGATACAAAATAACCGTTATGTGAATAGGATGGTACAGACATGTATAACAGTCATGTGTCTCCTAGGTGTTATATAATGCGGCAGCTGTGTACTGTCGAATGGGCCAGTGGGAGCAGGCCAGGGAGACCCTGCTGTCAGCTTCCCAGGAAAAAGGAGGAGGTCGAGGGGGAACCACTGAGGTGGCTTTGAACAGCGTCCTGGTGAGTGTCACAACAACAACAACAAACGACTGGATAGGCCATAGGACTGAGTTTGGTGACAAATTTTCATTTTTGTATGAGGATGATTCTCCAATGTGAGGAATGTTGTTTCTGTCCTCGCTTCCTTCAAGATGCAAGGAAATTTGAACTTTGTTAAATGTTGACTGCTGCTGGTGGTGTATGCAACAGCAGCTGTGCATGATGCCGTTTAGTTTATTGAGCTGTTAAGTAAATGGTAAAATTACTTGTACCTGTTTTTAGAGCCTAACATTCACAGTGCTTGGACACAACATTCACACACTAATGGCAGGGGCTACCATGCAAGGTGCCACTATCCATCAGGAATAGCTAATCATTCACATACTAATGGTATCGCCTGCTAGAGCAATTTTTGGTTTAAGTGTCTTGTCCAAGAAAACATCAAGATAAACCAGACGAGCCGGGATCCAACAAGTGATTCATTCTACATCTGAGCCATCGCCCCCAAGGATGTAGGAAAGAATAACTTGGGACACTATCACTGTTGATCAGAAGCAGACCATACTCCAGCCTGTGGTGGCTTGTGAACCGCAGGATTTCTGATACAACTCTACAAGCTTTCACATATTTTAGAGGGCTAGAGAGGTGGGATTCTATCAGACTGATTTTTCCTCAGAGTAGCTTCTGTTTTTCACACTTTCTTATTTCGTGGTAGAACTCTACCAGTGAATGTATTTGACCATCTACACTGGAGAAGTCGGGTTGGTGGTACTGAGGAAGCACTTGGCCCAGATTTACTGTGGATCAACCTAGCATCTTTCTAATAATTAGACCACGACTGCTGAAATTTGGACTTTTAACAGTTAAATATCATTCTAAGGTAGGTTTTGCTGGCTGTGGCACTCAGATCTGTTGATGACGGGTGTGTTATAAATAGATTTATAAACCTTTCCATTCCAAAACTAAACGTAAATTATGTGGTGGAAAATTGTGGATTTAGCCCATGTGAGAAATCAAAAGTATCTTGAGCTTGCTTTGTGATTAAGTATTTATTACTAACTAGAATATAGAAAAAAGATAAAGAATACAGAAATCACCAGCACAAGTCGTAAGCACAGACAGAAGTCAAGTGACTACAATTCAGCTGAAAAGGGACAGATGTTCCTTCCCCCAAAAGGAGCAGGAAGATCTGACAAAGTTGAAGAGGAGAACAGGAGCTTATGTACACTTCAGGGAGGTTTGTGCTGCCTTAGCACAGGAGAGCCCACCCCTCAAGAGGAGTGTCGGAAAAGTACCAGATGATGTAGGGGTGACCCCGTGACCCTCCCTTTATGGACCCAGACAATCAATAACATCTAAAAGGTCAGTCAGGGCACGTATGATTTCATCTGTGTCTTATCTCACCCTGGACTGCCTTAAGTCACCGGCTCACATCAAAGGTCACATTCCTGAGAGCCTCACCCCACGCAGGCTCAACAATTTTCCCCCAACAAATTACATCACAGCGGTGCCATTTCATTGACTCCTTTAGTAATTAGTGTTGCGCGTGTGGCTCAGTGGTAGGCTATGGTCGTCAACGTTGCTGTGCCCTTGGCTAAGACACTTGTATGATTGTTCCTGCAGTGTACTTGATTTGATAGTCCTAATGGAAATTGGAAGACTAGAAAAGAGTTCCAGCTTAGATCCAAGATGGTACCAACGATGCTTCGGTGTGCTTCGCTTTTTGGTGCACTTTTACACGGCCATCATAGTCCATCCTCTGCTCCTCCGTCACCGTCTAGCGTGTCATCCGCTCTGCATAGAGGGTGGTCGGCTGCAATCTGCCGTCTCTCCAGGACTTGTTCGCTTCCAGGACCCTGAAGCAAGCTAAAAAGATTGTAGCCGACCCCTCTCACCCAGGACAAAAACAGTTTGTGCCCCTTCCATCTGGCAGGATGCTGAAGTAAGACCTCCCGCCACACAAACAGTTTGTTCCCGTCGGCAGCCGGCAACTCCATCAACAGAGCCCGGTCCCCCACTGACTGACTGACATTCCACTGGTTACTTTCTTTCCCACTGCACACGTCACTTTCACTTGTCACTTTCTATTTACTTTATTTTTAACTTTTTAACTTTTTAGCTTTTATTCCTTTATTTTTAAACTAACCCATAGCCTTATATTACAAACTATAGCATTATATTTTATTTTAGCTCTCTTGCACTGTTGTCTCGTACTGTCTGCTGTTATGCACCAACCGCCAAGTCAAATTCCTTGTATGTCGAACATATGGCAATAAAGGTTTCATGATTCCTAAAGGAATGCTCCATTAGTCATGGCCAAAGTTAGGGCTGTGGCTCTTCTGATGAAATTGTTTCACAAAACATTGGACTTTTATGTCGGCGCTGATTTCCATTCATTGCTCCACTCTTATTTAAATATATTGACTGAATCATTAAAACAAAATATATCCAGTGAAAAATATGTAAGAAATGAACATGGCAAGTCAGTACATACAAACCATCCTGGTCTTTGCTGTCCCTTAATAACAGAAGGAGGAGATCCTTGCTCCTCTTTTGGTGCCTGAGGATGTGGTGTTTCGGCCCAGGAAACAGGACGTGGAGCAGCTGCAGCAAAGGGACTTCCTGGGCAAAGCAAAGGTACAATAAAGTTTTCCCATGAAAAATTTAATTCAGTTTTATTTTGTATAGCCCATTATTACAAATTTGCCTCAGGGGGCTTTACAGTCTGTACACATGCGACATCCTCTGTCCCGAAACTCCCATCGGCACAGGAAAAACTGGCCAAAAAATAAACAAGGGATAGCGCTTTTCTAGTCTTCTGACCACTCAAAGCGCTTTAACACTAGATGACATCATTCACCCATTCATACACTGATGACAGGAGAAACATACACAGTGACACCTGCACATCAGTAACTAACATTCACACACTGTAGTCGCAGCTACAGGAGCAATGTTGGGTTAAGTGTCTTGCCCAAGGACACCTCGACATGCGGATTAGCCGGGCCTGGGATTGAACCGACAACCCTTATTGGAGGATGACCGTGCTCCCCACTCACCCACAGTCGCCCTTAATGTCAGAATATCAGGAGGGATCCGTCTCCTAAGATGGATATACTACAATGGATGTCATGTGTACGTGCTTGTACCAGAGTTTAACTACTCCAGCTTGTTCTTATCACTTTCATACTAGTGGGGAAGAAAATGTTGCAGTAATGGTTGATGCTGCTCTATTGGCAGGTAATTTCTTCTGTGATTCCCAATGACGACTTTGGAGGTTTTGAACCTCTGAGGCTGCAGGTAAGAAGGACCACAGAGTTGGTATGATGTTGTCAGTCGCTCTTTGTTAACTACCACCATTATGTCTTCACCACAGAAACCTGGTTTCTATGAGCCCAAGGTAGATGGAACTCAGTGAGTAATGTTCTGTTCAACCTCACATTTCAGTACTGATGCATATAGACTTATGATTTTCTCTTCACACCTGTAAGGGATTCTCTCTACATGCGCGTGCGGATCCCTTACATGGCTCGGGGCCCGGGACAACTGACTGTGCCTGGAGGGGCCATGGTATTTTTATTTGGCGAAGAGAGGAGGGACGGGATGGCATCTGTTATATATGATGGAACGGTGAGGAGAAAGATCATATGGGGAAATATAAGAAGCCTAAGAGAGGGGGAGTCGTCTAGACTGATGCAATGTTTCTGTTGAGTTTTAGATCTTCTGATAAAGATCCTTTTCTTCTAGTGCTCTAACAGACCTTTTGAAACCATTATAGAAGTATTAAGGCTGTGTTTAAGTGTTTTTTCGACTACATGGGGGCAAAACAAATGATCAGCAACGTTCGGATCCAGCCGACACGGTGCAACATGAACATTCATTCATTTGGAGCCATGCTTGTTACTTAACTGATGAATATTAGCTCAATATTCACTTTTCAGCTAGGACTGGTTTCCACTCCTGAGGGACACGCCTCGAGCTTCCTAATACTTCAAGGCTTAACCATCAGCTATTCTCTAACTGAGTAATATCACATATTATGAGTCTGTTCAACATCACATGTCCCATGTATCTGTCTGTTGTTCAGGAGAACGCCACATTTGGTGACAATTCATATTGATCTGTGCGATTTGTTGCTTTTATTCAGTTCAAACGGTTTTCCTTCTTGTGCGTGTCATTTTGGTAAAAAGTTATGTCAATTATGTTTATCTGCTGCCTTGGTTTGTTTTTAATTTTGTGACTAAGTAAAGGACAATGTTGAATGAGTGGAACATTATATATTTTATATTTAATGACCATAAATTCATTTCTGTTCCATCAGAGGTGAAAGGTCATTATTCTCAGATGTTCAAAATAAACCCCTCACAGAAATGATTGACTAACCTGAAGAATAGTTTTAATGGAATAGATCTTTTTGAATAAATATAGCATGTGCACACCTGATAAGAGCGTAATTAAATGCATTAATTGGATTTGCACAGATGTGATTGCATTTCACTGGCATGAAGTCTTTTATATTAGTTTCTAGCTAATAGTTTGTTTTCCTTACAGAGGGGACTTCTTCCAATGTCCCTGCTTGATCCTGCAGATGTAAAGATTTCCAAAGGCAAAAGGGAGAATGTAATGTATTTATTTATTATTATGTAATACTAAACTGTAAAATACAATTTATGATGAAAGAAATTTGCTGAAATTCGCTTCACCTGTGAGGCCAGTAAAATTATGTGGCAGTAAAAAAATTCTAAGAAATAATTAAAAAAAATACTAGTCATGTTTTGTTCCCAGTAAAAAAGAAAAGTTTCTGATTTGTCTTCTTCCACAGAAAGTTCCCAGTGGGATCCCTCTCCCACCTGGACTCAAGCCACCCACTCGACCACAGGCCCAGGCTAGCCCTGCAGCTCCTCCACGAGGTGATCACGGTCCCATATTCCTCCCCCTTTACTTCCTCACCTACCCACCAGGGGCTCGCTCGCTCTCGATCTCTTCTGATCTGTACCAGTATGGACTTCATTATGTCAAGAGCAATATTAATAATAAAGTAAACTTACAAGACGTAAAATAAGTTCTAATTAAATCACAAATGGTTGAGTTCAATTATTGTGCTTTAAAAAAGGATCCATGAAATTTAGATATTGCACATGAATTAATGATCAATTTGCTATTTTTTTTAAATTATTAATGTTAAAATCTGTTTTTGTTATTAACTAACTTTCCTTGTGGCACTGTCGACACCCACAAACTTCAGTTATCTCCAGCATTAAGAAACCTTTCGCAGACACAAACTCCTGTAGAAACCCTTTTTTTTTTATAGGATGTTTAATTATACAGCCTTGTATTTTCAGAACCAAGCAACCAATCGCTATGGCAACAGCTAGGCATGAAGATGTGGCGGCTAGCACTCAGACTTTGCTGCCCCGAAAAGGCCATATGATACTTGGCGCTCAAACTATTCAATGGTCAATGTTTCCTTGATTTCAACTTTTTAATTCCAAGATAGCAGACATATTGTCTACCCATAGAAGACCCATGCCATTTAGAAGGGGCAAGAAGAAACATGGTATTTGAATTTTAGCTGGTGATTTTATCCAAACAAACCACAGATCTGGTTACCTTAATTCCATCAGCAGGTCCACATCTCTAACGGAGGAAACACCAGTGTAATGTTTCCTCATTGTGATTCCTGGAAGCTAAGAAAGCCTTTGAGTGGTCAGAAAGAGATGAGCTGTACATGTACACTCAATTTACATTGTGTGCATTCAAACTGTGCCTTTGCTGTGTTTCGCCTAACAGTACGTTTTACCTCAGACACCCCACCTCCATCCTACACAACTGCCACCCACGCACCACTGCCAGCTTCAGAGCCTCCTGGGTACACGGTTAACACGGCAAACGAGCAGGTAATAGCCCCCTCTGATTCATCTGTGCCAGCTGAAAAGTGGAATTGCATCAAAGTTATTAGCTTTGCACATCCAATGATTACATAAACACCAACACAGGAATTACACCCTCCTTCTCTTTCTGCCTCATCCAAATATGGAAGGTTTGTGTGGACTTGTAAAGAAACAGCTTTGCAAGGTTAAACTTGGCAGTTAATGTTTAAAACCTGCCCGTTCAGAGCCGGATGTTTCCCAGGGCCAGACTTAACCCCTCGGATGGCAGCTTGGACCTGGGGTATCAATTGAAATGGCCCAAAAGTTCAAACCGCTTTACTTTTTAGTGTCAGTTGGAGATGCATGCAATAAAATACACCAAAAAGCAATGTGCGGCTAAACGGTAGGGAGCTCTGATAACAACCCACCAGCCTCTTTACGTAGACCACAGAGCCCAAAGTGTTTACTGGAGGGGTCAGAACTGTTACATTACATGACACTAGAGTGAAGGGTTGGGCCAGGTACTTTAAAACTTGAGCTGTGCTAATCAAAAGTAACTTAACTAACAATTTGACAACTGAGACTGAAACTATAATTCCTATTATTGGCATTATTACAATTACTGATAGGTAATTTAAGGGAAAGAGTAGTTATAGTAATACGCTGATAACAGTAATAACATCATTAATAGTGCTTAATAACCTACACGTTTGAATTGATTGTACAAGATTAATATTTTGTTATTCTTTTAACATCACATTTTATTGTGTTCCTGCTTTTTACCCAGCATGTGGTTGCGCCTCAAGGACCAGAGACCAGCTCTGTGGTGCTGAAGGTCCACTACACGTACACCGTGACTCTGTCGGTCTCTTTGGACACACCCTTCCAAGAAGTCAAGAAATGTATTGCACAGAAATTGGGCCAGCCAGCACATCAACTGCGCCTCAGGTAGCAACGGACCTGGCAACTGACTTCAGTCGCCTTGAATTTCTAAATTTATTAAGAACTTAATTTCTCAATCTATGGTCATCTGTGGGTCCATCATCTATTACGGCAAATGTAACTTGACATTGGACACTGAGGCTACACCTCCAGACATGGCAGGAGTCTGAACGTGACAATAAACCGCAAAATGGAATTCATACATTGGCTAAAACCCATCACGAAACCATTTTGTGACAGCCAAGGATAGATTACAAATATCAAGCCTTAGGGCCCTGCTTAAAGGTCATCTTCCATAACTATTTTCTGTCCTCCAATGTTTGAACATTTGATGGTCCAAATTGCCTATCTATTCTCATGCTGCCACTCCTCACCCAATCTCCCCCTCTCTCATCAGACATAAGCAGCATGGCTCTAGAGTGCTGACACCTCTATGTGAGGAGGCAGAGCCAGGCCGCACTATGCAAGAGGTGGCAGAGGCTGGCAGAGCCACCCTGTGGTGCCAGGTGAGGGTTTAACCTACAAATCAGGGATGAAATAGATCAGTTTGTAATCTTACTGTTCCCTACAGTCGAAGTTCTTTTTAACTTCAACAGCACATAACTTCACTTATACCTTCTATTTTATTATGTACATATAGTCAATACCGAGGGCAAAACTAATATTTTTAAACTGTTTCTTAGGAAAGAAATGGGAGGGTTCCAGGCAGAATCAAATTACTTCCTTGATGATTCCTCTCCTTATTGTGTATTCACTTCAGACTGAAGATCCACTTGACAACCGTACCATCCTCTACCAAATGGTGGCACTGTATGACTACATAGCTCAGGGTCCAGAGGACCTGGAGTTCAGCGAAGGAGATACCATTGACATCCTGGGAGACGGTAAGGCCCCAGTGGCGGTTGGTGGAACATTTTGAAAGATAGAAAGTAAATATGAAAGAAAATGTATTACTACTCTATAGTTCAATATTTAACATTTATTCCAACACGTGGGGAAGAAAAGGATATTACACCTTGACAATATTACATAACAATATTCAGAAGTGGGAGGGCATTGTATGCCAGTCGTCTCAATCTGCTTGAATTACGTTACAATCTGTGCTCTTTACTACCAGCATCTTTTATAAGCGCAACAGGTGTAGTTTTTGACTCCTTTAAACACTAGCGGTTTTAAGAAGATGCTCTTTCAGCTCAACGTCAATTGAGGCCAAACATCCACCCATCCCCTAAAAATAACAGGGTCTTCGGAGTCCCATCATTCCACGTGAGGTTACGTCAAAACTGACAAATCTTTTGGATAAAATGTGCCGGTCTCATAGTTGGACTGATTGCCTAAATTGCATGTCACACATTTATATCTTCAATTGGGAAAACCGCTCCATAGGCCTGCTTCGTGCAAGCCCCAGCTCTGCTGAGAGCAGACATTTTCTTTGTATTATCTAATTTTTAGTGGCTCAAGAAGTGTTGCTTGCCAGCCGCAACAATAAGGCCCATACTGAACTTGTCTTTTTGAGTCCCCTTTTTTGAGTCTGTCAAGCCTCACTTGCTCTTGTATTTTCCTCAAACTATCCTGTAGTTAATGAGGAGTGGCTGGAGGGACACAATGCAGGACACATTGGCATTTTCCCCAGCTGCTTTGCCTACAAGGAGAACGCCAGCATCACCCAGGGATCCATGTAATAAAAGCAGAAATTTTACTTTGCTCACTGACTTAAAATAAACACAATTGTACTGGATTAAGTAGCTAGTATTTCATATTACACAGTGTGATACTTTATCTACTGGTCTACCTTTTCTGTTTTCTATATCCTTTGGGATCACTGTAATAATCCTGTTGTATCTTCAAAAATTAAAATGTTTGTACTCATACAAGTTTATGACATTTTTCAATGATGTTTCAGCATCATGCTCCTGTAGTATTTCTACAGGGTTTTAATGATACTGGTTGTGGAAATATGTGTTGGAAGGCTTCACAATGGATGTTGTGATGTTTCAGAGAGACTTGTAATGTTGTTGAAACGTTCTCTTAATGCAGATACTGTTTTTTTTTTTACATTGTAATCTTTCGATTATCTTCAAAAGCTGACAAAAATAAAAGGTTGGAAAAAGGATCAATGTATTTATTGGCTGCACCTGCCATTTCAAGATTTGTCAAAATACTGAAATTAGCCTATGGAATACCCAGAGTTGAGAATGGACAGTGTTTTATGGAGCGATCTAATATAAAAAGTTAATGTGTATTGTGGTGGGGGGGTGTGGTTAGCTCAGCTGCTGAGGGGAGAGCCGGGGAGTGGTTCAGGGGACTATGCCGGCAGGTGAGTAAGAATCAGAGGTGGAAGTGATCCGGACTGATTGTCTCCAGTTTGAAAAGCAGTGAGCAGGACCTGGAGCTAGAGACACTGGAGCAGACGCTCAGGGGTGAGGCCGAGGAGAGCAACACGGGAAATGAATGAAACCAGCTCACTGCAAACGACAAAATAAAGACATATTGGCCAGTAGATCTGTGCGTCCTTGACGAAACCCGACGGTGGTAGCGGTATCGTGGCTACAGTGGCGCCTGGCCCGGATGGACGTGAACGACCACGGAGAGGGACTGACTCAGCCGGCGGTCACACTCGGACGATGCAGCGCGAGCAGGCAGAGTCCAACCGCCACTTCCTGGGGGCGCTGCAGGCTCAGGCGGACCAGCAGACCCGGGTGTTTGAGTAGTTGGCCGCCTGGCCAGTCGCTGCCCCGCCGTATGCAGGGGTTTGGTGGTACATAAGATGGCCCCCGGGGGACGAGGTGCAGTCATACCTTGATGTTCTAGTCGATGGCGGGGGACTAGGTTTGGGGGTAAAAAGCAAAGCAAGTAAAGGTTGCGGTTAGCGCCCGCCTTACGCACCCCCTAATCTCGGGGACAGATTGGTCGGGGTTTCAGTTAGCGGGGCAGTGTTCACAACCGACCGATGTGTGTGCTGCTCAGTGGTGACGCGAGGTTGTCCAACACTGCGGACGGGGAGGGGGGGGCCGCGGAGCCCCCTATGGAGACGCCGCTGTTTCCCGAATTACGCTCCATGGAAGATTTTTCCACTGGAGCAGTGTCGTGATGATACGCTATGCTTTGCCTTCGACCAAATGATGCGAATTGATGGTCAAATGGTGCGCCCCGACACAGCATTATCATACCCGCACTTTCCACTGATTAGGGACAGAGTGAGTCGTGACACTCAAACAGGTTAGGAAAATACCAATTGTTGGTATTGAAAAGTTGTCTGTAAACCAGCCGACCATTCCGAGAGCGCCGTGGCGTCCGCTACCGTTAAGATTACGCAACCTGATATCCCGAGGCAGTGCCGTTGCGCAGTATCTCCACCAAGAGTGTTGCGCAGGCGCCGTTTCAGGTCATCTCCCGAGTCGGATTCCCGAAAGAGATTCAGACTGACCAGGGCACCAGTGTGTATCATCCCCAGACTGACGGCCTGGTGCAACGGCTGAATAGGACGGTAAAATCCATGATTTGTAAGTTCATTCACGACGAACGTAATTGGGACAAATGGCTTGATCCTCTGCTTGCAGTACGGGAGGTTCCCCAGGCCTCCACAGGATTTTCTCCGAGCTGCTGTTTGGCAGGAAACCACGGGGGGGTGCTCGACCTGCTTAAGGAACACTGGGAGGAGGGTCCGAGCCCCGGTAAGAATGAGATTCAGTACGTCCTGGACCTGTGAGCCAAACTCCACACACTGGGTGAGTTATCAGGTGAGAATTTTCTCCAGGCCCAGGAGCGTCAACGGCTGTACAACTGGGGGGCCAAGCTGAGACAATATACACCGGGAGAAAAAGTACTTGTATTGCTTCCTTCTTCTAGCTCGAAACTACTTGCCAAGTGGCAAGGGCCCTTTGTGGTCACACGGTGGGTAGGGGACGTCGACTATGAGGTGGTGCGATCTGACAGGGGTGGATCTACACAGATCTACCACCTCAACCTCCTTAAAGCATGGAGGTAGGCAGAGTCCGTGTCCATGGTGTCTGCAGTAGCGGAGAGAGAGGAGCTGAGGCCAGAGGTCCCAAAGTCCACCGATCCGACCCGGCTACCGTTCGACGCCCATCTCTCTGCAGCCCAGCAAGCGGACATAGCCCGGTTGCAAGATCAATTTAATGTATTCTCCTCTCTGCCAGGTTGCACGGATCTCATAGTACATCACATGCTATGCTGGAGATGGGGGTAATAGAGGAGTCCAACAGTGCCTGGTGCAGCCCCATCGTTCTTGTCGCCAAGAAGGACTGCTCGATTAAGGTTCTGTGTGGACTATCGCAGGGTGAATGCGGTTTGATGTGTACCCGATGCCCCGGGTCGACAAACTCCTGGACTGATTGGGCACCGCGTAGTTTTTTACGACACTGGATTTGACCAAGGGCTACTGGCAGATTCCCTTGTCCAGGGAAGTCTGCTTTCTCCCATTTACCACGCTTCCCTTCGGGTTGTTTGGTGCCCCGGCCACCTTCCAGCTCCTCATGGACCGGGTGCTGCGTCCGCATGCTGCCCCCTACCTAGATGACATCATCATACACAGCACTACGTGGGGGGAGCATGTGCGGCGGGTGGGCGCGGTGCTGGAGTCCCTGAGGTAGTCCGGGCTCACCGCCAACCCGGGGAAGTGTGCAGTTGGCCGGAGGGAGGTACGGTATCTTGGGTACCACTTCGGCGGCGGGAGGGTGCGCCCTCAAGTGGACAAAATCGCGGCCCGCCCGCGGCCCAAGACAAAAAGAGGTGAGGCAGTTTTTGGGGCTGGCGAACTACTACAGGAGGTTCATCCCAGGCTTTGCAGAGCTGACCAGCCCCTTGACTGATGTTACGTTCCAGCTCCCAAGAGGGAGGGGAACATGACAACCCACTGCTCGAGGCCACCGATGCCAGCAACCGGGCTATGAAGTCGCGATGTGAGAAAACGGACACAAACACAAAATACTGTTTAACGCTTTTATCTAAACACAAAAAAATATATACATAAATAAGCTAACTTTCTGGGAAAAGGGGAGGGCTGGACGGACCAAAGGTCTAAACTGGTGTTTCTAGACCGAAGTAAATCTACGGGTGATATATACCCCGGGGTAGCTCTAAATCTACTCCCCACTCCCTGTGGACAAAAGAGGAAACAAATAGTTAGTCAAATGATACAAACAAACGATTTCTCCCATCCTGCTGCTACTTGTTACCCCAAAGTTATTTAACACAACTATCGAAATCAAAAATATCCCCACACAGGGTACAAACCAAAGACCACATAACAGGATATGCAGAGCGCCAGAACTGGTCCAAAACTGGTCATTGTATGAAAACGAGTTGAAGATCGTCGGCATGGTGAGGACTCACAGCTTTTTAAAGAGCCCAGCCAGCTGCGACCACTGACGAGGGGGTGGAGCTCCGGGTCCCAATCCTACCTGGAAAACACACACGCACACCTACAAGCAGTCCTCGAATCAGAATCATACGAACCCAGAACTCTGGGGACGTAACAACTGACCTGACCCGGAAAGGTGCCTCAGATCCGGTCCAGTGGATGCGGTTGAGGGGGGAAACTGGCCCTCTGCGGGGAACCACTGCTCCATACACCTAACTTCTCTCTCCCTTTTGTCTTGGAGACTGATGCGTCGCGCAGAAGGCTGGGGGCCATTTTGTCCCAGCAGGTGCAGGGGGTGGACCGCCCGGTCCTCTACACCTATGGTACTACCTCCTGGGACGCCAGTTCACCCTCTGTTCGGATCACACCCCGCTGCAGTGGCTCCACCGCATGAAGGATACCAACGCGCGGATCACTCGGTGGTATCTGGCTCTACAGCCTTTGTTACGGCTGTCACCGTGGTCTGTATTTCTGTCTTGTCTTGCCTGTACCAAGTAGGCTGGGCGGCCCTGTGGACTGAAGCCCCGCCTACTTCCTGGTTCCGGTGGAGCTCTGTCAGGCTCCCTCCAGCTCTATCCATTGGTCCACCCTGTCCCAGCGCACCCAATGGCACGTTGTCACCTCAGCCTTACCTCCAGCTCTTAAGGAGAGCCCACCAGTGGCTCGAGGCAGCTCGTCATGGCCAGATGACTTGTGTGCCTCCTGTGTGTGTATTTGTGTGCAACTGAGTCAAGTACTGTGTTTTGGATCTTGTGTGTTTTACCAGCACGGGGCTGGCAAAAGGGGGGAGTTAAGGCAAGAGTCGGTACTGATTCACCACACGTAGTTTTGTGCCTGTTAGCTTCATAGGTGTAGTGGGTGCTGTGCTCTTTGTTTTTTGGTAAGCGCCTACTGGTTGTTTAAATGTATATTCAGGCATAGTTTTTTTTCTCCTTTTGGGGATCTCTTTTATTTAACTTGGTTTGTCTTTTCACAGCACCCTCATCCACCCTCCTTTTGTTTGTTGTTACCTGCTTGTCTACCTCTGGTTGCCAATAAACACTACCCTTTTACAACCGTCCAGGTTCTGCTCATATGTTTATGGTCCCCTCACCCCTAGACCAACCGGGGGTCGTAACCCCTTTTAACTTCAAGGTGGTCCATAGGCCGGGGGCGCAGATGGTCGTGGCGGACTTCCTCTCCCGCCCTCAGGAGGGATGGGGAGAGGGGAGGCGGTTCGGCCGGTTGGCTCCCCGGCCTAAGTCGGGCGGTGGGGGTATGTGGTGGCGGGGTGTGGTTAGCTCAGTTGCAGAGGGGAGAGCGGGGGAGTGGTTCAGGGGACGGTGCCGGCAGGTGAGTAAGAAGCACAGGTGATATGGACTGATTTGCTCCCGTTTGAAAAGCAGTGAGCAGGACCTGGAGCGAGAGACACTGGAGCAGACGCTCAGGGGCGAGGCCGAGGAGCAGAGGAGAGCAACACGGGAAATGAATGAAACCTGCTCACTGCAAACGAGAAAATAAAGACATATTGCCCAGTAGACCCTTGTGTCCGTGCGTCCTTGACAAAACCAGACGGTGGTAGCGATATCGCGGCTACAGTACAATTTACACGCTTGAGACGGAGGTGAAACACTGCACTCTGGACCATTGGGAAAGACACTTTCCAGCTTCTTAATAAAGTGTTCATCAGTTGTGAGTAAAAAATGACAAAACATCAATCAGGAATCAGGAAACATTTGCCAAAATATGTCAAACATACAAGGAATTTGTCTTGGCGGTTGGTGAGTGTCAGTAGACATTGTAACAATAGACAAGACAGCAGTGCACAAGTTATAAAGTAAAATGAAATGCTAATGCAATGGGTTAGTAGAATAAGGCTATGGGTAAAGTTAAAGTTAAGAATTTAAAATATTAAAGTTAAAAAATATTAAGCATAGAGGCCTTGAAGCAGGCTGGTACGTGGCATGTCTCCAGGAAGGTGTTGAAGATGTCAGTGAACACCGTAGACAGCTGATCAGCACAATGCTTCAGGGTGTGAGGGGAAAACGAGTTCGGACCGGCTGCCTTACGGGGATTTTGTCTTTTAAAGAGCCGGTTAACGTCTCTCTCCAGAATAGAGAGGGTCGTTGCTGGTGGGGGAGGGGAAGGTGATATAGATGTAGAGGCGTGAGCACCTGATGGGCTGGGGGAGGGAGGGCTGGGGGACTGCAGCAGGTTGGTGGAGCTGTGGGGGATGGGATCAGGACATTGTCTTTCGAATCTGCAGTCGAACTCGTTCAGCTCGTCTGCCAGGCGGAGGTCATTCATGGAGTGGGGGGTTTTTGGCTTGTAGTTAGTGAGGTGTTTGAGGCCTCTCTAAACCAAAGCGGAGTCACTTGCTGGGAACTTTTGTTGGAGTTTATCAGAGTACAGTTGTTTAGCATCTATCACCGCCTTGCTAGACTTGTATTTTGACTCTGTGTACCGATCTTTGTCCCCACTCCTAAATGCCTGATCCTTCTGCAGGCGTAGTGTTCTGAGTTCTGCTGTGAACCAGGGTTTGTCATTGTTGTAACTCCCCCTGGTGCATGATGGTATACAGCTGTCCTCATAAGAATAAAATTAGCAGTATTGAAAACTTGTGCGGTTATAAATCTATTCTGAATTCATTTCAGCAGATTAAATGGAGCAGTAATATTTATTCAGTGTTAAGAATTTGTCGTGTCCTGGTCGACGGCGGCGCCGGGAAACGCAAGGTCGACGGCGAAACTTGTTGGGTTTCCACATTCAGGGGAGTCACTCCTGCTCAATTCTTCTTCATGGCCACACCATCCCCACACTTGCAATCTATAACCTTGTACGTTCAATGAAACATTTTGAAGGGTAACATTTTTGCCATTACACACGTCACCGTTCAAGAACACCAGCCTTGCGGCACCTTGCAGGTGCGCCTAACCCTCTATGGATAATTGACAGTGAGGGTAGGCTCAATACCACATCACAGTTCATAAGCCGTTCTCGTCGGTTTTTACCAGTTCAGTCCCCAAGCCTCTTCCAAAACAGTTGGTACATGGGGGGTAGTCAGCCAGTTCAGGTCCAATTAATCTTACACTTAAGTTAAATCTTCTTTACTTTCCGAAACTGCCATGGTCTTGTCTGGTTTCTTTTCTCCCTATCTTTTCGTTGGGTCGTTTGTTCCCCCTCTTATGTTCTCCTCCATCACTAAACTGTTCCCACCCTCTCCTCGTTAGGCAGGAAGTCTATATAAGTCTCAAGGGTGGAGCCATCTGGTTGCAAGATGCCTCCCCTCCATCACCTTTCCCTGCAATCTGCCACACTACAGAATAAAGCGTTTTTCACAAATATAGGTGTAAAAAAAAGTGGTCGCACAACGTAAATGAGAGCTCCATTCAAATGGCCTATGAGGCCTCCACTCCTTCAACGCACGGCATAAACACCCACCTTTCCGAATAAAATCTTTTGTTTCACCCCACTGATCCGGTCTGGGTCCTGTCCGAGCACATTGTGACATTAGGAGAGAATCCGGTCTATTTTCAGAAAAAAAGTCAAATGGCAAAAACATATGTGTGTGTGTATATACATTATTTTTATATATATATATATATATATATATATATATATATATATATATATATATACATATTTTTTCTGTGGTGCAGTGCAGCTTTCCTACTGTCATGATCTAAATTTGTAAAAAAAAAAAAAGATCTCAAACTTGCGGAATCAAACAATAACAATGTAATAGTAATAATTATAATACCTACATTTGGTATGTGTTTCCTTAGGAGGCACAGCTGTGCTACATCATGTGTGAAACCCTATTTCTTCAAGCTGTGTTTTATTCTACTCTCATCACGCGGCTGGGCCAGACAGAAGGAATTTGTGGCTATTACGAGGAGCAAGAAAACCTGGGGCTCCTATAAATAGCTGTTTTAAAATAGCATAAAAATAGTCTTTGGTTCTTCTTATGACAAGAGTCTCAGGGAGGCTTCCTCTATAATGCAAATTGATAAACTTAAATACCTACTGTCATCTTCATTGCCATGGACCAACCAACCCTTTTTGGAGATAAAACTAAAGCAAGCAGTCCTAAGCTTTTCAAATTCTCCAAATATAATATATTAACGTTTGCAGGATTCTACCCACTTTGTTTTACAATACACTTTTAAAAATGTACTTATTATTGTGGTTTAAACTGCTGCTATTCCTGCTTTTACACAATGATGTATGGCATCTGACAAGGCCAAAAATAATCATTTAAATAAGGGTGAGTAATGTCAGTTTCTAAGCAACACACACACACGCACACACATGCGTCATTTCCTTTACACAGAGGGTCTGAGGGCATCTTCAGCGCTGCCTGCCAGTTGTGTGAGAAGATGCTCTCGTTATACGCGCAACATTATCATGAGGTTGGATTGTACATATTTTTCAAAGTTTAAGAAATACCTCAAGGATTTTCATCTACCGGGTTTGGGATGTTACCGATAATTAAAGGACCAGAGGACATGAAATCATGTAATTTATTCAGTTAAAGAACAACGGACTCAACAGTTTGTTTCGGGGTGACATACCGAGTGCGACTCACACCAGCACCGTTAGTAGCGATCACCAGTCTTCTGTTGAAATTGACCGTTGACCGAGGAGCTATTTCACTTTTTTATTTTGAGGGTTGAGTTGGGCAGACGCTTATCTGATGATCAGTCCACCCTCTACTCTGACATGCACTGATTCCCTGTGATGTTGCAGGATGAGCGCTGATTTGGAGCGCGTTTCGACCAGCACGTCGGTGAACTCGGACTCCCGCGCGCTGTCGGCAAACGTCCGCAGGCTCCACAACGATCTCAACCTGCTGCTCACCGACCTGGAGAGAGAGCAGTTTATTCACTGTCTCAATGTGTACCACGCCAAGCGCAACGTCTTTGACCTGGTTCGAACTCTAGAAGTGATTCTCAACACTTCCAGCAAACGTCAAATGCTGCCCATGCTGCGCCTGGTCATCCCAAGGTCCGACCAGCTGCTGTTCGACCAGTACACGTCCGAGGGACTCTACCTGAAGACGGAGCTGCTCCCCATAAACGGCAAAGTTGAGCGTTTTGGAGACGAGGGTGACTTAACTCTGCATAAATATGTCAGTTCGATGCATGAGGAGCCCTCCTCATCCGGCTGTGCGGACGGTTCCAGCGCTACCATCGATATGTCTCCATCCATGGCCCCGAAGTTTCTCGAAGGTCCGTTTACAGAAGTGCGCAAAGTTACCCTGACGCGTTCCAGAAGCCACGAGGGTCTGGGTTTCAGCATCCGTGGTGGGTCGGAGCACGGAGTGGGAATCTACGTGTCCCTTGTGGAGCCGAGGTCGTCGGCCGAGGCACAAGGACTGCGGGTCGGGGACCAGATACTAACCGTGAACGACGTGATGTTCGACAATGTTACTCACAAGGAAGCCGTGAAGGTAGGATTTAATGGATGTGTGCAGGGCTTGATATTAGGAAACATTTATTTGCCAAAATATGCTAAACATACAAGGAATTTGTCTTGGCGGTTAGTGCGCGACAGTAGACAGACAAGACAACAGTGCACAAGTAATAAAATAAAGTAAAATGAAATGCTAATGTTAATGTTAGTAGAATAAGGCTATGGGTTAGTATAAAACATGGGAATAAAGTTAAACATTTTAAATATTAAAAAAGTTAAAAAGAAATATATTAAGCATAAAGTGCACTAAGTGCACTAACTAACATTTTGCTCACGTGGCTAGTGCTTTTCCGAAGTTAGCCACTCAGCAATTTCATTAGCCACAATGTTTGTTTGGAAATTGAGTTTACTTATTAAAGTTGACTAAAATTTGCTACATTATGGAGAACTAGATTTGCAATCCTTTTAACTGACCATTGTAAACACAAAAACCAAGAATATATCAAATGTATATGTACAGTCACCAAATCTTTAGCTCTTATAAGTGTGTGTTGTATGAAAACATATGCAACTGATTAAGACAAAGACAAAAAGTGTAGCTCATATAGCTGGTGCAGGGGTGTAAAGCTCTGCCGACTTCACACATAGGTCCACATAGAGATATCTGTTGGCCGACCATCTGCAGAACCTGAGCTGTTAAACGGGTCTTTATCCCAAAGCACATCTTGAACCGGTGGCGCTTAACTCTTTAGCCTGCTAGCTAACCCCCCTCATTTGCCTATACAGCAACACTGAAATTTTCCAATCTGGTTTTAAAACTTTTAAAAGCGTACCGTGCAGAGTTTTTAACGATGTCTTTTTAGCTACTGACGCCGGTCACTGTGTAATCCTTGTGCTCTTGGACTTAACTGCGCATTTTATACAGTGGACCATGACATCCTGATTGATCGTTTGAAGCAGTGGGTGGGCATCAGGGGCTCGGCGCTGGAACGGTTTAAGTCCTACCTGTCTCATTGGACATTTTGTATCAGCCTTGGTGACTCTGTGTCCTCCACTGCTCCTCTCCCATGTGGGGTCCCACAGGGTTCGGTGCTGGGTCCTCTTTTATTTTCTTTTTCTTGTACCTTCTCCCACTTGGTTCCATTCTCAGGAAGCACGGCATCTCATTCCATTGTTATGCTGATGACAGCCAGATCTATGTACCCCTAAAAAGGCTGATTCATATTCCCTTAAGCCACTGTTAAACTGTTTAGAGGATGTCAAAACCTGGATGGCTCGAAACCTTTACAATTTTAATGAAAAAAAGACTGAAGCGATGGTCTGTGGTGGCACCTCTGTGACCCGCTCAGGCGACCTGGGTTCCTTGGCACAGTATGCCAAACCAATTGTAAATGATCTAGGGATAAAAGTGGATGTGGATCTTAAGTTTGACAGCCAGATTAAAGCTGTGGTGAAAGCAAGCTTCTTCCAGTTAAGGCAGCTGGCAAAAATAAAACCTTTTTTACGGAGACAGCACTTTGAAACAGTAATCCACGCCTTTGTGACCATTCGGCTGGATTACTGCAACGCACTTTATATGGGGATCAGTGGGTCCTCCATTGCACGTCTCCAACTGGTGCAAAATGCAGCTGCACGCCTTTTAACTGGCACAAGGAAGTTTGAGCACATTTCACCGATTTTAGTTTCACTCCACTGGTTACCCGTGCATTTTAGAATTTATTTTAAAATTATTTTATTTGCTTTCAAATCGCTAAATGGTCTTGCCCCATCGTACCTCTCTGAACTTCTGCACCCTTACACACTCAGCCGATCTCTCAGGTCAGCTGACCAGCTGCTCCTGAGGGTTCCGAAAACAAGGCTGAAGCTCAGAGGGGACTGAGCATTCCAAAACTATGGAACGAACTGCCGCTGCACATCAGACAGGCCTCCTCACTGTCTAATTTTAAAACTCTTCTTAAAACGCACCTTTTTTCTTTGGCTTTTAATACTACGTAGGTTGTTGATTTTATGTGCACAAATATTTTATCTGGGGAGGATTTATTTATTATGTTTTATTGTGTTGATTTCACTGTACAGCACTTTGGGAACCTTTGTGTTCATTTTAACCGTGCTTTATGAATAAATTGGATTGGATTGAAAGGACATCTCAAACGCAAGCAGATTAACATGAGTTCATTACACTACAATAATAATGTCAGTGAATGCCTGAGGCAGAGAGAGAGCATGCCATTACGGACTGGGCCATTCAGTGCTGCCCTGAAAGACTAATGTAGCTTCTTCCAGTACAGCGACTTTGTTTTTATTCATTCTTCTACATGGCTGTGCAATGCTCTGTACTAATCAAATGTCCAGAAACAGATGGAGTGAATCGGGCAGACTGGAGGACAAAAGTGCACCAGAAGTTACTGTCAGACTGGCCCACTCAATGCATCGCACATATCAACCAGTCAGTGGCCTACTTGGAAAAATACCCATACATTATATATATATATAACATTTTTTTTTATAACATTTGGTTTTAGGCTGGGCTGGTATACGATATGAATTTTATTTTATCTATCCGGCAGGTGGCAGAATTTATTTTTAGACCTCATTGCGCAGTGCAGCTGTTGCAACTACTTGGCTTGTGTTGAGATTGAGTCATGGTTATATAATGTTATAACAACAATGAAAGACCTACAACAGGGTAAAACACCACGACAGCTTGGGACACATAAACAATTTGTAACAGTAATAATTGTACATTTATAAAAATTACCCCGCCGAACTGCATGTTGGGTACAGCTCACCACAAGAAGTAACTCAGTTGCTACATGAAAACATGGAAAAGAGCGATACAAGAGGAACAGCGAGAGATCATAGATGCACCAACACATCTCCTGCCCAAGAGAGGAGCTGTGTCTGTTTGGAGGTGTGGTGGCGGGGGTGGTTTTGGCTCAGCTGCAGGGGGGGACTGAGAAGGGAGTGGTTCAGGGAACGGTGCCGGGGGAGGCAATTGGCCTCAGCTGATGTGAATCAGCAATTAATATACTTCTGTTAAGTAGGAGAGAGCCGGCGACAGCGGGGAGGCGAGTCGAGGAGGCTGGAGCCGGTGTTGTTGTTGTGTGTGCGTGTGTGTGGAAACACAAATAAAAACCATTTACAATGGACCCGACTGCCTCGTGCCCGTCATTCCAGGACCCCCCCAGAGGACCAACCTGTTACAGTGGCACCCAACTTGGCTGGGGGGAGGAAATGACGGCTGACGGACACCGGCAGGGGATGCCGACCCAGCCGCTTGTGGCGCTCGGCCAGATGATCGGAGAGCTGGCGGCCGTCCAGAAGGAGCAGGCAGTGGCTAACCGGCAATTCCTGGGGGCGCTCCAAGCCCAGATGGAGAGACAGGCCCGGGCGCTGGAACAGCTGGCGGCGCAGCCCGCGGCCGCGCCGCTGACGCAGGGGCCCGCTGCGTTCGCCGGGCTCACGCTGCAGCGAATGACTGGGGACGACGACATCCAGTCGTTCTTGGAGACTTTCGAGGCGGCGGCGGAGGCGTGCGGCTGGCCAGTGGGGGAGTGGCCGGTCCGGCTTTTACCTCTCCTGACCGGGGAGGCGCAGATCGCGGCCATGGGGCTGCCACCGGCGGCGCGACTACGCCACCGTTAAAAAGGCTGTGGTGGACAGACTGGGGCTGTTGCCGGAAGACCACCGCCGGCGATTCCGCGAAGCCAGGCTGGGGCCCGGGGACCGCCCGTTCGCGTTCGGCCAGCGGCTGAGAGATGCCGCCACGAGGTGGCTGCAGCCAGACAGCGCTGGAGGGGTCCAAGGGGTGTTGACGCGAGTGGTGCTGGAGCAGTTCGGGGAGGGGCTCCCGGCCAGGACAGCGGCGTGGGTCCGGTGCCACCGTCCGACGACCCTGGAGGCAGCCATCACCCTGGCGGAGGACCATCTGGCGGTGCATCCCAAAGGGCAGAGTGACTGGGAGAATTCGCCAGCGTTGGCCGGACCAGGAGCTGCGCCGCGACCCAGGCCGGCTCCGCGGCTGGTGCCTTTTTCCCCTGCCCACGACCCACCGACCTCGGGGAACTCGAGCACCCTTCCCGACCCACAGAGAGGTTCTCAAGCGCCGGGGCAGGAGTGTTGGAGGTGCGGGCGGCTCGGTCACCTCCGGAGAGAGTGCCCGCTGAGGGAGGTGGGACAGGTGATCAGAGTTGCCGGCGTTCCGGCACCCTCCCCCGGTCCGGGAGCGACGTACCGCGTTCCGGTAAGAATCCAGGGGGGTACACGCCAGGCGATGGTGGATTCGGGCTGCACGCAGTCTATGATTCATCAGAGCCTGGTTCGTCCGGGGGCATTGGTGGAGGCAGACCGGGTGAGAATAAGGTGTGTGCATGGGGATGTTCACGAGTATCCTGTGGTATCGGTGGAAATTAGATATGCGGGGAAAAAGCATAGAATGAAGGTCGCGGTTAGCTCCCACCTGACGCACCCCGTCATTTTAGGTACAGATTGGCCAGGGTTTGGTAAGTTAATGGGCGGGGCTACGGGGGTGCGTTCACGACCGACAGGGTTATGCAAGATGTTTGTGCTGTGCTCAGCGGTGACGCGGGGTCGTCCGACGCTGCAGACGGGGAGGGGGAGCCCGCGGAGCCTCCTGTAGAGACTCCGCCGGCTCCAGAGTTTCGCTCCATGGAAGATTTTCCACTCGAACAGTCTCGTGACGATACCCCACGCTCAGCCTACGACCAAGTGATACGTATTGATGGTCACCTGGTGCGCCCTGACGCAGCGCAGTCATTTCCGCACTTTTCATTGATTAGGGAAAGACTGTATAGAGTGAGTCGTGACACTCAGACGGGGCAGGAAAACACACAGTTGCTGGTGCCAAAAAGCTGCCGGGAAATTATCTTCCAGGCGGCTCACTATAACCCGATGGCTGGTCACATGGGATACGAGAAAACGCTAGACCGGATAATGACCCGATTTTATTGGCCAGGCATTCGGGGGGACGTGCGCCGCCGGTGCGCGTCCTGCCCGGAGTGTCAGTTAGTGAACGCT